AGACATACAAGGGAAGTGTAGCTCAAGCGATAGAGTGCCTGCCTATCTAAGCATGAAGCCCCGAGTTCAAACCCCAGTACAATCAAAAGTAAAAAAGACATACTATATTTATAGTCCTCTATCCCTCAAAGGCTTTAACAAAGTATAAAATATATAGTAAATGAAAAATTATCTTGCACATGGTTGGAAATAAAACCAAACCATAAAATAATCACAATTCAAATTTTACCCATAAATGAGAGTCCTAAAATTTCCATTATTTTATATGCAAAGTTTTATTATGGTTATAAGAATTTGGACAGTTTTCCATGTTACTATAGCCTAAATAAGATTCTAAATAAGATTCTTGGGGTTGTCATTGTCTGCCTTTTCAAAAATAAATATTTGTTTCATATTAGATATAAATATGTAATTTATTATACAGAACTTTTGTTTTGTTCTTCTGAAGACAGTCTCACTATTAGCTCAGGCCGGCCTGGAACTCATGTTGTGTAGCCAGGCTGACTTCAACTCATGATCCTCTGCTTTGGCCTTCCAAGTGCTGGAATTATAGATGGTGCTACCATTGCCTGCCCAGTCAGGCATATATTAATCTTGAGCAAAATAAAACCTAATTAATGGAAGGTTTTAAGTAGAATTCTGTCTTCAATCTCTTTGTCAGCCTTTCTTTAGGATACATTTGTCACAATCCAGTTTCTGGTTGAATTTTATCATCTTTGGCCACCATGATAATTGGAAGAGCAAGGCAGCTTTGTATTTGTAGGTCCTTAGTGTAAGCATAATGGACGGCATATAAATTATGGAGCAACAGAGAACATTTTCAAAGATGTTTCTGGATTACTTTTTGAAATCTTAAGTATTACATGAACACCTTTTTTTCTATTTCAAAATCTTTTATAACTTAAGTATCTCAGTATTTAATACAATAGAACATCAACAAATTACATATTACTAAGATTTAATGAAAGAAAAGCCTTTTTATAAGTCTGTTGAATATATGTTTTTCCTTCTGCCTTTAGAGCTTGAATCTGTTGATGAAGGATTGCTACAGTTTTGTGCCAATAAACTGAAATTACTTCATCTTTATGAGTCTGTCAGTCAATTAAATTCTCTTGATTTTCATTCAGACACACCATTCTCTGATAATGTGAGTAATCCCAAGTTTTAGTATTATACATAGTAATCTCTTTGATTATTTTTAATTTTTAAAATTTTTAGTAAACAAATAGAAAATTAAGATTTTTTTCTTATAAAGTTTAAAGGTATATTTTCTTTATCTGGCCTCCTGCTGGCTCTCTGTCCCTTCTTGCTAAATTTCTGATTTCTATGAGAATATTACATTTTATTGTTAATTCATCTTTACTGCTATAAATTTATTTTGTTTTTCTCAACACATTTTTATTGTGACTTTTTCCTTTTTTTGTTGTTGTTGTTGTACTGATTTGAAATCAAGACCTCAAATTTGCTAGGCAGGCATTCTACCACTTGAACCATGCCCCCAAGCCCTTTTTGCTTTAGTTCTTTTTCAGAAAGGGTCTCATGCTTTTTGCTTGGGCCATCTTGGACCTGGCTCCTTCTATTTATGCTTACCATGCAGTTAGAATGTCACACCTGGCTTGTTTGTTCACATAGCTTCTTGCTAACTTTTTGCCTAAGCTGGCCTCAAACTGCAGTTCTCCTGATTTCTGCTCCCCAAGTAGCTGGGATTACAGGTGTGTAGTACCATGCCCAGACCTTTAAGGTGACTTCTTAAAAAGTTTGTAATGAAAATAGATTCAGGTTATTGATAATGACAAAACTATAATTTCTTTTTTTGCATGTTCTTATTTATTTATCTGTGGCACTGGGGATTAAACTCAGGGCCTCATGCTTGTTAGGCAAGAAGAGCTCTACCCTTTGCATCACATCCCAGTGCTGTAATTTGTTTTAAAGAAAGTCTGGGGCTGGCAGAGTGGCTCAAGTAGTAGAGTGCCTGCTCAGCGAGCTCAAGGTCCCAGTACCACAAAAAACAAAAACAAAAAACTGTATTGTTAGTAAACTGATACAGCTTGCCCTTTTGTGCACTATCTAATGAAATACATTTTAAAATATTGTCTGACAGTTAAAAATAATTTTAATAAATGTTCTATTTTTATTCTGTGAAACATAAAATAGTGACAGCTCCTCATAGTCTTTATTATGGTGCAGTATTACTTCTGAAGAATGTATGCAAAATTCTTCCTTTTCTATGTGGAGAAGTAAAGTTTCTGGTAATGAAGAGTAGCGCACATGGTCCTTTCTCCCTCATGTAACTGTCCGCAGGTTGTCAGCCTCCAGCCCTCATGTCTCCTACCTATCTGAGGGAGGATTGCTCAAATGATCTTAGTGATTTGTCATGTCATTAGGAATGCCTGTTAAAAATTACCTGGTATATCTGAAAGTTAATTGAGGTTTAAAGTCAAAACTTTTTGTTTAAATACACTTTTAAGTGCATATGAATAAAATTTTTTAAAGAAAAATGAGAGAAGATTTTTCTCTTTGAATGGAAACAGCCCACACATTCTGATACCGTCTTTTCTGTCTTTGTAATTTCAGATGGATTTTAACAATAACACATGCGGGTAGTAGTCTGTGATTACCATTATAAATGACAAAACCAATTTTTCAGGACCTTCTATTTACTTCAACAATAATGCAATTTTAAGTTGCTGGAAGGTTCAAATCAAATCTGATTTCTGTAGTATTTCCTGGACAGATCATAGGTTCTTCAATGCATAATTTTCTCGTAAGATCCAAATGCTCTTGCATGTGCCCTGCCAAATGAAGTTAAGAAACTGTGCGTAACAGTAGACTACTGGGAAGGCTGAGGTGGGAAGATTACTTGAGCCCAGGAGTTCAAGGCCAGCCCAGGCAACATAATGAGACCCTGTCCCAAAAAATGCAAAACAGAGAAAAACCACAACAGATAGAGTCAAATATACTTGATTAAGGATCCTCTGTAGAGTTATTTCTACTTGTTAGCTCATTACACAGCCTTTTGTAGGATTCATTAGTACTCGATCGGCCCACATAGTATGTAAAGATGAAAGAATTGCAGAGTTTTAAAAATCAGTTGACAGATTGTTCTGTATTTTTAAAGGCCTTTTTAAGAAGTAAAACCATATTTCCTGTAGACTTGTTTGGGTACTTCAGAAACAGGCAGCCAGTTTCTAGACTCAGTGGTTAATACAAGCTCACATATAAATCAATACTTTGAACTACCAGTGTGTGTTTAATTGCATTTCACACTTTACCTGTGCTTAAAGACAGTAGCCTAAAGTGACAAATAAAAGAAATTTTTCTTATTTAAGAATGTGGCTTTATAGTCAGGTGTGTGTTGCATGCCTGTAATCCCAGCACTTGGGAGCTGAGGCAGGAGGATGGGGAGTTCATGGCCAGCCTGGGCTACATAGTGAGATCTGTGGGGTGGGGGAAGTTGGGGCTTTACTTATATAGCATGGGGAAAAGAAAGCTTTGCTTGCTGTGACAAATTTTGGGGGGGTTCAAAAGTAATAGTAGTATCAGGAAATGTTTCTGCATATAGGGTATATAAAAATAATTTTTTTCTGGTTATCTGATAACATGTTTATTAAAGTCGTAACATTTTAGAAGAGCATAGAGTAATCTCAAGCTTTCTGAAATGTTATTTTCAGTAGCATGTAGTTTTTTAAGATTGCTTAAATAACCTATTCATGAAATGTAATTTGAGAGTAAAGTTTAAGCGAAGTACATGTCATTTAATGTAAAAAGTCACCTTTTGCTTACAGCCTTGAATTTTAGTTCAGGGCTGACACTGGGAAATTCATAGAAAGAGACAAGTCTGGTCAGAACTTTTTTTTCTTCTGTTCCTAAGGACTTGGCTGTGTTGTTGAGGCTTGAGGAACAAGAACTCTTTAAGCTCCAGGCATTGCTAGAGAAATATAAACAAGAGAACACCAGAACTTCTGTTCGATTTTCTGATGATAAAGATGGTGTGTTGCCTGTAAAGACATTCCTTGAATATTTAGAATATGAGAAAGATGTGCTCAGCATAAAGAAAATAAGTGAAGAGGAGTATGTGGCTTTAGGTAGGTAAATAATAAATTACTCCTTTTGCCCTCCGTCTTCTAGAAGAGAGCCTGGAAGGGGCATACAGCATCTCAAAGATTCATTCTGTCTTGGAATTAGCCGGAGAATTTATTTAATGTATAATTTTTTGGTCAGCAAAAGATTATATAAACACACACACACTCAGACACACACACACAATGTTGTACAAATGATGTTATTAAGTCTATTAAAGGGAAGGTGTTAACTGTAATGATTTGCTTTCTGGTTTAATAAACACATTGAATCACTAATTTCTCTCATGCTGTTTTGCTCTCTGGAACTCTGGATTGCAGTAGTTCAGGAAGATTGTTAATCTAAATGGTAATTAGTTATGGATGAATGTGTTTTGTTTTTGTTTTACTAGGCAGTTTCTTTTTCTGGAAGTGTTTGCATGGAGAAAGCTCCACAGAGGATATGTGTCACACTTTGGAGTCTGCTGGACTTAGCCCTCAGCAGTTGTTGGTAAGGTTTTCTGGATGCTGTTCTTCTTAGATGTTATGCAGAACAGTTTAATCATGAAAAATACCTAAAAATGGTCAAAGAAACTTGTAATCACTATGTTTAATAGCATATGATTGTTTTATTTTTCTTGTTTCCTAGAAATTTGGTTTTTTAAGATGATTTCACTATGTAGCCTAGGCTGATCTCAAACTCTTAGTTTTCCTGCCTTAGCCTCCCAAGTGCTGGGGTTATAGACGTGCTCTACCATGCCTGGTTTGTTCTGTATAGATTTTAACAAGCATAGTCTATGATTGGCTCAAAATGAATTTAGATTTTGGCATGTACAAATGCATTTGCAGTGGACTTTGATTATTAGTAAAAGTTTTCATTGTAGAATTAAAAATGATGTACCGAGAATGTAGCTCAATGATAGACCACCTGCCTGGCATGCATGAGGCCTAGAGTTCCATCCCTTGCACTGCAAAAAAGTTTTTTTAAATTAAAAAAATACTAAAAAAGATCCTAAAGAACAAAATTAATTTCCTTTACAGCTATACAGAATTGTTACTAACATTTCCAAATGTTTCCAATATATGTTAAGATATATTCTTTATGCTATAACAAATATAAAATAAAGAATCATCCAGCTGGGCATGGTGGTACATGCCAGTAATCCCAGCACTTGGGAGGCAGAGGCAGGAGGACCATGAATTCAGTGCCAGCCTGGTGGGCCATGTAGTGAATTTGAGGCTAGCCTATGGTATGTAGTAAGAACTTATCTGGGGTTAAAAACAAAAATGTTTTTAACGTTTTTTAACAAGGGAGTGGGGGCAGGGGGGAGAAATGACCCAAGCCTTGTATGCACATATGAATAATAAAACAATAAAAAAAAAAACGAAAAACCATCCAGTGGGAAATCTATAGCACTAAATTTTTTGCCCTTTCTGAAAAGAGCAAAGAAAGTTACCCCAGCTTCTTCATCACTTCTCCCTGTTATCTGCCCCATACATACACACATGTACACATTTCTTTCACACTATCACGCATATGTTATATTTTGGCCTGAATTTGGGCATCCTGCCTCTGAGAGCTTATTGACTGCATTAGTGTATTTTTTATTGCATATTTAAGTTATTTAAAAGTGGGTTCTGTTCTCCCTCTTTCTGAAGACTATATGCCAGAAACTAAGACATTTAAAAACATGTATGAGGTTTACATGGATGTTAAGCAAAGTCCTTTAGTAGATTAATGTTTAAACAAACTATGGTACAACTGTGTATCAAAACTAAAAATAATAAACTGTTGAGAAACTCAACAACCTGGATGATCCTCATGAAAAATATATGAAGTGGAAAAAGGCCAATCTTAAAAAGGTACACACTACCATACTTCTATTTATGTAGTATTTATGAAATAGCATGATTAGATGGACAACAGATTAATGGTTGCTAAAGGTTAGGCAGGAGTTGGGGAAGGAGATGGTGATGACTCTAAAGGGATAACAGGGAGTCTTGTGTTATGGTTTGGTGTCTTGTTTACAATGGTGAGGAAAACTACCTGTGATCAAATTAGAGATATCTATACACGCAAACAAGTGCATGTGTTACTGGTAGAATCTGAATGAGTTCTATGGATTTTACAAGTGGGTCTTGACCTTGGGTAAAATATTAGCTTTAGGGGAATCAGTGGGAAGTTTGTGGGTCTTCCTATGCATTTCTTTTTATTACCAGTGCATCTGCAGCTATTTCATAATAAGTTATTAATAAATGAGTTCAAAGTTGAGATGCTTAAATAAGTTGAGTGCAGACTACTTACTTTATATTGTGTTTAAACAATATGAACAAAACTGTGTTGTCTGCATTCCTATTTTCTGACTTTTAAAAATATTTCAAGTGATAGTCTTACTGGAATTCCATTCATGAACAAATTTGGGCCAGAAGTGGTGGTACATACCTGTAATCCCAGCATTTGGATTATTGAAGCAGGAAATTCAAGATTTAAAACCTAACCTGGGCTGCATAATAAGACCCTGTCTCATAAAAGTGAAAGAAAGAAAGAAATGTAGTATTTGTTATTTTTATTAGTTTGTATAACTTTTGAGAGATTTCTAGATGTTCTATACAGACAGATATTTCTGTAAAATTTGCCTTCAATTTTGTCACTATTTTTGTTGCATTCATGTAATTCACATATGACAACTGATTAATTTTTCAGAACATTGAAAGCTTCATATAGATCCTCAGTGGAAATTGATGAAGGTTTAGATACTATACAGACTATAACTAACTCTGGTTTTCAGAAAAGACTAGAAAATAAGGCTCATGCAAAAGACTAATAAGATGGCTATCTTTCTAAGTATAGAAAGACAAGGCCAATAGATGACTTCCTCACAGTCTGGCTGCCATAATTCCAGTGAATGCAGGATTAAAGCATTAAGGATGTTGATATTGTACAAGGGTACTTTCTGGAAGCTAACGTTCATCAGACATTAGAGCTATCTACTAAAAGCACGTGAGATTTTCTGTTTCCTTCTTAGGTACAGAATTTATTTATTTATTCATTCATTCATTGTGGCACTGGAGTTTGAACTCAGAGCTTCATGCTTTCTAGGTAGGCACTCTTCCACTTAAACCATTTCTCCAGCCCTTTTTGCTCTCTTTGAGACAGGGACTTGCTTCTTGCCCAGGCCAGCCTGGACTGCAATCCTCCTATTTTATGCATCCCATCATAGTTGGAATGACACAGTGTGCCACTGTGCCACTCTATTGGTTGAGAATTCTACCATTGAACCGCCAGTGCCTCTTCTCATTATTGGTTGAGATGGGGTTTTGAAAATCTGCCCAGGCTAGCCTCCCGCTGCAATCCTCCAGATCTCAGCCTCCCAAATAGTTAGATTACAGGTGTGAGCATAGCTTAGGTATAGATTTTAACAAATCTTAGGTATTGCCTAAACAGAGTAGAGGAACTAACTAAATTTCATGGTTCCTGCTATTCCAAATCTGTTATTCCAATCCTGTTTCATGACTGTCAATTTGTAATGTATTTATATGTAAAACAGTATGATTCCCCTTTTTAATATGTGAATTTGTGGTATGCATGTTCATATTACGAATAATGTAACATTGTTTCTGTATGGTTCGAAACAATACTATACATAGTTGTGATGATAGTTACCTTTTATACTGTCCCCTCCTGTTAAGTGTATCTGTGTATATGTTTCTGTATGATAGTTTAATTTATCTCTGTATTATCCTCTTAGGTTATTTTTCTTCCTTCACCTTTACTTTATCTGAAATTTAAAATACCTGTTGTTTATAAGTGATCTTTAAATTATATCCCTGTGTTCTGATGGTTCCCTTGTCACCCACATTTGATACTGATCTGTATATAAACAAAAGCCCAACTGTTGGGAATATTTTAAGTTAAAAAATAAGGGGCTAGTCAAACAGTACAGCACCTGCCTAGTAAGTGCAAAGCCCTAAGTTCAACCTCACTACTTAAAAAAAAAACAAAAAAACAAAATTCTAGATTATAAACAGAGGTTATTGCATGGGTAGAAGATAAAAGGAACTGATACTAGGAAGGGACAGGAGAAAGTTAAGCAGAGGAACAGGGTTGCTTTATTTGTTTGTTTCAGAATTTATTGAAGGTGGTGGTAGAAGGAAGAGTGGTTAGTTGAAGAGAAAAGTAGAAGAATTCACAGCATGAAGAGAGGTCCAAAGCTTGGCAGTTAACTTGTTTAGTTTGGCTTCCTTCATCTGAAATAAGCTTTTGGGTTGCCAGTCTTTAAAAGCATTTTGAACTTTGTTGGCGATACTTACTTTTAAAGTAAACCCTGGTCATATGTTTTATTACAAAAGTCAATCAGAGAGGGTCTAGTGACAACTTAATGTTGAACCTAAAAGATTAAATAAATTCTGCCCTCCCTACCATATTTCCTTCTGATTTGCTTCACAGCACATGTGCACAAAAAACAATGAAGACGGTTATTTCCCATTGACTATAAATGTTTTTGTTACCTTTACAGGCAACTGGTTTGTTAGTCTGACTAATGATTGTAAGCAAAGAATGTATTTGGTTGTTAATGAAACATTTCTATATGGAGTAAGTTAGGAAGTGGGCTGACATGGGAGAAACTTGGAAGGAAAGGTTTAAAAGGGAAAAATAAAAGACTTCATGGGGGTGGGGGAAGGAGGTAGAGAGATTTGATATGTATAAAATTTATGTGTATATTTATATACATAAATACTCATGAAATTTTTGAAGGAAGAGAAAAATATCTGGGTTAGAGTCTGGCAGACCTAGGTTCAGATGGCAGTTCTGACTCATTAGGTGCATTCTGCTTGTTTCATCATTTCTGAAATTTGTATGACTATACCTGCCGCAGTGGTTGTTAGGCTCAAAGGAGATGGTAGGCAATGTCAAGCACTTATAGCTCCGAGCCTTCATAAATTCATTTCCTTCTTGCACTTCTCCCTCAGCTCCTTCCTTCCTTAAGTTTTGAAAATTATTTGAACTAACACATTTAAACTGACAGCCAGCCTGTAGTGTTAGCCCTTTTCTCACATGAAGGCACTGCAGTATTGGGAGCAGTCTGGGCCCCCCACAGACACTAGTACTTACATAGTGATGCTGGGCCATTAAACTTCTCATTATCCCAGAATTCTCTTCAAGCAAATTTTATAAATCTTAAAAATGTAAATTTAAATAGAAACGCTGATTCATAGGTATCTTAAAAGTCATTTACGTTGACTTACATGATCTTGTTTGAAAATGTGTTTTTCAAAATTTGTTAGTGATTTTAAAATAGGAGTTTGGTAGTTCTTTTAAAATTATTCTCAATGCCATGTCCACAGTATTTGTATGGCCAAGGCCAGAGCAAGATCCACAGCTCCAGTTCCTCTCTGTCTCCTACCAAAACCTACATCCTAGAGGCACTCAGTGATCCACAGAAAATCCACAAGTGGTACATAACCTAAGTAAAAGATAATGGTGGTACTGAAATACCCAGTGGATGATGAAGATCTCCTGAGTGGACAGGGACCCTTGTTCTGACCCTCACACCACATGAGAGAATATCCACGTACGCATGTGGTGTCCATGAGAATGTGAGATCTATCTGGTCTGTTGACTATTTTTTAGACTAATAGACTTAAATTTGATTTCAGTCTCTGCTCCTGAGTGTTTGGCTTTCTAAAGAAAAAGATATTTTGGATAAAGCACAGTCTGTGTGCTGTCTTCATACAATGCTGTCCCTTCTGAGCAAGATGAAAGGTAGGATGCTGGTGCATGTTGTGGTTCAGCATTCTCAGAATCTTGGAAACAAAATTTAGTGTTTGAAATGCTGCAAAAACAAGGAAGGAAGATACTTTCTTTTAACAAAATGAGACCATAATATACGAAACATTTCATTGTAGAGATTCTTCTATGTATTAATAGAAAACTTACAATGTATTTGAAGTATGTACTTAATTGAATATATTTAATGTGTGAAGATTAAGTTTATCTTCATAAACTATAACCTGATCTGAATACATTTTCTTAACTCAGTAAGGCAAATTGAATGGTCTTTGGTAAAGGAAATATTTTGTTTATTTTTTGATATTATTAGAATGATAATCTGTTTTATTAATATATTCAATACTGTAATTCAATTCAAATATTAGATTAAGTTTGTATCATAAAATATAACACGTGCACAATACATTTTCTTAACTTAGGAAGGCAATTTAAATGGTCTTTGGTAGAGGTAAGATTTTGCTTTTTTCTGATAGAACAATAATATTTTAAAGTATTCAGTAGTAGTTTTCAGTAATGAAAATATTACAAGTAAGGATTTAACATTGATTCAGAAACAAGATGACTAATAGTAAAAAGAAGTGGGGAGTAAATATTGTCAGTAAAATAGATCACAAGGTTTATTTTCTAGCACATTCAGAAATATGTAGGTATATCTTTGGGCAATTTAGTGTTAAACATAAAAGATTAGATTAAAAAAATGTACACTGTAGAATTTGCTTTTTTCTCTTCTCCATTCCTCCAGTGGCCATCGATGAGACCTGGGATTCCCAGTCTGTGTCGCCTTGGTGGCAGCAGGTGCGCATGGCCTGTACTCAGTCTGAGAACAATGGAGCTGCTCTGTTGTCTGCACATGTTGGGCATTCTGTTGCTGTGCAGATATCAAACAACATATTAGAGAGAAAAGTAAGTGGGCAAAGGAGTGGCTTTGCTTTGTAGCCGTGTACTCAGCTAAGAGGATGCTTTTCCTCTCCTGGGAATACGTTGTCTTCAGTGTTATGGAATACCTAGAATTTGAAATGTGTGTCCAGCGGGTTTTTGTTTGTTTGGGGTAGTTTGAGGTGGAGAGGAATTTGGAGCAGCTGGTGATGTTTTTTCTGAGCCTCTCAAAGTAGTCTCCTAGCTTGAATTCCTCGTCTAAAAGAGGTCAGTTAGACTGTTTCACTTTTCACATTATTCTGAAGTTCCTTGGTTATCTTTATTCCTCAACCCCTTATAGGCAGGCACTCTACCACTTGAGCCACTTCACCAGCCTTCTTATAAACGTAGCACTGAAGGACACTAATAAGAATTTCCTCATCTCTTGAAGACTCAAATTTATATTAAGACAAAAGACTAACCTATCTTATATCTCGTGGTGGATCAAAAAGGGCTGGGGGCGTGGTTCAAGTGATAGAGTGCTTTCTTAGCAAGTGTCTTGCACTTGCTAAGTTCAAACCCTAGTACCACCATATATGGTTTTTTCTAGGGTAATATTACATTAATTTGGAGAGACACCTCTGATATACATCTGTGGGGGGATTTACTTAACATTGTCAATCTTAGTAGTTTATGAGCTAAATTTAATATTGCCAGCTCATGATGTTTATAATGATGATGAGATAAGATTTCAGGTAGGTTTCTTAAGTTGACCAGTGTATTCTGAAGAGATGTCAGTGTCCCAGTTGTACTGATAGGAGAGGCTATGGCCCTTCCCAAGGGAAGCCCAGAAAACTTTTTGAAATGTACATGAGTTGAACCAGGTCATTACTGCAGGATCCCCTATAAGTATCCTGAGTCACGAAAGTCTCAGTCTCATCCAGTCAAGTAGTAGCATTTGTGAAACAGTCTTTGTGTATTGTGTTGTGAGGTAGGATACATCTGCTTTTAAGTCAAAAGTTCATTAAGTGAATGTTGATTTAAAGTCTTTGCCAGAGAATCACTAGGGTATTTTCTCTTAGTTTTCTCAGACAGTTTTGGGTGCTGATGCAGAGGTCCTCACTGATTCCTGGGAGGCCCTTTCTCTTGACACTGAATACTGGAAACTTCTGCTGAAACAGCTGGAGGATTGCCTAATTCTTGAGACTCTGCTTAACAGTAAGGGGAGCACACCAACCTCTAGATTGTCCTTGCTGCAGGCCGAGCCACTTCCACGTCTTTCTGTGAAAAAATTGTTGGAAGGAGGGAAAGGTAAGGTAAAGTTTATAGGAGCATTTTTATCTGGATTGTTCTGTGGTGTTTTTAAAATTAATTTTGACTAATCCTAGGTTTTAGTTAAAATGAAGCATCTCTGGAACTCCTGTCTTTGAATCTGAGCCTTCCTCCTCCAAGAACCCTTTTCCTGATCCACTTACTGCCAGCTTTTTCCTATTCCTCCTGATCACCACAGAACTTTATTCCTCTCTATCTTTTTCTTTACTTAAGTATGTTTTATTTTTAATTGCCACATAGTAATCATACATATTTATGGCATACAAGTTGACATTTTAATACAAGGATGTAAATGTAATGATTATTAGATCAGAATAATTGGCTTATCTGTCATCTTAGACATTTATCATTTCTTTGGGTTGGGAGTATTCAAAATGCCCTGTACTTACTATTTTGAAATATATAATTGTTATCAACCGTGGTTACCCTACTGTGCTGTAGAAGAGCAGAGGTTATTCCTCCTATCCAGCCATACCCCATGCCCATTAACCATCTCTCTCCATCCCTGTCTGTCCCCCATACCTACCCCCAGCCTCTGCTGGCCATTCTTCTACTCTACTTAAATAAGTTCAACTTTTGAATTTCCACATGTAAGTGAGAACATGCAGCTTATCATGCTTGCTTACTTTTCCTATCAGAAGCTCTATTAGGCATTTTGATACCAGCATACCTGTATTTCTAGGTTTACAAATACCTAAGTATTTATAGATTCTTACTTAATTAACTTGTTTTCTCATTCTTTTTTTTCCTTTTAATTAGGATTTTAAAAATATCTTTAGCTGTATTTAAGTCATGGGAAGTCTTCAAGGGAGTCTAAAAAGTAGAGAGTTGACCAGAATCCCCTCATGAGAGCCTTCAGAGTGTGTTTCAAACTGCACATGCTCAAGTCCCATTATGTTGTAAACTTTCAACTCAAGAGAGTGGACTCAGCATGTTTATTTCCTATTCCTTTTGAAGCTACTTTTATCTTGGTCCATTTTGTGTTACTTTAATGAACTACCGAGGCAGCCTCATTTGTAAAGAAAAGAGGTTTATTTTAGCTGATTGTTCTAGAAGCATGAAGTCTAAGAGCTACATCTGGTGATGGTCTTCTGCTGGCAGAGTCTCAAAGCTGTGCAGAACATTCCATGCCAAATGACAGAGAATACATGTGGTACTCGGGTTTTGAACTCAGGGCCTTACACCTTGCCAGTCAGATGCTTTATCGTATGAACCACACTTCCAGCCTGTTTCCTCATTCTCGTGACAATTTTTTTAATTGTAAATTTACTACACTCCATGTTGCCACCTAGTAAAAGTATGGGGACACCATTTTAATATGAACTTAAGAAATATAATCAGGGCCTTAATTTTGGAATGATAATTGTAGGATGATTTAGAAACCAAGCATAAGAATTAGCTCACCCAGCACATGGGGTGGTAAACAGGACTCTTCACACATCTTGAATGTTTTTCACCTGGCATTTACAATTTTTTGTACTATATTGATGGCTGAAACATGGTATATAGTTTCTTGTTGTTGATTAGCTATAGCTAAATTTTGCCCACAAATATGTCATATAAGTAAATTATATGTCTGTTAAAAGTAATATTATGTCAGGCACTGGTGACTCATGCTTGTAATCCTAGCTACTCAGGAGGCAGAGATCAGGAGGATGGCAGTTTGTGAGACCCTATCTTGAAAAGACCGATCACAAAAATGGCTCAAGGTGTGGCCCTGAGTTCAAACCCCAATACAGAAAAAAAAAAAAAAAAGCAATATTATAGGTCACGCACAGTGTCACACACCTGTAACATTGAGGAGGCCAAGGCAAGAAGATTGAGAGTTTGAGGCCAGCTGACCTACACAGTGAGCCCCTGTCTCAAAAAAGAAAAAAAGCAATAATATATATTGTTCTGGGGAGCCTAGCTGAGTGTCATGTTAATTAATCTGTTTTCACTTACAATTTAAGTGAACGTGTTTTTTAAAATGAAGAAATTTTTCACCTGGGAGTATGGCTCAAGTAGTAGAACACTTGACTAGCAAGTGTGAGGCTCTGAACTCAAACCACAGTACTGCCCCAAAAAATTATCCTAATACCATCTGTGTGTGGTAAAAGTATATTTTGAATTATGACTGTAGAAAGTGTTTGGTACATGTATAGACATGTATGCAAATGCATTTAAATTTTCTGAAAACAAACTGCCCTCAGATCAAAAATCTCACTTGCCCTCACCAGATGAATGATAGGTAGTAACACTGCTGTAAATCTCAGGGCTTCTTGGGGTCACTGTGAGGCTCAAAACTGAATGTAGCGCTTTAGATTTCTTGCTAAGAAAATGCACTGTATTGGCTCCATTAAGCAAATACTTTGGCTCAATGTTTTACTGATTTTCTCGTCTTCAACCTATAGGTGGCATTGCAGACTGTGTAGCCAAGTGGATATTTAAACATGACTTCAGTCCTGAGCTATTAAAACTGGCTAATAAAGAAAGTGATGTAGAAAATCCAGACAAACCCAAAGAAGGTATTAGCAGAGGTTTCCTTGCGGTGTCAGAGGTGGAGATGGACTTAGGAGCCATATCAGGTGATGCACAAATAATGAGAATAATGAAATCCAAAGTGAAGCGATGTACTTGCTTCTTCATTAGGGAAAGTAACTTGCCCTCTGTCCTGACTTTCAGACTTGCTGCGTTTAGCCTATGAGCAGTTTCCTTGTAGCCTTGAGCTTGATGTGCTGCATGCACATTGCTGCTGGGAGTATGTTGTCCAGTGGAACAAAGATCCAGAGGTAAGACCCATTCCCTTTTTTCATGCTGGTTCTGTTCTGTGCTTAGACTGTCTACACACACGGGACTGCTAAACAACTTATTATTAATGCTGGCTTTTTCCCTTCTGATGTCTGTGTGTAGTAAGTGTGGGAGGCCTTTTCATTCATTACTATTTACAGTGGTCACATTACACCTAGGAAGTGTAGGCATTGCCATTACCTCCATTTAGAGAAGAGAAAACTAGGGCAGAGAAGTTAAGTCCCTGCATACAGATACATCATTAAGTAAGCATCAGGTTTAAACCTAGGCTTGTTTATTTGAAGCCAGTGTGTTTTCTATTCCCTAGTAAATTGTGACAGGTATTTTTTCTTTCTTTCTGAATTTTTGGATGAGATGGCATCTAACAGAAGACTCTTAGTGTAGTCATCTTGATAAAAGTCAGAGTAAACATGTTAATGCTAACCTAGTAACCTAGTGTCTGGCTGTTCAGATGTCTGTATGTTTTTATTACTTCTCTTCATCTCAGAAGAACAAGCAGGAGCTGGGGATGTGGCTGAGGTGGTAGAGCACTTGCCTAGCACGTGAGGCTCTGGGCTGACTTGACTTGCTCAGGTTTGGCCTCGTGGCCCTGTCAGCTCTCCGCTCAGGCTCCATTCTCTACCACCTCTCTCTGGAAGCAGCATAGAGAGAGTCCCTGCATACAGATACATCATTAAGTAAGCATCAGGTTTAAACCTAGGCTTGTTTATTTGAAGCCAGTGTGTTTTCTATTCCCTAGTAAATTGTGACAGGTATTTTTTCTTTCTTTCTGAATTTTTGGATGAGATGGCATCTAACAGAAGACTCTTAGTGTAGTCATCTTGATAAAAGTCAGAGTAAACATGTTAATGCTAACCTAGTAGCCTAGTGTCTGGCTGTTCAGATGTCTGTATGTTTTTTTATTACTTCTCTTCATATCAGAAGAACAAGCAGAGCTGGGGATGTGGCTGAGGTGGTAGAGCACTTGCCTAGCACGTGAGGCTCTGGGCTGACTTGACTTGCTCAGGTTTGGCCTCGTGGCCCTGTCAGCTCTCCGCTCAGGCTCCATTCTCTACCACCTCTCTCTGGAAGCAGCATAGAGAGAAGGCCCAAGCCTGGATTTGATACCAGGTGATGACTGACTTGTGTCTGGCCACTGAATCTATAGCCTGTTTTTCTCCTAAACCCTGTTTTTCCCCCCTCCGCCATTTTAATGAAGGTGCCAATCCTTCAGGGTTGACACCAGGATGGAGTAAGATGCAAAACATCTTAAATTATTCCTCTTGAATCAAAATTCTTAATTGTCTGTAGGTGAGATTACAACCTTGTTTAAAAAAAAATCTCAGATGAACTAATTCACTCTTTCCTTCAAAAAAATTCTTTGATATGTAACTTATTGCATATTAAAGGAAGACACTAATAAAGTAAGTGATTAAACCTTAAAATAATGGTGTCAGTAAAGGGGAAATCCCCGTGCTCCTCACATCATTCTCTTCGTTTGACTACTACACAGCCTGAGTGAGAATATATTTAGGTTACTCTTTTTCTGAGACAGGTTCTTGCTGACCTCAACACTCAAAATCTTCTTGCTTCAACTTCCCAAGTGCTACATGCATCACTATACCCAGTGGGCTCTCTACTTTTTAAACGACACATTTTTCCAGTCCATTAAAAAGAATAGGAGGCAGAAATCAGCAGGATTATGGTTCAAGGTTAACACTGGGCAAAAAGTTAGCAAGACCCCCATCTCAACAAATAAGCCAGACACAGTGGAACATATCTGTAATCCTAGCTACTTGGGAGGTTATAGGTAGGAGGATCGTGCCCTGAAGCCAACTCTAGGCAAAAACACAAGACCCTACCTGAAAATTAAAGCAAAAAAAAAAGGTCAGGGAGAGGATGGGATTGGGGACGTGCCTTAAATGGTAGAACACCTACCTGCCTAGTAAGTATAAGGTCCTGAACTCAAACCTCAGTGCTACCAAAAAAATAATAATAGCAAAAAGTTGAATTTCGAACATCCCCTCTGATATTTCACATTTTCTTCCTGTTCTCACTTTTTCTTTTTAGCACTTACTGTTAGCATACTCTCTAGTGTGCTTATTGGTCGTGTCTGTCGTCCAGCTCACTCACTAGAATGTAGCCCAGTGGAGGTGAGGCTCTGGGCTATTCTTGTTCAGTATGTGTGTTTGTTGCCTCACACAGGGTTTGGGGTATAGTAAATACTGTCGAATGATGAACTCACTATTTTCACATCCATGTGAAATTCAAGTGTCCATTGGAAAGAATCCTTATGTGCTAGACAGACACATGAGTTTGACTCTACCTGTCAGAGTACATGACCGAAGAGTTTCTAGGACTTAATCATTGTGTGAGTAATGTGAATTTAGGAGGGACTGTTGAAGTTGTCATAACAGAAGCTACTTCTTACCTAAATAACTCCCTGGGTTTTTCTTTGTTTGCTTGCTTACTTGGTTAGTGTTTTGGACTTTTTGAGTCAGGGTCTAGTGAGGTACACAGGCTGGCCTGAGACTTGCTGTATCCCAGGCTGGCTTCAAACTTGTGATCCTCTTGTCTCGCCCTAATTCCATGTTTTTATTACAACATTCCTAAATAGCTTTATACAGAAATTTACGTAAGAAGTCTCCATTGATATTTGAAACACCTATTAAATAACCTTTTTTCTCTATCTTTTCTGTTTGTAAGGAAACACGATTTTTTGTTAGATCAATAGAACACTTGAAACACATTCTTAATGCCCATGTTCAGAATGGTAAGTAAATACATGCTAAAAACATCACTGATTATTCAAAAGAGAGATGCTTTAATAATAAAGAAGTTTTAACTTGCTTATCCTACCACCTAGCTTAGCTATCTTGCTGTATGCAAAGTATTTCCCTTTAAACTGCTTGGAAAAAATGCTATCCAGAGTGGGGCTGGGGTTGTAGGAATTGTTACCAAGAATTGTCCCCCAAGCTGTCAGATTTATGCTGGCTAATTGCCAGCTGTTTAGAAATTTTAGTTGTAATGACACTTCTTAGTGAATATGTAAATAGAAAACCCAGATGTTTTTGTTTGCTTGGGGTTTTTTAAAAATATTTTTTATATTTTGTTTTTTAACACTTTATGAATTAAGCGATTCTTAATATTCTTGTGCATATCTTTTGTTAGTCATTTCTCATGGGTAAAATGGCTAGATGATAGGATACATACATATGTAGCTGTAGTAGATACTACAAAACAGTTTTCCAGATAGTTTACCAACTTATTATTTCACCAACAATGTCTGCCCCATGATCCATGTCTTTGTTAGCACTTGGTATATTAGCATTAAAAATCTAGGTGTTCAGGGGTGTAGCTCAGTGGTGGAGCCTTGCTTAGCATTTATTAGGCCCAGCTCTGCAAAAAAAAGGAATCAGTAAAAATATTTTAGCCTTTCTGGTGGTTGTGTGATACTATCTTCTGTGATTTTATATTTTGTTCTCATTCCTCACTGGAATCTTTCAGCCATTTTGATAGACTCTTCTGCAGTCTGGTTCTGAGTTTTATTAAAGATGAAGATTATTGTTGACTTTTTAAGTATTGCATAAGATATAAAAAATTATTTCTCAGTAAAGAGCTTGTAGAATTTAATAAGCTTGAGGAAGACAGTGTCTGTGCATGTGATGGAAGCGACAGTATGTCAGCACACTGCTTTCACTTCCTATCTAGGTATTGCGTTGATGATGTGGAACACGTTCTTGGTTAAGAGATTTTCTGCTGCTGCATACTTGATGGATAAGGTAAGTAGTTTTAAATTTTGAGTACTGACTTTTTATTTAGTTAGTTCCCTTAATTGACAGATAATAGAAAGATTGTTCCACATACACTTTCCTCATGCTCTGGTAAGTGTAATTCCCAGTACTGGTATTGTAATGACATGAAGAAGAGCCATAAAGCCTCGAGGGTATACTGTTCAGTAGAAATCTCTGCCTAAATGCCTTAGCATGGTTGGTTGATTCAAGAAAGTAATTACATTTTATTTTAAGTTGAAATACATGGATACATACTTAATTCATCAATCTTTGCATTTAGAGACAAGATATTTTCTTTGAATAGGGCTGATTGCGGTTCTAGTTTGGTTTTCTTACATAAATCTCATCCATAATGCATTGTCTTTCATTTCTAGATCCTATTTCTTTACAACTGTGATATAACTTAAGTGCAAAGTCTTAGTATTTTATAATTTCCTAATCATTGTAGTTGTTTCTTTTCTATTTTATCTAAGAGATAAAGAGGAGAATATTCTCCTCTACAAATGTTTCTAAGGTATTCAGCATAACAGTGATATAAGCAGCTTCCTTTTCCTCATTTATATTTCCTCATATAGTTAAATCACATAATTACATTGACACGTGCAGCCAGAATGAGTAGATTTGGAAACAGGTATAACATGTAAGCATAGAAATCAACTGATGGAACTAGAATCTGCTTGCGTGCTAGAGACTAGCTACTAGCTTCAAGCCAAGTGACCAGGGGAGCTAGTTAATATGTTTTACAGGCCAGTCAAGAAAATAGGGTAACCTGGTATCAGTTAAGTGAATATCAAGAGACTCACCTGTATGACAACAGCATATGCTGCTGAAATGTACAGTGACAACAACCACTTCTGCGTCATGACTAGCACTGCAACCCAGACCTCTTTTAGGTCACTGCTCCCCTTGAAAATGCTTTGTTTGATTTATTTGCCAGTAATAGCAACTGCTTTATTTGCCACAGTAATAGCAACTGCCAAGTTAAATGTAACCATTTTGAGGCTGGGGGAGTAGCTCAGGAGAAGCTCAAGAGTTGATGAACACGCACAGTACGAGGGAAAGTAACCATCCTTCCTTCCTTGCTTCTCTCCCTGCCGGACTCACTGCTTCCTTCCTACAACTTACTTCCTTTGGCCATGCGATAGCGCTCTCTTACTCTACACTTCTGACCTCCTCTTTTGAGAGAATACTCTTAACAAGTAATGTATACATGTGTCACAATTTGTAGTTTCATAAGAGTCGCACGTCCACAGTCACAACTTTGCTTTCAGTAACTTAAAGGCGGGATTTCATTTCACACTCATTGACTCAGTTGATTCTGGGCCAGTGAAGCTTTTTGGGCAGATGAACTTGGAGGAAGAGGCTATTCACCTCATTGCAGGCAGGAAGCAGAGTGAGGGAGGAAGGGCCTCAGAGCCAGGTGTAACCTTCAAAGGCACACCCCTGGTGACCTACTTCCTCCAGCTAGGCCCTCCCTCCTAAATTCTCCAGAGCCTTAGCACCACCAGCTGTGACCAAGCATTCAACACACAAGCCTGTTGGGGACAGTTAACCTGTAATCTTAGCTACTCTTGATGTGGAGATAGGGAGGATGATGGTTCACAGGCAGCCCAGACAAAAAGTTAGCAAGACCCCATCTCAGCAGAAAAGCCAAGAGTGGTGATTCACACCTGGAGGCATAAGTAGAAAGATCATACTTAAATATCACACACACACTTGGCAAAAAGTGTAAGATGCTATCTGAAAAATAACTAAAGTGAAAAGGACTAGGATTGTGGCTCAAGTATTAGAATGCTTGCTTATGTAGCAAGCATAAGGCCATGAATTCAAACCCTAGTACTACCAAGATAAATAAATAGGCACAATTTAGAGCAAGAAGCATTTCCTTTGCAGGCAGCAGATTTTGGATTTTCTAGTATATGATCTGCTTAGCGAAAGGCACAATAAATGGAGGCTATTATACTAGATACATTGGGGCGGTTTTAAGCAAAGGAATTGTACTCTCCTTTTTCTTCCTTTTCCCTTTCCTTCCCCTCCTTCCTCCCTCCCGCCCCCTCCCTCTTCCCTTCCCTCCTTCCCTTCTTCCTTCTCCTTTCTTTCTTTATAGGTTCTTGCTCTGTGGCCCAGACTGTTTAAACTCATGCCTCCTACCTGAGCCTCTTGAGAGCTATGATTACAAGAATATAATCCTGTAAACTCTCTTATGAGAGCTTTTTCTTTATAGTTCAAAAATACAGAGTTTATTTTAGCTGTGTGTGTCATACTTGCCTGTAATCCCAGCACTCAGGAGACTGAAGCAGAAGAGTCTCAAGTTTGAGACTACCCTGAGCTACATAGTGAGACCCTGTCATAAAACATACACACATACATATGTATATAAAGTTGATTTTTAAAAAGGATTTTGAGTTCTACGAAATTAATTGCATCAACAAATAACTAATGGCAGGTTACGACATTTATTTATAGCTGCATTTGTAGTTTGTAAATTTTATTTTTTATTTTTTATACCATTGTAATGCCTTTTAATTTAATAAATATTTTAGCATTTTGTATCCTTTTGTCTCAGGTTGGAAAAGCACCAAAAGATAGGTTATGCCGAAGGGTAAGTGAATCTCTTAACTGTAAGTACAGTTGTTAATCCTACAGTTAACTGTGGGGTGAACTTTGCCTTTTACTGTTTTGATGACATGTCAGGAGATAAGAAAATAAAATATTAAGGAAATGGTCATGAACTATGACCAATTTTAACTTACCTTTCCAGATTGTCAACTAACATGTTTAAACTAAGTTTTCCTAAGATGTATTCAATTTGGACCATGGTCAGAAAGATAACATGCTACCATTTTTACATATTTTTGCTCCACTTTAGAAATTTATAATAGAAAAATCCAACATCAAATCGAAGCACACTCATAAGAGTAGTAGTAATAGCAATTGTATAAACACAATATTGGCCTAAGTAAGATTCTAATACACAGGTACTGGGCTTCTGCTTGAGGCTAGTGAGGAAATGTTCTTATTGCCAGTATCTTAAGAGATACTGGGACATATGAATCAAGCTGTTATAGGTCCTCATTCCCAAACAGTCACCATTGTTGAAGAATACTGGTATGTTCTTGAGAGTGGTTGTATGAATAGAGATGTGTGGTGTGTGCATGTGTGCATCTGTAAATTCTGTACTTTGGGATGTGGAGAATGCAGTGACTGTTGGTTTTTAAAGACTGTACATGAATGCTGCTTGGACAGGCCTAGTAAAGGAGTCAGTAGGAGCACTCGTGTTCCACAGCATGACTGGCATTTGGTTCTCAAGTGGGGAATTTTAGTTTTGTTCCAATGATTAGTTCGGTCCCTAGAAGATGCTCTGAAACCAGACCAGATTGGTTTTTTTTTTTTTTTTTAAGAACTTTTCAGGTTGGACTTTCATGTGTCTTGTGTTCCGTGTTAGTTGGCTAGCAATCTCAAAAACCAACTGTCATTACCATGCACAAAGAACACTGCTGTTTATCTACCCTTGTATGTATGTGATTGAACTGAGGGCTTTGAATAAGCTAAGCACACGCTTGACTGCTGAGCTGTATCCCCTCCCTAGATCACTAATTTTTTTTTTTTAAAGTTGATAGTAGTAATACTTTTTTGAAACCTAGTTTTCAAATTGGTTGACCCTACAAAACCTACAGGAAGGAACTTAAGTGTGTCAGTGACTTGACTTCAGTTTCTTGCCAGTTGATTCAGTGTAGAAAGTCAGGTGAATAGATGTGCTGCTGGGTCCTGTGTTTTTGATAAAGTAACTACAGAAGTTTTTCTTCAGGGGCTAATTATGTTCTGTTTTGAAAACAGGATGTAGGGATGAGTGACACAGCAATGACGTCTTTCCTGGGCTCCTGCTTAGATCTTCTTCAGACTTTAATGGAGGTAAAAGTGGTGTACTCTAGCCAGCATGGTGGTGCATGCCTGTAATCCCAGCACTCAAGGCTGAGGCAGGAGGATTCCCAAGTTCAAGATCAGTCTGGGATACATAGTGAGACAATGTCTCAAAGCAAAAAAAAAGAAAAAAAAGGGGAGGGGAGAGAGGGTAATTCTCATTCTGAGCAGCTTCTAATATATTAAATACTGTGAAAATCACTGGCCTTAAGAAAGGACTGCTTTAATGAGATAATTTTTCATTTATTCATTTCTAGATTTTGGCTTAAGCTTAAATATTAGTGTTCGTTCCTACTAGATTAGATTTTGTGTTCTTTTTATTATGATTGGGGGGGGGGGTGTTACAGAACATGGATTTGCACTTTGCTGCTAAAAAACTCTTTAGGCTATTTGCAAGCTGTTATTTTTCCAGTTCTTAACACAGTCCTCCATTCTCAAAACCCTTAGGCAGATGTTAGCAGGGATGAAATGCAAGTGCCAGTTCTGGACACTGAGGATGCTTGGCTGGCTGTTGAAGGCCCGATCTCTATAGTGGAACTGGCCCTGGAGCAGAAGCACATCCACTATGCGCTGGTGGAGCACCATTCCATCTTGTGCTCCATGCTCTATGCAGTCATGCGGTTTTCTCTGAAGACTGTGAAGCCACTTTCCCTTTTTGATAGTAAGGTGAGTACCTCTCTTTCTTCCCCCAGTCCCTCTGATTCTTGCCATAAACCTCTCAAAGGAGAAAAATGTTGTTGGACCCAAATGTGGTAAAGGCAAGTGCCATTGGTTGGTTCCCTGCCCCTGACCAAAGCAGGTCTCAGAAGCAAAGCCACCCTTGGACACCACCTATCCCTGTCACCATTATTTTTGGCTCCCCTCATATCTTTCATGTGTAGATTAAAGAATTAAAAAGAAAAAAAAATGGAGCTGATTCTAGTACCTTCCTCATGGTTGTTTTGAGGAAATTTACAGTTTCAATATGATGCACTTACCCATGTCTGACTCGTGGTAAATAATAAATGGTGCAATTATAGACCCTTATTACATCTAAGATTACCAAGTGGGAACTAGATAGTAACAGATGGTGTGTGTGGAAGAGCTTTCAACCATGATACCCAAAATGTAAATGGGTTTCCTTGGGAAGCCTGGTGTTTCCCCCTCCATACCGTCGGGGTTGGAAATCAAACCCAGGGCCTTGCTCATGCTAGGCAAGTACTACCACTGAACTACATTCCCAGCTCTGCTGGGTACATAGCTTTAACCCGTCTTGGCAGTCACACTGTGTGACCTAGAGTAATAGGTTATTCAATATGGGAGATACTTGAGAAGATATTTGGAATGACTCGTTTGCAAAAGAAATAGTAACTCAAGGGGGCACAGCTCTAGTGGTGAGGCACTTGCTAAAGGCCCTGAGTTCAATTTTCAGTACACCAAAAAATAAAAATATTACACTGTACCCCAAGATTATGGGAGTAATTTGCCCAAGGTAATCCCATTGGAAGTGGTGGGTCTGGAGCTGGAGCCTGGGTCTTTCAACTTAAATGCTATTGCTTGTTGCTCTGTAGTACAAAGGAATTTTTGATGTGCTATTTTCTAATACTGTTTTGATTCTTCACACATCATCTATTTTCTTAAACAAGGTGGTTTTAAACAACTCAACAACTGTTTAAGAGGATGCAGAGTACATGCTGTTTTAGAAATCTGTTACTGCTTAGCAAATCATTTTAAAACTTGGGGGCTGGAAACAACATTTATTACGTTGTTTTGTTTTTGTTTTTTAGTGCTAGGGATCAACCCAGGGCTTTGCACATGGTAGGCAGGTGCTCAACCACTGAACTATACATGCCCCTGCCCCTTGGTTTTTTGACACAGGTTCTCACATATACCACCACACCTAGCTTACCATCTCAGTTTTTGTGGGTAAGGAATGTGACTTCCCTTATCTAGGTGCAGCTTGCATAACATCTCTCATGAGAACTGAAGTTAGGGTGTTGGCTGGGGATGTTGTCTCACCTAAAGGCTCAGCTGGGGTGGGAATAATGATCCACTTCCAGGCCTGGTTGTTGGCAAGATTCAATTCTTTGCTACATGCTCCTCTCCATAGGGCAGCTTACTTGGCTACTGGCTTCCCTCATAGGTAGTAAGAGTGAATGCAAGCACCCAAGGCAGAAACCACAGTACTTTCATAACTTAACCTTGGAAGTGACATGCTGTCACCTCTGCCTGATTCTATTTGCTAGGAGTAATATCAGCTCACAGTCAAGGGGATGGAATCCTAGGGCATGAATATCAGGAGGAAGGGTCACTAGGGGCCATCTTAAAGGCTGCCTCTAATATACTAGATAATTGTTATAAAAATTAAAAGAATAAAATTCTAAAATCTTATCATTTAAGGAGAAAATTTAAATCAACCATAAATTATTCATGATTTAAAGATTTATTTTTTTTAAATCTTTCCCTTTTCTCCCTTAAGCCAACTCATCAGTTTTCTTGATTTCTTTGTCTTTAGGGAAAAAATGCATTTTTCAAAGACCTGACATCAATTCAGTTATTACCTAGTGGGGAAATGGATCCAAATTTTATTTCTGTACGACAACAGGTAAATTCTGTTACTGAATTTCATTCTTGTTTCTTCAGAAGAAAAACAGGAAAGGAAAATCTAATCGTCCTTTAAAGCATGACCACTTTCAAGGTATTCTTGAGAGCTAGTTTCCCTTTAAACTATTGTTTCCTTTTTTGATAACTAAAACAATTTTAATGGAAGTGCCACTCTGACAGAGAAGCCAATAATTACTTTCATTTAGATATTTTTTTTCATGTTGAACAGAAACCTTTTATTTTTAATTCAACATTTACTTAGGGTAAAATTTGGGAGGTTTTAAAAATCACTTTAGTTCAAATATTTTGCAAATTATTTTTCAAATGTTTACATATTTTGTCATAGTTTTAGTCATATTACACATACTCATATTACCTTGCAATTTGGTATTCCATATAAATGTTTTATATTTCCTTGAGTATTTCTAGTTATGGCCTTGTAATGTTTCACTGTGTTGATGTTGTATTATTTGCTCACCCAGTCTCTAATACTAGATTCTAGTCTCCCAGTTAATTATAATATCAAATTAATATTGCTTTACTTTTTGGCCTTTAACTTGTTCCTAAATATACATTCCTTACAGTGTACTGATTGAATCGAAGAGGAAGAACATCTTTAGGGGACCTAGTACACATTTCAATACTGATACTCTCAAAATTGTATGACAGATTTTAATACCGCCCATTAATGATTGAGGGAATAATACTAACATTACCAAGACTGTTTTTATCAACAACTTGACCCTTCAGAACTCTTCCCTAAAACACAAGAGAATTTCTTCTTTTTTTCCCTTCCTCCCTCCCTTCCTTCCTTCATTATCTTTTTTCCATTTTTTTATTAGGATATATTTGTTGTACAGGGGGGTTCATTATGACAATTCTGATTAGTTTTACATTATATGTTGGTTAGATTGATTTCATTATTATTAGATGAAACTTACTAATGAGACATTGCTGTATCTCTTTCTCAAGTTCTTATTGAAAGTTGTTAGTGCAGCTGTCCAGGCCCAGCATTCAGCCAGCAAGGACAAAGAATCCTTAGAAGAGGCAGCAACCACTCCTTTTGGGAAAGACCAGGATTGGCCAGTTCTAGCTGTGGATTTAGCCCATCACCTTCAAGTCAGCGAAGATGTTGTTAGACGGCATTATGTGGGGGAGCTCTACAACTACGGAGTGGACCACTTAGGAGAAGAGGTAATGATGACCCCATGGGAGTAAAGAATCAGTAAAACCTCTAAGATAGCTCTTTGCTGTTCCTTTTCTTAGAACTTTTAAGTGCAAAAATAGAAAAGAATATTAAAATGTAAAACTCTTTTGAGTAAATTTCTATAGTCTGCCATGGCATTGATGGTCTGCTGGAGGAGAAAAGCACACTAAATTTTGTATTGAGTGATAAGCATTGTGAAGAAAATAGTCAAATGAATAAATAAGAGCTGCTATAATGGGGTAACAGAAAAATATTGTTTGAACTCAGTCCCTAAGGATAAGAAGCAGCTAGCCACTTAGAAAACTGGAGGAACAGTGCTGAAGACAGAATGATGGAACACAGAGGCCCTGAGGTTGGGACCAGCATGGCTAGGTGCAGGATGAGAAAGACTAGTGTAGTTGCCAAACTTAGTAAGGAGTATGAAATAAGGAGGGGAGGGTGGCCAGGGCCACAACAAAGAGTCTCCAAGCCCATGGTTATTCTAAGTGTATTCAGTAGCCATCAGAGTATTTGAAGCAGTGATGACATGATGTAATTCCCTTTCTGAACAAAATGCTTGAAAATATGTAGACACACTGAGTTATGTAGTCATGCTGAATTGAAAAGTTACATGATAAACTAGGGTTATAGCTCAGTGGTAGAGTGCTTACCTAGCACTGGTGATCCCTAGCACGGGGCAGGGGGCACACTCATGAAAGAAAGAAAAATTACTAGAAGAGAACGGAGTGGGGGTGGGGTAGAGTGGAATAGCCAGTTGATGAGCAGAAATTCAAGTCTAAATTAGCTAAGTTTGATTGGGTTTCATTTTAGTTATATACATGGCCACACCTCAAAAAACAAGAATCTCTTCAATGGTATCTCCTTTCTTAGAAGAAATAAATTGATTTGTTCTTACTACGTTATTTCTCTGTGTTCCTATCTTCAGGCCATTCTACAGGTTCATGACAAAGAGGTCCTTGCCTCTCAGCTGCTGGTGTTGACAGGGCAGAGGCTGGCTCACGCACTCCTCCACACCCAGACGAAAGAAGGGATGGAGCTTCTGGCCAGACTTCCACCCACACTCTGCACTTGGCTGAAGGCAATGGTAAGTACAGTAGAGTGAAATCAGACAGGTCACTGGATGTTTCCTTAAATGAATAATCCATAACAATTATGAAAAGAACTGAACTACAAGTTCAGTTTACCTAGTTCCAAATAACTAAAAGTGTTTTTACAGGGAAATTAACTGCTGTGGTAAGTCTAGTTGTATATTACTAATGGATTATTTTTGTGTCCATTTGCAGAACCCCCAGGATCTTCAAAACACTGAAGTGCCAATTGCAACAACCGCTAAACTAGTAAATAAAGTAATTGAGCTTTTACCAGAAAAACATGGGCAGTATAGTCTAGCCTTGCACCTCATTGAGGCTGTGGAAGCCATATCTATTCCTTCTTTATGACATTTATCTACTGAAAATAATCTAAAATTGTGTGACTACAACATCAATTAGTGCATGGCCATTTTACATAGTAAGATCTAGAATTTTATGGAATATCTTTTTTGTTTTGTAAAATAAATAAAAATATCTATTACTTTCAAAAAGTGCTGTCCTGGCTAAATTCCACTCCTTTGGTTAATATTGAGGATAAAATATAAATTAACATTAATTGTACTATAATTGATACAGATGTTTTACTGTATCAAACATTTAAGTCGCTTTATTGTTAAACATCGCTATTTAAAATTGTTTATAATTTACAGATGTTATTATAGGATTCTGCATTTCACATTCATCCTGTTATTGTTGTGATTAAATTAAATGTGCTCATGTATAGTCCCCATCAGAACTGTTAGAGAAACATCCCACTTTCCTTTAAAGACTGTTGAGAAAATGTGTTTGTTACCATGATTAACCCTACGTCAGGCTGCACCTGGGAGTGCTGGGTGTAGGTAGGTCTTTTTTAGAGGTGCTGTTGCTGCTGCCTTCAGAGAAGGAATGGGTTTCAGGCCTTTAGAAGGGACACCAGGTAGAACCCTTAACCTGTTGTACTTGCCAAAATGAGAATCTGAGATGTGAACAACCAGCAAAATCAATTATAATGTAAATTTCTGCCAAGCTGAAAAGCTATATGCATACAAATCAGGAAACTGTAAAAATGTATGATTTTGTAAAACTTATATAAAAAAAGAAAAAAAAAGCAAAGACTCTAAGATATTTAAGTCCAATTTTATTTTTCCTATAAATGTTTAGAAATGTTTGCTTCTGGGATTTGATAGTGTTATCTGTCCATGGGAACAGTAATGGGAAAAAAGTGCTTAGTGACATTACGGCTTCAGCAAACCTACCTCACTCACAGGTTGAAAGGATAAACTACAACTAATTTTGTACCCTACAGTGCCTACAGCAATACAAGTGCTAAATATCTGTTGATCAAAACCAAACTAACAAAAGTCTGTAAGAAGTGCTTTGAGCTCTATAAATACCAAGTACTTATTATGATGTATCTTTGGAATGTAGCCACAGTGCAATTACTGATACCTGTCACGGACAATTGTTATTCGTAGTAACTCATTGTGATAGAGAAGTTTGTTTCTTCGCTCCCTTGTAAGAAGCCAACTATAGCATTTTGCACAGTTGAGGAAAATGATATAAAGAGAAAAATGTCTGATATTTAAGAATATTCAAATATTCTTTTTCACTAAAAGATCACCTCTAAGTTAAGAACCTAACTGGCTAAAACTGAATTATTGTTAATGTAGCTATCAGAGTTCAAATCTTGAAAGAAAAATGTTTTAGGTTTTGAGAGACTGGGGTGGGCCTGTGAGTCTGACAGAGGTACAAGTGGTATAGAATAGCAACACTGGAAAGGGCCTGAGCTAGCCCAGCCTCCCCTCCTCTGCTTGGATCTCCACTGCCCCAGCCAGCCACATTCTAGAATTCCTTATAAGCGTACCTCGCTTCATATAAATAGTCACTTGTGACTTGTGTTCTAAGAGACTAATTTTTCCTATGATTTCTTAAATTCTCTGAAAGTAGTAAGAATTTAGGCAGCCAAAGAAACTTAGAATTATAAGCATTTTTAAGGATTAAATCTTTTACTCTCTAATTCCATTATCGCTTGGAGGGGGTGGTGCTTGCATTTTAGATAGTAAAACTGGTTGACTTTAACTCTGGTATGAAATAATCAAACCTGAGAACCACTGAGAATAAACTGAAATCTGGTTCACAGAACCATAACACAAGTCATTGAGTCTCTAGTTAGATGTGTCATCCATAGAATTTTAAAACTGAATTCTGAATTTTATGGTTAAAAAAAAGCAGTTAAATACTCTACTACTTCATTAAGGGCTTTTAAAATAAATCTGATAACAAAAAAAGGAAAATTATGCTGGGTGTGGTGTTGCATGCCTGAAATTCCAGCTACTTGGGAGGCAGAGACAGGAGGATCTCCAATCGGGAAGCCAGCCTGGAAAAGGTAGAACAATGTCTCAAAAGCAAAATATGGGCTCAAACTCAGTAAGTGTAAAGCCTTGGTTCAATCTCCAGTACCACAAAAAGAAAAAAATGCCTATGTATATGTTCTGTCACAAAGGAATTGGATTTCCCATAGAACAGGTGGTTTCTGAGATACAGGGCATGTGGCCCTTAGCGCAGGTACTGCTGTAACCAGTTGTGTTTTCCTACATACACTCCCCTAATTTCTTCTTTACAGTCATGTTTTACCTTATGAAATTCTATTGTACAATGCTGAAGGGAAAAATGTTCAAATAATCCTAATTTCTACATTACAGGTTGTGCTCAGGTATAGAACTAGAGGCGTCAGGATAAATGCAGAGGTACATGGCACCAGGCTTCTAAGTGCTTCAGACTTTTGTAAAAAGAAAAAACAAAACAAAACAGTTTTATCTTTGTTTTATAAAAATTCATCCAAGGTCAAAGTAAACCCTTTCACATTTAAATTGTTTAAAAAAAAAAACATGATTAATTTCAATTTAAAATCACAGAAAACTAAGATTTAGTAATAATAAGCTTACATTAATTACAACATTCATGTAGACGTTGCTATGGCCCATTTCATTTACAAGAGACAAATATTTTTACAGTACACTATAGCAAGAGTGAAAGCCCTCCCTCCCTCGCAGGAATGGGTTTGCTGGGCTTCTGAAAGTAAGACTTCTGCTGAATAGATTAGCCATCCTTAGATTTTAATCCTATACTGGATTGTTTATAAAATGCTCTTTTATCTATTGTAATGTATTGTAAGTAGTGAAATTCTGTATATATTGCTATTTTCTTCATGTTCATTGTTGTGAACTTATGTATATTAGTGAAATAAATTCTCAGCTTTCATTTTGTTTCCTTAACATTCAAAAATGTAAGTATTAACCCCTCTTGAGAAATAAATTTGGGAAGGTTTCTCCTTCTAATCAAAAAACCCAAGCTGTTAAAAAGCTTAATGTTTGCTAGCGGGAGTACAAAATGACTTGGTCTCTTAGGGGGAACACACCTCTGCCCTCCCCTTCAAAACCACATGCTTTCCATTTGTTATTCACAACTTTTGACCAACGTCAGTCAGCAGGTGTCCAGAATGCCTTTATTTTCAGAACTTAAATACTGAGTCAAAAAGATTTTTATAAAATATAAAACAGATTCTGCTCAGCCACAGTTGAAGGAAAGCCTATTCGACATCTATGTTCTGAATAAGTCTATGTAGATATATATAAATACATATATATGGTGTGTATGCATAAATATATATATGTATACACACACACACATATATTTCCATGTGTATGTACACAGGAAATACTTCTTTTATAATTCTGATTCTGAACCTCATCCTTCACGAGTTACTCTTCCACTCCTTACTTAAGCCTTCCTTTCTTTGGCCTTCCTTTCTTTCTGATACTGTAAATAATCCATCTAAACTCCCAGTCAATAGTGTCAAGAGTGTTCTTGCTCAGAAAGCTGTTAACCCCAGAGTTCTACTTTCCTCCAACCACCTCTGCACATCGGGGACAGAGTGTGTCTGAAGACTCAGCTGTGTATTTCCAACATCGAGGGCACTTTTCCTTGGTAGTTGGTAAAACAATTACTTTATATGAAGACTCTTCGCGAATATCACCACCTGTGAGAAAAACACAGAGTATTTCAAACAAACCATTCAACTTGTACCACTTTCCTAATTGGCTTAACAGGTGTTCCTTTTCCAAAGCTTTCTCGTCCACGCCTTGGGAAAGCTGGTCAGGTTTTGCCTCATTACATAAACTGCCAAGACAATGGGAAAAAATGAAGAAAACCAAACAATGAGAGATGCTGTGGGACTAAACTAGCTGATTTTTACCCAAGTCACTGAGTTCTGTATCTGTTCAGGTGGAGCAGACTTTCTAACTCTGGTATATAGTTTTGATCAGTACAAAGCCTTGCCAGACTTTGACTTGACTAAGGATTTTAAAAATCCCAAGTTAAACAACAACTGTAGTGACCCCACTCAAAACTTCACTAGCCCTCACACTGATAAAAATAAGTAAGTAAATAATTTTCTAGTCATTGTGCAAAGAATTTACGGTGACCAGCAACTCAGTAGCCAAGAGGCAGGAAAACTGCAAGTTTCAGGCCAACCCAGGCAAAAAAATAGCTAGACCCTGTCTCAAAAAAATAAAAGGCCTAGAATATGACACAAGTAACCAGCATATTCAATCCCCAGTGCTACAAAAAAATCAATAGATTCTGAAAAGCAGATTCACCCAGAATCTTTACTACATGAACAATGCTGCCACGCCTCAAATTTAAAATGACCCCTGTAAATTAGCCTCCCACCTCCCACTGGTACCTGAAAGCTACAAACAGGTCACCTTTCACAAGACACCAACTGCTTATTCTCTGTTAGTGCTACTCTACCTTCACTCCCAATAATGACAGTGAACCAAGTTGATAGAAAGTGCCTTATAAAACAGAAATATCTGCAAAATGCTTGTGAGGTACCACTTCTTTAATCCCTCATTAAAAATGGCTAAATATTTTACTATGGGCTATGCATAAGAAATTTCAGAGTCAACACAGAAGGGTGGGCAGGGCTAGGTGGTACTAAGAACTGGGACACGAGAAATGGGAGCAAGTGAAGCTGAACAGTTAGCCTTTCATTCCCATAGTCATCAGGCAGGAAGGACACTTTTGAGAGCTGGCTTAGACATGTGGCAATTACGTTGTTTCCACAGAAAGATGTGTTCCAAGTATGCATCTGCCTTCAGAATAAACCTAGTCCACTTCTGAAGCTGGACATGACCCACAACCACTTGCCACTCTCACATGCTTCCCACCTTCTAAATTGATGAGGAATGTCCCTTTAAGCTCAATTCCATCTGCAGTTCTCTCGCGTGGATCCTGGGCCAGTAAAGTTGACTGGGAAGCCATCATTAGCTCATTCAACTGAGAGGTGCTGGAGGTTTCTTCAGCTTGTAGCATCTGAAAGTGAGTGTGTGAAACCTACTGTTTAAATTTTCACTGTGAGTTCAACTTATTTACTGGAATATCATCCATGCTTTTCTATACTTTGTTAGATGCAAATTGTCACAAAGAACAACAAAAAACACTATATGGTATTTACTATCCCAATTTTACAAATGAGTAAACCAGCAAAGTGGTTAATTTGCCCAAGTTTCTCAACCAGGCAACTCAAGCCCAGGTCTGTCAGCCACAAAGCCCCTTCCCCCTCTCTCTTCCCCCCTTATCATGCTTCCTACATTCGGAGAGGAACTAAGATACTGTATCTGGACGAAGACCAACAGTGCAGACCAACTGTAGACCAACAGTGACAATCTGAATGATACACAGGACCCTTCCAAAGTACATTGAATTTGGATGTCTGGTAAACACTTACATTTTCCATTGTGATTTTGACTTTCAAAATGAGTTTGTGAGCTAAGCAATACAGATGTTCATTTTATTAAAAACAACCCACAAAAAAAGAAACTCAAAGAGATTAATTTGGTTTTAACAAGTTCATGCAATTAGTTAATTGCCAGAACCAGGACTCCATGTGACAGCTTGCTTTGATTCCTAAGGAAAATACATTTATGTTTTAAAAAAACCCTGACGTACTTTAATCACTACAATGATCTAAAGCCAAGGAAACAGCATATGGGGAAAAAACTTAGGACCAAGTTGTGCGGCCTTGGCTAGGTTACAACTTCAATGTCCTCAGCTTCCTTACGCAAAATTAAGGAGTCAATGCTTCCCAACTTTTAAATCTTAAAATGTTAATATCTGTTCTTATTTTCTGTTAACAGCAATCTCAAACCTACTTGCAATTTCAAGTGTCAAATCTTAACCACTTTAATTACATTGTTAAAAATTTAGGCGTGGTGTGGTGCTTTGAGATATATGTGATAATTTGCTCTAACAAAGAATTTTCTGCAGCACTTGGTGGTGCATGCTTGTAATCCCAGCACTCGGGAGGCTGAAATAGAAAGATTATGAGTTCAAAGCTACCCTGGGTTACAAAATTTTTTTTCTAGATCTCATGAAATTAAAGAACTAATTTTTGGATTTACTTTGAATCTGGTCCACATGGACAAAAATCTCAAAGAACCAAGCCCTTACTAAAAAATTCCCATTTTTATATACTCTAATGGACTGCCATAGATTTACATTCCAGTGACCTTCTAAATAGCCCTGAGGGTTTTCGACTCAAACAGAACTCTCATACCTTCCTTGTCCTATACTATACATTTTATAAGATGTAGGAAACAAAGAATCACCGTTAACATCAATATATCTTAAGATATTTTCTTAAATTCTGGGTGAAGCTGTATACCACCAATACCGTTTCAAAGGGTGCCAATTGCTACATACCTCTATAATCTCAAAGAGCAGCCCAGGCTCTATCACAATGACAACCTCATACTCAGCAGCATTTTTGCCAGGGATGCTTCCAAGAAAGGAGTCTCGCATTGCACACGCGCTCTCCACCGCTTCCTCCAGCCCAGGCTTCTTCCAAATAGAACTTGTGCTAATCCACCCAGTGCGAAAAACACTCTTGGGTTCTTAAAAAAAAAACAGGTCAACTGATTTACATATTTGCTAAACTGTATATAAGCTCTACCATTAAACATTTACTCTTAATGGGAAATAAGGATTGCTATTTATGGTAATTGTGCAATAAATATTTACAAAATATAGAAACAATGGGAGATATCCATTACATGTAAACAGGTAAACTAATAAAGTTCTCAAAGAAAAAAAAGAAGATATACCCCAAAATTAACAGCTGTTGTCTATACTTGTAGGACAATGAGTAGCTTTCCCACATTTTCCTAAACAATTTCTAATTTTCTAAAAGCTTACCAGAATCAGGAGAAAAAAAAAACTTTTATGGTTTGTCTTAATAAAACCTAAAATATGTTGTTTTGGGACATGTACAAAGACTTTTAAGAAAGTGATTTCTCAATGTTGCCAAGGTGCTAGTACATTTCGGAAAGCACTAGAGATGGCTCAAAGGCCACTCTGAAGTCATCCTACTCCACAGCAATAGGTTCAGAAACCACTAAATGTCACAAAGTATCAGTGCAGATGAGTGAGCAGAACTATGTGAAGCAGATAAAGTTCCTTACCTTTAATATAAGGTATGTGCTGGAAGACCTCTTCAGCCAAGTGAGGAAGGATGGGAGCAAAAGAACGAACTAATACATCCAAGATTTCAGCTAACGCAGTCTGACAAGAGCGTCGTTTAGGATCATTTTCACTTTCACAATAAAGCCTGAACAAGAAGAACTTATTCAGCAGTTGACAACACTTTACACATTGTGCTCACCACAACAGAATCTGCCTTGGTTATTTTTATTCTTACAGTGGCTAAGTTATGGCTCCAGTCAAGTTGTAAAATATTCGTTCACACACAACTTATCGTCTATTCCACTTTGCTGTCTCCAGGTGTGCCCACGTCCCTCAACACAACTCATGGTTGGGGAGCAAGAGAGGAAAAACAAAAAAACCTCCTGCTAATGTCCAAGTCTGATTTTCAGACTGAAAATCTGATTGTCTAGATTTTCAATCTAGACTCTAAGATGGTATTTAACATGTGACTCCCACCCTAAAATGCCGTAAGTGTTTTAAGGGCAGCACTGTGAGGTATAATCCCTACGCAGAAGGCTCCCAAGGTGCGGTGCTGACAGTCCAGGGCTGACACCTCACAGTGGAATGGTGACTACCAACAGCTCCTTCATCTGTGTGCCGCCGGAGCACCAAGTGAAGGCTTAGTGTCAACCCTCTTCTAAAAAGACACCACTGACGTGATACAATGTAATAAGGTAACTGCCCTTGCATTTCTCTCTCCCTCAAGATTTGCAAACCCCTGCGGTGTCAAAAGCACTGTTCACTCCCTCACATTTGCAGTGATCACTAACTGAACACTTACTTTAGTTATCTCTTCTTATCCTCATAACCACTTTAGGATGTAGGTTTTATCATCCCCATTTTTCAGATGAAGAGATAGATTATGCTTTAAATTGCCCCAAGTCACACAGCTAGGAAGTGGCAGGGCACAAACTGATAATCACACTGGACTTTGGAACCCAATCTTGATGACCACACAATGCTGTCATCTCTGTATTCCCAACATTCACCAAGCACAAAGTAGACATTCAAGAAATATTAGTTGAGTATTTTTAACACTTAGTCATACATACCTATCCTTGATTATGCTGAAATAAAAGTTGGAGAGTTCTCTAGTGTAAAATGCTTTTAATAGTCGAACAACCTTTCCAAAATCATATTGCTTGTATGAGTCGGTAATCTAGAGAACAAAGTCAAAATAAACTTGGGAGCTGGTATAAACAAGTGAAAATGGAAGTTAAAATAAGCAAAATATGTTCCCATCAGGCGGATAAATAAAAAATAGTCACTAATGCAAAAAGACCTGAGAACCTTCCAAACATCATTCTTAACAAATTTGACTACACTAGAGGATACTGCACTACTCTGGGAACTACAAAAGAATGAGCGCCAAATAAAGGGAGGATCAAGGATCTTTTTGTTTGGTTTGACTTTTTTGTGGTTTGGTTTTTGTTCTAATTTGCAGTGCTGGGAATCAAACCCAGATTCTTGTGCATGCTAGGCAATAACTCTAACCACTGAGCTACATCCCAGCCCTCAAGTTTAAGTGATAAAGTCACACCATTTTTAATGCAGCAGAGTGGAAATTATTGACAATTGATTAATGTTCCCTCATTTCTTCCTCATTTACTTTTGATTTGAGCAAAAATTGGTATATATGCCTCTGAATTAAGGTTACAACTGAAGCAAATGTATTTCTAATTTGGAGAAAACACGAATTATTTGTCTCTGTGTAAATGAGCAAATATATATCCTAACAGACATAAGAATGGTCATTTCAGTTCTATTACTATGATGGACACATCTGTATGTAAACAAAGTTGAACTTTATTCCTTCTTGTTGGACAAACAGAGCTATCTGGAGAGAAAAGCCTGGTCTGTGGGGAAACCTGAGACCACTGCTTCCAGCTAGGTACTTTTCTAGTCTTTTGAGATCTAAGAAAGACATTAAAGCACTTCTCACCTAAGGTCAACTAGGAACATGTGGAATTATCAAATATAACCTTTCTCAAGAGTGCTCTAGTTACTATTTCTAGGAAGCTCTGTTCCACTCAGATGAAACTAAAATGTACCACACGAGAGTACTGATATTTCTGCTGCTCAAAAGCTTACAAATGTACACCTACCTTGGTTGCTAAGTCCTGCAGCAGGTGTAGCATGTACTGGTCTATGACATACATGTTGTTCACAGGAATGGAGTCTGTCTCTGGGTTAAAACCAGCCACGTTTCCCAGAAGAAAGCGGAGCGTGTTTCTAAGCTACTCACAGTGAGAAAAAGTATACAGTCAAAAAAATTCATGGGCCTTCAATTTTCATGAAAAGTTACTTTATAATTCTGTAAGTTTAACCCAACTTTTGTTGCTTTCCTAATAGGGTACTTGCTAAAAATCCTATCATTTCTAAATAATAAACTATAGATGAATAAACAAGCTCTCATTCTAATAGCCCAGTTGTACAAACATCCACTAGATTTTTATGCCTAAAGAATAAGTTGTCATTATATTCCTTTATAATTTCAAAGAGCAAACCACCTTTCAATGGCCTAGTTTATTCATGTGTGTAGGTAAGAGTGTTTTTTTCACCTGTTTCACAAGTGAAAAGAAAGATAAATGCAATTAGTTTGGAGCCTCAGAGGACATGGAAAGTATCTAAAACTAGTATATTTTCACGTCACACTATGTTACAGTTTATGTAGTAATAAAGTGTCAAAAGCATTATGTAAAATCCTTACTGTAATGTTTTTGTGAGTTTTTTTTTATTTTATAGTACTAGAGTTTGAACTCAAGGCCTAGTAAGCACTTTACTACTTTGAGCCACACCTCCAGCCCTTTTCACTTTTGTTATTTTTCTGTAGGTCCTAGCATTTTGCCCAGGGCTGCCTTGGAATGCAATCCTCCTACCTATGCCTTTCATGTAGCTGGAATCATAAACATGCACCACTGCCCTGGGCTTGTCTTTGAGATAGGGTTTTGCTAACTTTCTGCATAGGTTGGCCTCAATCCTCGACCCTCCTGATCCCTACCCCCAGTAGCTGGGATTGTAGGCATGTACTACTGTGCCAGGTCTTACTAATATTTGTAAACAAATTAACACAGGATAGTTAGAAATGTTCACAACATGGGAACTAAGCTAAACAAAACAAGCCCCATTTTTTGCAACAGTGATTTAGAAACTTTTCATTCAGAAATAGGAATAGTATGGCTCTAACCTTGCCAATGTCATCTCTGGCAGCACTGAGTGCAGATGGGCCAACTGTCACTTCAGTAAAGACGTTGGACTCAGCCACCCACCAGCGAAGGACATCAGCACCATAGGGAGGCTCTTTAGTTTGATCCTTTTCATTGAGAAACAACATATAAACAGAATGGCTTTCAGTTCCAATTAGCCAAACAGACGTTTTAGGTAAAGTTCTTATTCAGAAATGTAAGACAATGAATGTAAGTGTATAAACTATGTATGCCAGCATTGTAACGAAATATGGACTAGCAATCTTGAATAAAGCTGCATCTAAAGACAAAAATGCAAAGGAGCAGTGCTGTGCAGCCTTGCTCAATGCACAGATGGGAGCACGTTTTTCCTCCCAGGCCATGTCCTCAGCCATCTATGCTAGGCACAGAGCAGTGCCAGGGATGCCCTGCAATGTGGGTGGGAAGGCAGAGACTGCTTTCCCTTTCACTGCTGCCTGGCAACTCTGTGCATAGAGCATTGAGTGGCTGGCTACAGCAGTAAAAAGCCACAGGAGCAATGAAACAGAAGAGTGAGTTCTCTTATGAAAGCAACTCCAAAAACTCCTAAACTGTCAACAACCCCAGATTTGATGTCTGTCCTTGCTTAAAGTTACACTGTGTCAATTCTAAGAATAAATATGCATTTAGAAAATGCAAACTCATTTTTTTCTTATAAGATTCTATTTAACTATAAAATTACAGTTTACACATATGAAAAGTTTAGAGATTCAGACCAGAAATGTATCAAGAGGACTTTTATTCTGGCCCTTCCTTTCTTTGTTTAACTCAGGTAGGTAAGAGTTTAGGTTTACAACACGGCAAGTCATCCTCTATTCTCTGAATTATTTTTCTTTAATAAACAGGGGTCTCACTCTGTTTCACAGGCTGGCCCTGACCTCCTGGGCTTAAGTGATTGTGCTGCCTCAGCCTCCCGAGGAGCTGGGACTGTAGGCACATGCCACCATGCCTAGTACACTTTCTCTTAATAGAAAAGATAGTTGTGTTCTTTTTTAAAAAAAATAGACATGACTGTATTAAGGGTTTGAGCTGCCAATTTAAGAGCCTTAAAACGAAATTAAATGAACTTTATAGAAACACCTACTTGTCCTCCACTGATGACAATATCAGGATTAATGACATTCCCAAGAGACTTGGACATCTTTTCTCCCTTTTCTCCAAGGGTAAATCCATGGACAACCACTGTCCTAAGAAGACAAACAACTGTTTCAATGTTGAGCACAACTATAATTTCTTTTTGAAGATGACTGAGAATTTTAAAAGAGTATCTTAGTTTGACACAAAAGTAAGATTTTTCTTGGCAGATTACAGATGAAATCTTTTTGGAAAGTACACTTCTCAGCAACGTACGCATGAGGATTGGTAAACACAATCCTCTCTACTTAAACACAGGAAACTTCGGGTGTTTTCAGTCACAGAACACATTTTCCTCATGTCTGTGTACTGATTTTTTTTTTTTTTTGGTTACTGAAACCAACCAGGAAAAAGCATGTCTAAAAAAGAGCAGAATATCACCTCAAAATCACTTGCAAAAAGACCACTTGAAAAAAGCAGGATCCTGCTACTTCATTCATGTTGAAAACATATTGCAAAAAAAAGAGACACATATAAGTTGATCTAGGATGGATTTTCACTGTTAAAGTAGCAAAAATCTTAAGCTGTATAAAAGTCTAATTGAACTTCTGCCCACACATTTGAAAAAGGAAAAGCAATTATCTGTACTTAACAAGAATTTCTAATTAATAAAATTCCCTAAGTAATGTTTCAGTTCACTTATCACTGCAGGTGTCAGAAATAGGGATGTTTCAGCTTGGGCTGTTTTCTTCCAACCTAGAAAATCCCTCCCTGTGTCCTGGTCCAGAAAGTACGACCATAGATCACAGCTCAAGATCTGGCTTTGTGACATTTGTGTGTGTGTGTGTGTGTGTGTGTGTGTGTGTGTGTACTAAGAATTGAACTTGGGCTCCTACAAGCATGTTACCACTTGAGCCACACCCCTAATCCTTCTTGCTTAATTTAGTTTTGTTTTTTCACATGGTTCTCACACCAACTTTACCAGGCTGGCCTTAAGCCACGATCTGTCTACCTCTGCTTCCCAAGTAGCTGGGATTACAGATGTGTACCACCATACATGGCTTGGGTTTTGTTTGGTTTTTTATCATTAGCCAAGTACAAAACACAGCTTGTTTTTGAGACAGGGTCTCACTAATTTTTGTCTATGCTGGAACCACTATCCTCCTGTCTCCCAAGTACCTGGGATTACAGGTGTATGCCACCACACCCAGCTTCTTTTCTTAATTTAAATTATTTCTCTAATGTGACAGGAGACTCTAGTGCTTTCACATATATTACACCATGACCTTGTCTTCAGTTTTACAGTGCCAAATTCAACATGCCAAGTTTTTTACCACAATGACTTAGTAAGCACTTTCATTCAGAAGCAGGAAAAGTAATGGCTCTAATCATCATGCTGATGTCATGTAGTGTATATATAATGTCACACCTAGGTATGTACACGTATACCTGCTCAAGGCTTCCCACACCAGCAGGAGCTCAGAACGGGCAGTAAAGAATGCTGTCTCACTTGGCTCATGGATAAATACTTACTTGAAAGGTGCTTTTTTCCTTACTGCCACACTTGTTAATAAGGAAGACTGAAACCATCCCCCAAGCTGATCTTTTCCTTCCAAGTACAAATCTGCCATTTGGCCAGTACCTAAAAAAGAGATACTTTTTAAAAAATACAGAAACTTAATTAAAATAACAAAATAAAAATAAGGATCTATCAAAGCATTAAAACAATCAAAATAATGACGTTACTTATTTTTGGTGTCACCTAGTAGCCAATTGCCTTCACCTGAGGGGTCACCTCCACTGTCATTGTATTAACCAAGAGAAAAATGATAACCTTCAGTACCATCTCCAGAACCACAGCTCACTAAAACACTGTCTCAACTAGGGGTGGTTTATACTAATTATCACTATCAATGTATTTCCAGTTAAATCTATAATGAAAATAAAATACTATTAATTCAATAAATACTGGCTGAGCATCTAGCAACTATAAATGCCAATTCATTCCATCCTTCTAACTAATAAAAGCAGGCATTATTCTTATCCCCATCTTAGAGATGCAGAAAGTGAGAACACACAGATTTTATGCTTGCAGAGAGAACAGTCGAGCGGGACTCCGCCTGGACTATGGCTCCAGGGAACAGCTTTTAACCAAAAAGCCACACTGCTTCAACAGATCTGAGCTTCATCATGAGGTTCACAAAGACCAGCGAGACACTGTCTCAAACAAACACAAAACCGGTACCTCTAGTACAGTTACTTTAGCTCTTAGAAAAATTATGAAGATTCGTATTTAGAGAAAACAATAAGCTGTTCAGTACCTCTGAGATTGTGAATTAGGCATGGAAGTAATTAAAAGATTAAACCAACTATTAAAAATTACCATAAAAGTGAAACCAGCAAAACATTGAGTTACCTATGCTTTCACGACTGAATTGGTTAACTTAGATGAACTGATGAATTTTAAGCAAGATTATTTTATTTAGTTAAGAAGATAAATTGCCAGGTATTGTGGGCACATGCCTGTTCTCCCAGAACTCGGAGGCTGAGGCAGGAAGACTGTTGAGTTCCAGGCCAGTCTGGGCTACATAGGGAAAGACGTTTTCAAAAAAAGATAAACTAGCACCAGCAAGTATGGCAAAACTATTGCTTAATCTATACAGCACCTGAAAATAATCACTAAAAATATACTAAAATGTAACTATTAATTTTTAAAATTAGGCTATTTCTGACATAATATTGCATGTCCTTTAAAAAGTAACATTTTTAAAAAGGTTACTTATAAACCTAAGTTGTAAGGCTACCTTTGTGGTTTTTTTAAAACAAAAGACCTCTTTTCTCTATTAACTTCAATTTATTTCTGTTTAAAAAAAATCAGAAATGAAATAGAGTAAAGGCTGCTATTTCAGTAGATGACTAGATAAATGAGCTGCAAGCTGTAGTATATTCAGACAATGGAATGCTATTCAGAGCTTAAAAAGAAAACGAGCTATCAAACCAGCACAGGACATGGAGTAAATTTAGATGTGTATTAAGTGAAGTGAAAAGGCTACAATAATTCCAACTACATGGCATTCTGAAAAAGCAAAACTATGGAAACTATGACAAGATCAGTGGTGGCTATACACTGGGGAGGGAGGAGGAATAGGTAGAGCGCAGAGGATTTTCAGGACATTGTTACTGCTCTGTGTGATACTGTGATGTCATTAGACATCTATCCAAACTCAGAATGTACACCAAGAGAGAACCCTAATATAAACTATGGGCTTTGGGTGATAATGCGGTATCAATGTAGGTTTCTTTTTTTGTGTGTGTGGTACTGGGGCTTGAACTCGGGCCTTCACCTTGAGCCATTCCACCAGCCCTATTTTTGTGAAGGGTTTTTGAGATAGGTCTTGCAGAACTATATGCCCAGGCTGGCTTTGAACCATGATCCTCCTGATCTCTGCCTCCTGAGTAGCTAGGATTACAGACGTGAGCCACAGGCACCCAGCTTCAATGTAGGTTTCTTGTCTGTAACAAATATGCCACTCTGGCAGAATGCTAACAGTGGGAGAGGTTATATGTGTTTGTGGGTACAATTGAACTGTACTCTCAGCTCAATTTTACTGTAAACTTAAAAGTGCTCTAAAAAATAAAGTATTAAAAATTACACACACATTAATTATTTTTTAATCACTGAAATAATGCCTCAGTATGCTGAGTGCAGTGGTTCATCATAGCTACTTGGGAGGTGGAGATCAGGAGGACTGCAGTTCAAGACTAGCCCTGACTAGTCTGGGAGTGGTGGCACATGTCTGTCATCCCAACCTCCCAGGAAGCACAAATAGGAGGATCATGGTCCATACCAGCCTGGGCATAAACATGAGACATATTCAATAAATACCAAAAGCAGAGGCCAGGCACAGTGGCTCAAGCCTTATAATCCTATTTACTCAGGAGGCAAAGATCAGGAGAATGGCGGTTTGAGGCCAGCGCAGACAAAAAGTTCACAAGACCCCATCTTAACTAATGCCTGGGTGTGAGAATGCAACTGTCATCCCAGCTACGTGGGGAAGGTAAGTCGGCCTGGATAAAACAAGACCCTATATTAAAAACCACATTAAAAGAGCTGATGGAATGGCTCAAATGGTAGAGTACCTGCCTACCAAGAGCAAGGCACTTAGTTCAAAACCCAGTACCTCCAAAAATAAATAAATAAACAAGTAAGGTAAAAATGCCTCAAAATTTTTTTTAAAAGTGTGTTTGATGTGTCAATATGACTTATTATATATAAACAAACTCACAAAAATGCCATTCCCAGCTGGGCATGGTGGATCACACCTATAATCCCAGCACCTGGGAGACTGAGACAGAAGAATCCTGAGCTACACGGTGAGATCCTGACTCAAGAAAAAAAAATACCATTTCCTTTCAGAAAGTTTTCAGGTTTTAATTTCTTGGGTTTTATTGACTTTGATTTCACAATGTTACAGGTATTTGACCTGATATCAGAACTTACGAGCCAAATCACTCTCACTGCTATAAAATTTGTCAGCAGAAAGTAAAACCAGCTATGTATGCTACATAACCGAATTCATCCTGTTACACATTAGTAGGTGCAGATGAAGACTGACAGCTAAAACTAAGCTCTAAAGCAAGTTCATTTTATTTTGCAATAATATATTTTCAAGGAAATAGGCAGACACTGAATCATTTTACATTTGATTTGACATAAACCATTTGAGAAAGAAAAGTATAGTAAGACTTCTTGAGAAAGTAAACTTCTTAAAAAAAAAAAGCCTTACTGCTTTTCAAACTATGAATTCACCATTCACCACCTCATACCTTGACTCTCTTTCCCATTTCACTCTTTCTACTTCTGAGATTTTTATCATGAAATACAAAGGAAGGAAACAGAATTTAAGCCAATGAATCTACTACTGATTTATCTCATAAGGTTTTTACTGATTGACTGGGAAGTGATACTTGGTGAAAGAGTAGAAACTACAGTACAGATTGGGTGCATCAGACACTTAAATGACAAGGTAATTTTCCTTCTTTGAGCCAATGATTTAAATATGGCAGGAAAGGAAATGATTTGTTGAGTAGGTACATTTTAACCTCTGACTTCATTAATAAAGAATTTATGTCACAGTCAAAATTACCTGGATAAAAATATCAACACACTAGAGAGCAGGAAACTTTTCTTCCTGCTATCACTTACCGTAAGTCACATTATTTTCCTATATGTTCTACTGATGGGAAAAAAGTACTCAAATTTGAAATATTTCCTTACATACACCTGGAGAAACACAATTATGAAATAATATTGACAATTACTACACAAAAAATTATGAGAAATAATGTGTAGCATATTTGGTCATTATAAACTATTATGTACATTTTAGCTGCCAGAGAGTAAGCATGAATTTACATGCATTGTTTTTCAAATTTTCTAACCTGAAAGTAAGGTCCAAATGAAGGAAATGTAGTTACTTTTCCTAAGAATCCTCCCAACAGTGAGGCCGACTATCAGAATATTCCACATAAAACTTGAGGACAGGGCTGGAGGTATGGCTCAAGCAACAGAGCACCTGCCTATCAAGTTCAAAAATCAAAACAAAAAACACCTAAGAATGATTCCTTTCAATGCCTTTAATGGCAAGCTACACAAACATGCTATTTGTCCCACATGCCCTTGTTCTGTAAAGAAAAACACCTCTCAGGCCACAGTTGGCACTTAGTGGGAGTGTGAGCCTGACTCTGACTTCACAGAGCTCACAGACTTGCTCATTCTATGCCTACCCATTCACGTAGGATCCTTCAGGATATTTCTTGTAAAGCATCTAGGCATGCCCTTTGATGTGTACCTTCCTTCTACTGCTCCCTTCTAATTCCTGCCCCAGGTATCCCTTTTCTCTTTAACCAATGAGTCAAAACTCACCCTAACTAGGACTGGGTATCGAATCAGCCAGCCATCTCTGTGGAGAAGGAAAAAGCCATGAAAAGGCAGTGTGGTGTGGAGGAATGAGAACTGGAAGTCAGAGGACCTGAGTTCCAGTCTGATACTAACTATATAGCCATGTGACCATAACCTCCTTGGCATAAATGATGGGGTCATATTATAACAGTGATTTCTAAACTGGGTGCCTTGGGTTTGCCAAAGAGGCCAAGGAGAATGAACTAGTTAAGAAGGAGGAAAAATCACACACATACACATACACACACACACACACACACACACACACACACACACACTGTACACTTGTTTTTTTCAAACAGGGTCTCTCACTATGTAGTTCAGACTGGCCTCAAAATTCTTGATCCTCCTGCTTGTATGAGACATGTACCACCACACCTGCCTAAAAATTTCCATTTTTATCTATCTATGTATTATAGTTCTAAGTAAAAATTCAGTGGTGGGGGCATGACTCAAGTGATAAAGCACTTGTCTACCATTTACAAGGCCTTAGGTTCAATCCTCAGTGCCCTGCACAAAATAAAAAGATAAAGAAAAAGAAAAGAAAAATATAAATAAAAGATATAAGTTTTAAAGAAAAAATGTAAGTTTTTCATCATGAAACAAACAAACAAAAAAAGAAGTTGGGAGAAATCATTGCATAAAATGTTCTCTAAGGCTCCTTCCAGGTCAAAAGTTACTTCTACTATAGCAGATCTTCTTCCAAATAAAGCAAAAAAATAAAAAAAGAAATAAAATAACAAAGGAATAAGTTTTTTATTTATAGTTTCTTCTAAGTGACATTTCTGTATTTTCAAGACTTCTTGGTTTTGGTATGTAATCTTCTTTTGTAAATTACCTGGAAGAACACAAGACCATGAGGTTCCACTGTCAAACCAGATATCCAGAATGTCCTGCCCTGGCACATATTCCAAGGCACCGGGACCGCCAACCTAGTAAGGTAATGCACAAAAACTTTACTTATGCAAAGGCCACAAAACACAGCAAATATTCCAAAAGTCTTAAGAAAATGAAAAACAACCATTTAATCCACATTTTTAAATAAAATTTAAAACATTCAAAAGCATTTCACAGTTCTGTACAACTCTTTCCACTGGTGTGTAAAAGTGGCCCTCGTTACTCAACAACTCATTTACCAATATAATAAGCACATTATTTTTTGAACTTAACTTCTAGTCTGAACTTTTCGACGTGTGATCTCACAGTCCCGATGGACCCATGTCTCAAGTGCGTGCGCTTAGGCCACGGGACCGCCAGGAGGTAACTAATGGCCCTGGCGCTCCCTGCCATGTTAAATGCTGTGCTTCTGCTGCGCAACCACACAATTTTCAACTGCTGACTCCAAGAATTCTTCACGCTGTCCTCACATCACACAAAGAGACCCTCACCTGAGATAACACATCTTTTGGAAGAAGCTGCTCCGGAGGAAGAGTCCACCAGATATCACTGCCATGTTGTTCCACTAATTTAGCGATATGCTCAATGGTTTGGCTGTTTTAGGGGAAGAGGCAATATTACTCAATGTGTAATGAGTGACAGACTTTTAAAAAACTTTAAAACAGCGGTATCTTTTTTTTTTTTTTGGCAGTACTGGGGTTTGAACTCAGGTTCCTGCACTTGCTAGGTAGGCTCTAGCTCCAGGCCCCTCACTCCCCCTTGCCCCATTTTTTACTTTAGTTACTTTTCAGATAGGGTCTCCAAGTTTTGTCTGGGGCAGGCCTTGGACCCTGATTACCTATGGCCTCTCTCACAGCTAGATCACAGCTGTGTGTATGCATAGCACCCAGCTAATTTGTTGAGATGGAGGTCTCACTAAATTTCTGCTTGGGCTGGCCCCAAATCACAATCCTCCCTATCTCCACCTTCTGAGTAGCTGGGATTATAGGTATGAGGTACTGCACCTGACACTGTTTGGGGCTTCTGGATTTCTGTGAAATCCAGGCTGGCCTGGAGCTTGCTATGTAGCCTAGGGTAGCCTTGAACTTGCAGTCCTCCTGCTATCACCTTCTAAGTGCTGGGATAATAGGAATCTTTTCTTATCTTTAGTAGGATCTTCCCTTCCTTGTTTGGTTGCCACCATCATTCTAAATTCCACATGAATAAAAACAAATGGTTCATATGTACCCCTAAAGAAGAAGAGAGACGTCTGCTAACCTATTTCAGTTAATGACTTCCCTATTTCTACCCATCTATTTTTTGTCCAGGTACCTATACTCAAAGCCCCTAATTACCCTCCTCCAATTCCTGCCCAGATTAAGCCAGCACGTTCTGTCAGTTCTGCCTTTGAAATACTACAGTTGTCCCCAATGACACTACATTACTGCCACAACACTAGATTTATGCAATGGTCTTTTTCCCCCATTCTCATCCCTTCTGTTTTCATGATACACCCTGACACAGATGCATTCCTAAAACTGCTCTTATCACACAAATTTTCTGCTCAAAAACTTTCAAAGGCTCTCTTACTGTGAACAGAACTGAATTTCCCAGCAGAAGCAGTAATGCTGTACTGAAGCCTGAACTCTGTCAGCAGGTAACCGGGCTTTTGTCCCGACTCTGCCACTCTGTATTTATGTGGCCAAGCACAAGTCCAAGACTTCTCTAGACTTGGTGATCCCGTTAGGAAAAATAATCCAATTCATGTGTCCAAAAAGTACTCAGCACTTCCAATGTCTTGGGCATGACTGTAGGCACTAGAGATAGAGCAGCTGGCAAAATAGAGAAGAGCCCTCCCCTAAAGGAACTTACACTGCAGTAATCCTGCATACATCCCTTAAAACAGCAACGATACCGGATTATACATGAACATTTAGCACAGTGCCTAACACACAAGCTGATGCCAGTGCCTGCATTTCATATCCATATTGAAACTGGTCATGGCTTTGGAAAGACAGGAACATAGGAATTATTTGAAAATTAGACTCAGAAACAGTTATACAAAAGTTTCTCTCACAATAGGATACTGTTAAGCTACTAAAACATCTAACTTGTTGCAGCTTTGTTGCTATTATAGCATCTTCAAGGTGCTTCCCATCAAGTCACAGCACAGGCAATGGCCAAGAGCCTGGACCCTGCAGCCTTGGCTACGGCTTCGGTTTAGTTTCTGGCTCTATCACTTATGCATGTGACCCTGCGCAAGGCACTCAGTATTTTTGTACCTCAGTTTCCTCATTTGTAAAACTGTGAAAACAGCATCAACAGACTTATTATGGGTATTAACTGAGCTAATACATAAAGCACCTACAACAACACCTGGCACATTTTAACATACACATAAGCATTCAAGCTAATTGCTTGAAGTCAGGTAAATTTAGACAGATTTATGTTAATTACTAAAAACATTTACCCATATTTAAGGATAAAAATACACATACTAGGACGAACTTTCAAAATATTCTTCTTCCGGAACATCATACTACATTAGTGTACGTAACTAAGAATGTACTGTAGGTCCACAGAAACGGACAAGTGGCAGACAGGAGAAAGGGTCGGCTTCTCAGTCTGCACCTGTGTCTTATTAACCTCAATGACGCAAAGCAAATCACCGAGCTTCTCTGGATCTGATAATTCACAGGTAAAATGAAGTGTTTACAAAAATCGCTGTGAGAAGCAAAAATCGAATGGGCAATGTTAAATATACTCTACAAATGAAATATCTCAGATAAGATACTATTAAGTTGATATTTTATGAAAGATAGACAGTGTGATGCTACCAGCACAAACTCTGAAGAATTTATAAATAATAAGAATGTAAAATGTGCACAAGTCACTCACTTTAGATGAACTTTAGTGGTGAAGGTAAACTTGTGTGCTGTGCGACCATAAAAACTTTATGCAATAAGTATCTAGTTACAAGATGATAGTATTTAGTTACACATTACTATTTTATATAGTTTGGACAGAACACTTTATCAGTTAAGAAAATACCAGTATACTCAGTACACCGTAATAGAAAAATCCGAATAAATGTAATGTCTAAAAGAAAAATAAGAGAGCACGTGCCTGTAATCCCAGACTTACGAGGCTGAGGCAGGAAGGCTTAGAGTTCCAGGCCGGCCTGGGTTACACATCATGACTCTGTTTCAAACCACCAACCTCCCTCCACCCAAAAAAAAAAAAAAACAAAAAGAGAAACCAGAAAAGTACATTTATACATATATATATATATATATATGTATTTGTATATATAATTATTATACATATGCTGTTTATACCAATTATGGAATTTTCATCAAAAAAGAATGATTCTAAAACTGGGTGTCATTTGCACTGCTTTTTTTTTTTTTAAATAATGTTATCATTAGATTGGCAATTTTAGGCATGCAATAAAATAGTTTTGATATACTGGAAATAGATAAAAGTAATAAATACCTAAGTAAAGTGAGTGGTTCAAATTTCTTATTAATTCAGTAAATAAGGTAGAGATATTAGGATTACTATTACCACTAATGAAGAGCATGTACCCGGCATACTGTGCTCTTCAAGGCACTTTACAAGCACACTCCCCTGGGATTCACAGACAGCCTGTAAATCACATCTTGACAACTGACTGTTCTCCGCTTTAGGGTTCCTAAGGTCATGAGGCAAAACAAGTAATACAGTCTGAACAAGGACTTAAAGTATGTGGTCCAAATCATGTTCAGTGTTGTTTTTCTTCTCTATTCCGCCCCTGTAACAACCTGAATTGTCACTGTCACTGATCTTCTATTCTCTAGAGTTTGCTAAGCCTGACAAAGTGCTCTTATTACCTAGGCGTAATAAAGACTGAACCAGAGATGAGATCAGGGGACCAGGGAGTCTCAGGAGATTAGTGTGTTGACAGAGCAAGCACTGAGTCCAAAGACCACACTCTATGTGACTTGTTCATTAATGACAGGAATCGAGAACATTATTCTTCCAAGCTTCAGTTTCTATGAACACTGGAAAAACTATGTGAACATTTTCATTGTGGAAAAAAACTCTTAATAACTAAAGAAAAGTGAGTTGTCTTATCATAATACATCTAGTAGATTTTAGAATGCTGAATCTCACTTCAATGAATCTTTTTTTGGTAACAAACATAAGGTAACTCAATAATGTTTTAAAAATTACAATTTAAGTATTTATTTAGCTACACTCAAGTACTTTACTGAGTCTATAAAAGTACCAAAGGAAGATTCCAATTTTGCTCTTGGCATGTTATTAAAGTAAACCGTAAAACCCACCAATTTTAAACATCTCTAGTCTAAGTCATTTTAATTACTATATTTTCTTATAAGCTATTAGTAATTCACTTAGATACATATAATGTTTTAATATAAAAAGAAATATAACCTAACTTCTTTTTTTGCAGTGCCAGGGATTAGATCTAGACCTTTACCAATGACAGGCAAGTGCTCTACCACTGAACTACAGCCCCAGCCAGTGATACTCCAAACCCTTAATTTTGTGTTTTACACACTTTTTATTGATAAATTATACTGTTTTTTCACTTAGAAAGGTCTCTTATCTCAGTGAGGAGGAAAGTTTGTTTTCCTGTCAGTTTAGCAGAGCCCAATATTTTTCTTTATTGCAAATGAATGTGAATCTGAACAAAAGAAAATGTTTTCAACATATCCAAAAGAAATGTGAAACATTTTCAAGAAGGAAGAGAAGCTCTGCCTCACTAATAAAGCAAGCCTCACTCATATGCAGAGCAAGACTTGCTAACTTACTTTATATTGTAAAATACAAAAATACCATGTTCTAAATAAAACCTACCAAATATGCTATATACTAAGCAGTATGTCCTGCAATTCAGCTCTATTTTGAGATTTCTGGATAACAAAATCACTTATATTTTAATTTAAAACAGTAAATAGAAGCAACTCTAGAATTAGATATAAAGAAAACCAAACAAGCATAATATAATGTAAAAGTATTTCAAAAGGTTACATTATACACAACAAATATGTATAATTTTGTCAATAAAAATTAGTTAATTAAAACAAATTTAGGCTGGATGTGTGGTTCAAGTGGTAGAACACCTGCCTAGTAAGCACAGGTCCTAAATTCAAACTCTAATACCACCAAAAAAATAAATTAAAAACTGAACATTCATAACAAATAAAAGTGCAAATTAAAAAAAAAAACCTTAAAAAAAATCAAAAGTGCACAGAATTGGTGTCACAAAGAAAAAACTTCCTCTTGCACTCTACTCTGGTAGACTGAATGACCCTAAAATATTGTGGTGGCTGGGCCCGGCGCCAGTGGCTCATGCTTGTAATCCTAGCTACTCAGGAGGCAGAGGTCAAGAGGGTCATGGTTCAAAGCCAGCCAAGGGCAAACAGTTCGCATGACCCTATCCCAAAAAAAACTACCACAGAACAGGGCTGGTGGAGTGGCTCAAGGTGTAGGCCCAGAGTTCAAACCCCAGTACCGAGAAAAAAAAAAAATTGTGGTAGTTTTAAAAACAAAATCTGCACTGGGCATGGTGGTACATGCCTATAATCCCAGCAACTCTACAGGCAGAGGCAGGAGGCTCACAAGTTTGAGGCCATGTGATCACATGACAAGACCCTGTCTCAAAAAAACCAAAAGCTGAGAATTAGCTCAGGGGTGGAGTGCTTGTCTAGTATGTGCAAGGTCCTGATTCAGCTCCCAACACTGCAAAATAACAAATTAAATTTAAAATATGCAGTAAAAATAAACACAGATATATAACCTAAACTTTGGGGTAAATACAATTATAAAATAGAGATGAGTTTAATGTTCACACAAAGTCTGAAAAAATAGTTTGGAAAAAAACACAAGTTAAAGCTACGTAAGTTCTCAAAAGGTACTCACAGGGCCGTGGCAAAAACACAGAGCCAAATGCTGCAGAGGTTCTGTTTGTTTGACTTTCACACCCACGGCCAAGCTACCACCTTCAGTGGATGTACAGTCACTCTTCCACAACCGACTTAGATGATATCTTCTTTTTTTATATCACTACATTCTTTCACAAACAACTATACTGGACATTTTACATACATATCTTTGTATAAAAGTCCTTATTCCTCTTACCTCCCAATGATAAATACTTAGAAGGGAATGTGAGTTCATGCTTTAAGGTTTTCTTTTTTTAACTTTTTTTTGGTGCTTTTTCATTCCTTAAGTTTCTTAAAGACACTTTTCTAGCCATTTTTCCCTGTGATAGTATCTTTGGAAATTTAAGAATTATCCTCTTTATTTTTTTAATTACATCATATACTTAAAACAAATACAAAGTTAACTTACAACCTAAAGATCAGCATAAATTACTGTTGATAAGAGTGGGTGGAACCACTTATCAGCATGTAATCTATCATACATAAGTTCATTTTAATGCTGTATTTCATAAAGCAGTAAGTCCATAATAAAACTTTGTACTTTACCCAAAGGCCTTATCTAAGCACATGCGTTATATGTCCCTTCTAAGGTTTCAATTTGTGGAAAGCCAGTAGGCAGCACGAGCAACCGTAATACCAGCCAATCACTCTGAACTTTGCTATCAATTGAGCTGCAGGCTTATTTAGCATGTTACAGGAAATTAAGCAGCATTAAGATTTCCAGGTAAGGAAGAAACTGTTGCTGTCGCTCCACTGTTTAATGTGTTTTGTCTTTATTAGCAACACTATTAAGGACTATAATACAACTTTTCTTCTGCAAGTTACTGGAGGAAGCACAGGTAAGAGGCTCAACGTTTCTCAGTGGTTTGCAATTTGGGAGGGAGAACCCTATTTTTAATCTGCACTTACGTTTAAAGGTTACACAGGAAACAATTTGCAAAAGTGTTTCTTTCTTTAATGAATATTTTTCACTGAAATGTCATTATTATTAAGCAAAAATGTAAAGTAGCTAAAGTTAGCACCCAAATTAAACTGGAAATTCCTTGCCAGATTCTACTAAATTTCTCACATCTAGACATGAAGGTCTAAGTTTCCCAAATGCGTATGTTAACACTCCAAGAGTGTTGAATTGATTTCAACAATTGGAAATGAAAGAAATTTAATCAACAACTGCTTTTCTAGGTAGCCAATGTTTCTAAACTTTATCTTTTTATGGTAAAAATTATGTTTCATTTTCATTAACGAGGAGAATTTACCCTACATTGCAATGGCACTATATTATATGTAAAATGGCCAATGATCTTAATATCTAAAATGGAATTATTTTTTGGGAAAGTACAAATGAATACAAAACTACTATCAGAACTAAACATCAGAGTTTGAAATCTACCAGTCCCTGAATTATACTTAGAATATGAGTAAGTCAAGATTTTCTTCTGTGAAACAAGTAAATTTGTAGATAATCTATAGTCTTTCATCATCAAAAGTTATAGAGGTTTATCATGGTAGTACAAGCCTGCAATCCCAGCACTTAGGAGGCTGAGGCAAGAGGATCATAAATTGAAGCCAGTCTGGGCTACACAGTGAGATCATGTCTGAAAATAAACCCCCTCAAACCAAGAAAACCAAAACAAATAAAGAAAAGCAGAAGGAAGAATGGGAGTGTACTTCTGTGGCCTGTGGTAGAGCAATTGCCTAGCATGTGCCAGGCTCTGGTTCAATTCCCCAGAACCACGCACAAAAACAATAAAAACAAAAATAAGCAGAAGGAATCTTCTGGCAAGCTTAATGGAGTTATCAAGTGTAACAGCAACTCCATGTGGACTGTGTACAATTTCCAGTGGAGGTGCTGTTACTTTTGATGGTTACCAGCTTGCTACAATACAAAAGTTTAAGAAGAAAGAAAACTGTGGTCACTGGATTCTCATTTGATTGCAGAGGAAAAATGGTTAACTTTTCATTCCATTTTATAAACCTCACAAATAATTAAGAATAAATATCAATTTTCTTAAACTTAAGTGTTATGTCAAAAAGAGGACCTAACCATGGAAGAAGAATAGTCATCATTCCAAAATGGTATACAGGAAAATGACCTATGAATTGACAGACAATATAGCTAAATTTGTCTGTCACTTCTGTAGGCCAATATTCTGTATTTCTCTGCTACTTCAAAATCAAAAATCAACTATTAGTATGCAAGCAACACAATGGCAGATAACAGAAAAAAATCTAATGCAACCAGGTAAATGTACTGACTAAATAAAATATAAATGGTTCCTAATGAAAACTTGTTGTGTTTTTCTGACAAAGCTCATGTTTACTTCATCTAACTTACTGGCCACTTAACCTATGAATATTTTTATTGTAAATAATGGTCAATTAAACCACTCTGCTCATGTCTGGGAGTATAACTAAGTGGTAGAGCATATACTTAGCACTCATGGGGCCTTGGGTCCAATGCCCAGCACTGTAAGGAAAAAAGAAATGGTTGCTCTATTTATTATATATGCATGTAGTCCTCCTCAATCAGTGCTTCAAGGAAATCACTACAAGTCTTGTTCTCTAAATAGTCAAAGGAATGAGAAATAATGGCAGTGGCTTATAAATTTCCTTAAAAGGAAACTTCACTGTGAAATGTTACATAATATTTTTGTTAATTTACCTCAAATTTAGTTGTTTAAATTCTTAATAGAGGTTATTACAATATTAGTGTTTACAACTGACCAAACTCCAAATTATAAAACAGAAATAATATTTATCCAGTCTTAAGTTAGCTCTAAATAGTAACAATACTGAAATAGCCTTATAACAGCTTCCTGGTTTATAGCTCTAGCTTCCTTTCCTAAACCTCTTAGTCCTTGTGCCTACATAAATGTTTAAATTCCTGAATACTCACAACTTGCTCCAGCCAATCGTTCTTAGTGTCTAGGTTGGTATTCCCCTCACAGGCCCTACCTGCCCAGTGTATTTTCACACAGACACTATGCTTTTCTCCCTCCTGTCTTCAGCTCCTGCTGATCCCACCACTTGTGAAACTTTTCCCATTTCCCACCACGTGCTGGAGGTCACATCCTGTGAGAACGAAGCCAGCGAGATGCTTTATGGACCCACGTCTGTGCAAAGCAGAGGCTCTAGCTTTCTCCAGATCCTGCTGCCTGACGGTGTCATATCACCTTCCAAGTAGTGGTAGAACCTACCTTTCAAAATGAAGATGAGTTCTCACACAAATGATACTAAGCACTACCCAAACAAATAAAAAAGTAAAAATAAAAAAATACAGGGGCTGTGGGTATAGCTCAGTGGTAGGGCACATTCAACGCCCTGGGTTCAATCTCTAGCAGCAAAATAAAAATAAAATAAATATAAAGAAAAAATATCCAGCTAGGCGCCAGTGGCTCATGCCTGTAATCCTATCTACTCAGGAGGATTGTGGTTTGAAGTCAGCAGGGCAAACAGTTCACAAGACCCTATCTCGAAAAAAAACCCATCACAGAAAAGGACTGGCGGGGGTGCCTCAAGGTGTAAGTCCTGAGTTCAAGCCCCAGAACCACAAAAAAAGAAAAAAAAAAAAAATCCAGTATGTGCCTTTAGCTGACTAAAAAAACCAAACTTTAATCAACATTGTTAAAAATCTTCTAAAATAAGCTGGTTGTGGTGGTGCATAACTGCAGTCACAGCACTTGAAGGCAGAGAAAGAAGATTTGGAATTTGAAGCCAGCCTAGGCTACAGAGTGAGGTCAAAGACAACCCGGGTTATACAGTGAGACCCTATCTCAAGATAAATAAATAAAGAACAAAAAATAACCAGGAAAAAACAAAAAATAGCCAATGTAATCAAGTGCATTTAGCTATCTCATAGTTTCTTAAAGTATTCAAATGATTGCCTAATGTCATTTCTAAAGAACAGGGGAGCCTAAGAAAAAAGTGACAGTTTAGGCTCCCCTATTAAATAAATACTGTTCATCTGTGGGTTCCTGATGCTTTAAGCTAACATAATAAATTCTCACGGAAAAGTACAGCTTTTGCTTCTAAATATTGATATTAAAAAATCTAGTTTTTGTTAATATTCCAACCATACAAAAGGGCTTTTTTAGAAATTTATATTTTATTTCCCACTCCCAAAAAATGCTATTTTAGAATATTTAAAGCATGGCATCATAAGTCAGGTGTGGAAGTGCACACCTATAATCCCAGTACTCAGGAAGCAAAAGCAAGAGGATACAGAATTCCAGAGCAGCCTGGGCTATAGTGACACCCTCATTCACTCAGTCAATTGATCAATTAATAAAATTAAAATACATGAAGTCAATAGTTTATACCTGTTTTCAATTCTGAAAGAAAACAAATGTTCTACCTGTTGATCAAATATTCATCTTTTGTCTTGTGATGAAACACAGGAATTGGAACACCCCAGACTCTTTGCCTGGATATACACCAATATGGCCTCCTGTCGATCATGTCTACCATGGCATTCAGTGCTGCTCCAGGAATAAACTTCACTGTTTTTAACAGTTCCTGCAATTTAGTCATACATCAAGAGAGGGACAACAGAACACATTTTATACAACTGTCATTATTTCTAATATAGTTCTTCATGTGGGATGTCTGTATTATCCACATGCCTCCCTACCCCATCCCTCCAAATATGACAAACAAATGAACGAAAACTGAGGGATGGGGCCATGGCTCAAGTCTAGCAAGCAGAGCCCCTGAGTTCAAGCCCTAGAGTAGATAGCAACCCCAGCACTCAGGAGGCTGTGGCAGGAGGACTGAGAGTTTGAGACCATCCTAGGCTACACAGCAAGACCATGTGTACTAAAAAAAAAAGACCAGACTTTACCTTTGGAGGCTATAACAGGAGATTTTTACAACATTTCTAATTTACACCAACACCAGATAAAAGCTGGTAATAAAAACATTTAATAGAACTCTTATATATACTTTATTAAACTACAGTTAAGATCAATGCAATCTTATATCAGTCATTTTTTAAAATCTTATACAATAAGCCACTATCGAAGGCTGACAAACAAGGATTACAATATAATCTGATTTTACATAGCATGGTTTTCAATATACAAAACACAAAACACTTGCTCAACATAAATTTCCTGCTATTTATTTGCCATCTCCTAAGAACTCTTCCTTCCTTCAATCTCCCAAAAAGTTGTAAACTACCAACATTTGATTTCATTTGTCAAATACCAAAAGATGAACTATATAATGCAAATAGTTGCTAATAATCTCAACAAGCCAAAATATGTTAGTCATTACAAAAAATATCTATATGCATTAACAAATGCATATTTTCAGAGCAGGTTTAAATAATTTCCTAACTTACTTTAACTAACTAAAATCCCTCCACCCCCAAAACCTATTGGAGTTCTACCTCCTAGAAGAATGGGATTCAATTACTTTAGGGATTCAGTTAATACTTGGTTTTAAAAAAATCCATGAAATGTGAATGGCTGGATTTTGTGATTTTCTTAAGGAATAAATATTACTTTGTAAGGTGCTGATAATGGCATCTAAACTGTGTTCTAAAGGGTCTTTATCAAAATTTGGAGGCTACTTAAAAAGCTAAACATTGATCTACCATTTGATCTAGCAATACCACTCTTGGGGATATACCCAAAAGACTGTGACACAGGTTACTCCAGAGGCACCTGCACACCCATGTTAATTGCAGCTCTATTCACAATAGCCAAGTTATGGAAACAGCCAAGATGCCCCACCACCAACAAATGGATCAAGAAAATGTGGTATCTATACACAATGGAATTTTATGCAGCCATGAAGAAGAACGAAATGTTATCATTCGCTGGTAAATGGATGGAATTGGAGAACATCATTCTGAGTGAGGTTAGCCTGGCCCAAAAGACCAAAAATCATATGTTCTCCCTCAAATGTGGACATTAGATCAAGGGCAAACACAACAATGGGATTAGACTATGAACACATGATAAAAGCGAGAGCACACAAGGGAGGGGTGAGGATAGGTAAGACACCTAAAAACTAGCTAGCATTTGTTGCCCTTAATGCAGAGAAACTAAAGCAGATACCTTAAAAGCAACTGAGGCCAATAGGAAAAGGGGAACAGGTACTAGAGAAAAGGTTAGATCAAAAAGAATTAACCTAGAAGGTAACACCCACGCACAGGAAATCAATGTGAGTCAATGCCCTGTATAGCTATCCTTATCTCAACCAGCAAAAACCCTTGTTCCTTCCTATTACTGCTTATACTCTCTCTTCAACAAAATTAGAGATAAGGGCAAAATAGTTTCTGCTGGGTATTGAGGGGGTGGGGGGGAGAGTGAGGGGGCGGGGTGGGTGGTAAGGGAGGGGGTGGGGGCAGGGGGGAGAAATGAGCCAAGCATTGTATGCACATATGAATAATTAAAAAATAAAAAATAAAAAATAATAAAGGGTCTTTATCTACCCATAACTCAGGAGACTAAAGCAGGAGATTCACCAGTTCAAGGCCAGCCCGGGCTACATAGAAAGACTCTGTCCTCCCCAACCTCTAAAAAGAATCTTTATCTGCAGGGCATGGTAGCATAGGCCTATCATCCCAGCACTATGGAGGCTGAAGAAGGGGGACTACAAGGCAGATGCCAGCCTGGGCTATAAAGCAAGATCCTGTCCCCCACTCCAAAAAAAAAAAAAGGCTTTTATCTTTCAGATACATATGCTGAAATATGGCCTGGAAGCAATATAATATAGAAGAAACAATGCCTGGTGTTTGCTTCAAACAATCCAGTGGGATAAAAGGTGGGGAGGGGAGGCACAGATAAAAAAAAAAGTTTGCCAAAAGTTGATTATTATTGAAGATAAGTGACAGGAATGTGGCAATAAATTACCCTATTCTTGCTACTTCTCTTTTTGTCTATTTGGTCTTAGTTTTTTGAGCTAGGTAGGGTCTTGCTACATAACTCAGGGTCTTACTATATAGCATAGCCTTCCCTGGAACTCCTACTTCACCTTCCGAGTGCTGGGATTATAGCAGGTGTGTGCTATATTCTTGCTATTTCTGCAAAAAGCAACAGAAAATAGTCAATAAAAAAATGTCGTAAAAAATTGACTTTGCTTAAACATATTACATCAGACTTAGATGTTCTGCAAGCAAAAATCTGTGCAAAGCTGGAAGTTACAAATGTTAACACTTACAAGTAAAGAAGATAGGCTTTATAGGAATGAAACACTAAAAAATATAAACTGCTACAGACAGCTTTAGCAAGGACCCCAAATTGCCAAGCCAACAAATGAACCAGCCAAACAGTAGAATCTTAGAGACAGAACAAATATCTGTATTTTCAACCAAGTTACCAAATATTTATCTCAGTGCAATACAACCCAGTTATTTGTGGAAGATAATACACACACATATAAGAATATATACATATAAACTGGACATGGTGGCTTATGCCTATGATCCCAGCTACTTGAGAGGCTGACTTGCCAGCATGGGCTAATAACCATCTCCAAATTAAACAAAGCAAAATGGACTGGAGATGTGGCTTGAGTGGCAGAGTGCCTGGTTTGCAAGTGTGAAGCCCTGAGTTCAAACTCCAGCACCACACACACAAAAGATACATATGTATATTAAATAAAGAGCTCAAATACATATGCAACACTTGCAATACCAATTATAAAGTATTTGCTAACTCTAAGCATGACATTCTAAACTGCGATTTCAATCTCAAGGAAATAAGAACCTACTGTGTGCCAGGCACTGTTCTGGGAAGTTTTACTCACTCCCGAGGTAGACATTTATCACTTAGAGACAGATGAGACAGATGAGAGGTTAACGAAGTTCCAGGAGGTTACACTTCTGGCTAAGCTCAGTTCTGCCCTGATTGTGTGCTATTTTCACTACATTGGGCAGGAAAGTGACCAGACAACTCATTTAACCTAGTTAAGGCTCATTTCCCATACATGTATAATCAAAGAATAAAGTACAAGGTCCTTTCAGATCTAAAAGTGTACAATTTTAGGCAAAACAAATCATAATAGAAACAATCTCTTCTACTTCTAAAACCCCACCTCAACCTCACCCGACCCATTATAATAGGATGCCTTTCATACCTTAGCTGTAGTTTTTACCTCCGTGATGTTGATAAACCACTGCTTGCTGGCACGAATAACCACTGGTTTCTTAGTCCTCCAGTCATAGGGATAGCTGTGTATCATTTTTTCCTCTTTCACCAAATTCTTTGAAGTCTGAAGCATCTTTATAACTTAAAAAAAATTACATTAGATATAGTTAAAAGGCATTATAAAAAACCTAATAATACTCTAAGCTACAAGGAAGCACTAAATCTGGACCAGTAGGTGCCAATAAGAGTAGCCACCTTCCAGATATTGAAGACATAATCTGGTATTTACTGACAAAGAAAAATGGGACTGGAAACCTTAATCAGACTCCAAATTATGCCATTCCCATAGCTCTTCATTTAAAAGGAATGATGAACAGAATTTATCTAGACTTCTAATGTGAAATTCAAAATCATAATCTTTCATATCACAAATCTTAAAATGGTCTTTCAGGTAATCTAGAAGAAACCAGGTGTAGTGATTGTGATGATCTGAACTGTGCCCCCAAAAATGTACTAACCTGAGAATATGACTCTGCTTGGGTATTGGGTCTCTGCAGATGAAACTACATTAAAAAGGTCTCACACTGGATTAGAGTGGGCCCTAAATCCAGTAACTGCTGTCCTTGTGAGAGAAGAGGATACAGAGAAACACGCAGAGCTGAAGGAAGCTATGTGACAACAGAGGCAGAAAATAGAGTGCTATAGCTATAAGGAATGCCAAGCATCTGCGGGAGCCACCAGAAGCTAGGATGAGGCCAGTAATGATTCTTCTGTGGAACACAGTCCTGCCAATACCTTGATTTGTAACTCTTATCTAGTCTCCAGAATGTGAGAGCATACCTTTCTGGATTTGTTTTTTTTCACTTGGGGTTTGAACTCAGGGCCTACACCTTGAGCCACTTACCAGCCCTTTTTTCTTTTCTTTTCTTTTTTTTTTTTTGAGATAGGATCTTGTGAACTATTTGCCTGGGATGGCTTTGAACTATGATCCTCCTAATCTCTGCCTCCTGAGTAACTAGGATTACAGACATGAGTCACCAGTGCCTGGCCAAATTTCTGTTATTTTAAGCCAATTTGTTATAGGAGCCCTAGAAAGGTAATCTACCAGGTCAAATTAGCCTTTGTACTAGTGCGGACAAAGAAAGGTTTCATAACACCTGGTCTCTAACTCCATGAAGAAAGGCAGAAAGACAGTTCAAGACTGAAGAACCTCCATGATCCTAATACACGAGCTATACTACATGGTCAGTTATTTGGGAGGGTTACCTAAAAACAGAGAATGTCTTATTCACAGTCAATACCCAGCCCCATGCGTGATTTTTATCTTGCACAAAAGTAGTATTGCTGAGTATTATGTTTGCAACCCTAAAATAACATTGCCTCCTGGTGACTGTCTTGATTTGCTTATATAAGTAAAGCATCTTTGGAGCAAAAGACAAAAATGTCATAAACTCCATTTTAAACCATGTGGCTAGGGTGTGATGGTACATGCCTGCAATCCCAACACTCAAGTGGCTCAGACAGGAGGACTGAGAGTTCAACACTAGTCTGGGTTACACAGCAAGACCCTGTCTTAAAAAATAAATAAAATTATAGGTTACATGCCTATAACCTAGCTACTCCAGAGACAGAGATTAAGAGGATCATGGTCCAAAGCCAGCCTGGGAAAATTGAAACCCTATCTGAAAAACAACTAAAGCAAAAAGGGCTGGGCATGGCTCAATGGTAGAATGTCTGCTTAGCAAGTGGGAGGGAGGCCTTGGGTTCAAACCCTGTACCATGAAAAAAAAATAATAAATTTTTAGAAAGTAAAATAAACCATGTGTCTAAACAAAATAATTTTAGCTTTTGTTTGTGTTGAAAGTATAAAGGAAAATAGCTAGCAAAGGTTGATGCTGGCCGCTTTTCAGAAAACATGCTTATGTAATCAGCAGACACAAAACTCACCCACATCTGTTCCCTCTCCCAGGACAGCCTTCTTCTGAAGCTCAGGACCTGCATCTTCTGTGAAAATCCCACCTTCATCCACTAAGCAATCCTACAAAGTGTCACAAAGTGTTATTTTTGTTTCTTTAATCTTTTTTTAATTTCTTTTATTCATATGTGCATACAATGTTTGGGTCATTTCTTCCCCCTTCCCCCAACCCCCTCCCTTATTTTGAACAATTAAAACATCAAAACATTTTATCTTATGACAATCTCTACTAAAACAATACATTTAATTTCTTTCTTTTTTTCTTTGTGGCACTGAACTCAGGGCAAAAAAATACATTTAAAACATCTAAGTACAGCCCAGTTTTTCTCTACATTGAAAATTTGGGTGTTCCGTATTTATTCAACAGAAATTTGTGAATTTTATATATCTAAATCAACAAAGGCAAAATGTGTTATTAAAGCATATACCTACAGTTTAATAACAAAAAGTTACGCTGAAAATATACTGGAACTTCTTTAACTGGTCTCTATTATTTATATATCTATGGCAATATACACAGGTCTTCATTTTGAGGATCACCTTTTAACTAAATGGAAAAAGTTGCTAAAGTAATAAAAGTCTGTAAAATGAATTTGGAAAATCTGTTTGGAGAGGACAAAACAAAACTGTCCTTCTTAAGTACTTAGTAAGATCCATTTGCCATTCCAGGGACTGAAAGTAATTTGTCCATGTGACTCAAGCTTCAGAGGAAGTACAGGCATACCTTGGAGCTATTATGGGTTTGGTTCCAGATCACCGCAACAAAACAAGTATCACAGCAAAACAAATATTGCAAATAAAGCAAGTAATATGAACTTTTGGTTTCCCAAGTGCACAGGAAAGTTAGGTTTAGCTATACTGTGCAATAGCATAATGATTAAAACAACAACGTACATACTTTAATCAAAAATATTTTATTACTAAAAAAATGCTAACAATCATCTCAGCTGCTGGAAAAATGGTGCTTTACTTGCTCAACACAGGTTTGCCACAAACCTTCAGTTTGTAAAAAATGCACATCTGCAAACCACAATGAAGCACAAGAAAACAAGGTCTGCGCGCATTTAAAAAATGCCCTCATGTAATGTACAGTATACCATTCTGATTTTGTGCTAATTCTGGGAACCTTTCTCAATTGGTATGAATTAATGAAGTTTTGCGTATTTTACAAACCTAAGCATTTCACAATTTAATTATTATGACAAAATTATTATCAAGAAATAAAGATGTTTGTTAGAATTTATCACTTTCACTCTACACTATGAATAATTAAAAAGAAGAAAGAGGTGCAGTACCATAGGCAGGTTGTGTTCAGATGCAACACTGTAATCTTCCATACCATGAGCTGGGGCTGTGTGAACCAAACCTGTTCCTTTTGCCATGGTCACGTGGTTTGCAGGTAAAAGCGGAGACACTTTATCAGGAATTAAAGGATGATTACAAGTACCATGTACCAAATCTCCACCTATGAGGAAAGAAAACCATTATTAAGAACTGTTTTTTATGAGAATTCTACCTTTTCAGTAACCTTAGAACAGAACATCAAGTTAACTTTTTATTGTTGGTTTTGGGGTTTTTAAAAATTTTTTATATATGGTGCTGGGAACTGAAGCCAGAACTTTGCAAATGCTAGGCAAGTGTTCTATCAGAGCTACACCCCAGTAGAATGTAAGGAACTGGCTGGGATCAAAGTCTGACTTTCCCTCTTACTTATAAATTTTAAGAATCTATAAAATCCAGATAATTATGGCACCTACTTCGAAGGGTTGCTGTGAAGATAGTGTTAACACATTGTGTGTGTTTTAGGCACTTAGCATGTCCAATAAAATAAGTACTTTAAAATATCAGCTATTTTATCTATGGCAACAAATAGATAACTCAAATGAGTCCAAGAAAACTTCTCTGATTTATGTACAGCCTGTAAATTTTAGAACGTAAAGACAAAGGAATTCAAGATCAACAGGTGGATGACTGCAGGTCACAAGGCTATCTCTTTAGGAAATCATTGCTGCTACTCTCATAGCACTACTCTAAAAAGGTAGGAGATGATAAATAATACCTGATACTTACTGGGCCCCTACTAACTCAACATAAATTCTCACTTCATCTTCATAATAATGCTATAAAGTAGCTAATACTGCCATCAATTTACAAATAGGAAAACATTCCGAAAATTTGGACAATATGCCCAAGATCACACAGCTAATAAATAATGAATCCCAAATTTTAAGGCAAGCCTAACTCTAACTTTAATGTTCTATATAACTCTAGCTAGCTTCCTTTAGTAATGTATCATAATCCATCACCTGTTAGTTTTTCTATACCATTATTACTGCTTTCTACCTTTATTATCTTTTGAGTTGGGTTCCATAAACTATTCTTTCATGTGTTCTAAATAAGACTTAGATTTACTGAATGGATTCTGGTTCTACCTATTTACTGAGTAAGTTTGTTCACCCTGTCTACTCTTTCATAATTAAACTTCATTGACTTCCTTAATGCTTAGCTCCTCCCCACAAGTGATTCTTCCTTCCAAATAGATTTAAAAAAAAAAAAAAATCTATTGCCATAGAGAAAATCTACTCTTACAATAGTTTTTTCTATCCATGTAGCAATCAAAGCTATGTAACATATTAACACTACCAAAAGAACAATGCAAGCCAATGTGGTGGTACACACCTGTAATTCCAGCTACTCGGGAGGCAGAGGCAGGAGAATTGCCAGTTCAAGTCCACCCTGGAAAAGTTACCAAGATCCTATCTCAAAAACAAAATACAAAAGTTCTGGGAGATATGGCTCAATGGATAGGGTGCTTGCCCACCATGTAAAAAGTCCAGGGCTCAATCCCCAGGGCCACAATTAAAAAAAAAAATTAAAAATCCACTGGCCCACTGGGGAGGATGAGGCAGGAGGATTTTGAGTTCAGGACCAGAATGGACTACATAGTGAGTTCCAGGCCAGCCTGGGTCACTTAGCAAGACCTTTCCTGCCTTTGATATAATCCCTGTTAATTTTGTTAAGGTAGTTGTTTATACTAAGTTGAGTTTCTGTTTTTGTTGTTTTGTTTTTGTGGTACTGGGTTTGAAGTCAAGGCTTTGCCTTGACATGAAAGGTACTCTGTCACTTGAGGCATGCCCCAGAGGGCCTTCGGTTTTAGTTATTTTTTAGGTAGGGTCTTGTGATTATGCCCTGTCCGACAAAGACCACAATCTTCCTACTATGCCTTCCACATAGCTGAACTGACAGGCGTGAGTCACCACACTCGGCCATGTTTTTTATATTTCTAATTGGCTTACATCTGAACTAATAAACTTACAGGACTTTCCTGTTTAGCTAGGCAGTCTCTCTATTTTTTTGCATCTTTATTCATGTGATTACTTTTTAGCATGAAACTCAAGGATGTATCATCTCTAAGGATCACATACCATTTTAAACTTCCCCAGACTTCTACAGTTATATTTCAAAACCAGTCACTACAATGAAGTCCCATATTGTAAATTACAAAGAATTCTTCTAATTCTCTGTTAAAATCACATACTAAAAAATAAGCGTATTTATTTCTGCTTTTATAAAATCAGCTAAAAACAATTTTAACCTTTTGGTGGAACCAGGGTTTTGAACTCAGGATATTGCGCTTGCAAAGCAGGTGTTCCGCTGCTTGAGCCACACCTCCAGGCAATTTTGCTCTGGTTATTTTGAAGATGGGGTCTCACGAACTATTTGTGTGGGATAGCCTCGAAAGGCAATCCTCCCAATCTCAGCCTAAAAAGTAGCTAAGATTATACCCAGCCAAGAAACAGTCTTATATCTTGTGCCTTTGTCAATGTTCATATTTTTCTAAAGTCTCATCATGTTCAAAGTACCTTTTCCTTCAGAGAATAAAGTTTAATAATGTCTAACTTACAATGAATATAAAATATATTCTAGAAAGATGGAGGCCATATCTGTTTCACGATTCACCATGAGGCATGTGCAACACAGTAGCAAACTCCCATCAGCCCAACATCTTGATGGCTGCAATAGTCAGGTTATCTGTAACTAACTCTTCACCTGAAAATGTTGAAATGACCTCAAACATTGTGTCCAAAGCAGAAGCAACAGATGCTACTTTATCTGCAGCCAGTATGTAGAGGTCTCCAGAACTGGAACACTTCACAACAGCATACCTACCATAGAATTTTAGGAGAAAGTTACTAATAATGAAAAAAGAAAAACCACGGTTAACATTTTAGCTTCCAACATCATTTTAGAAAAGCTACAAGATCAAAAAGTAATTTTTTCTTTTTTTGGGGGAACTGGAGTTTGAACTCAGAGCTTCATACTCTACCCCTTGAGCCATACTTCCAGTCTATTTTGCTCTGGTTATTTTGGAGACAGGGTCTCGTGGACTATTTGTCCAAGCTGGCCTCAAGCAGCAATCCTCTCAATCTCAGCCTCCTAAGTAGTTAGTATTACAGGCATGAGTCACCAGTGCTTGGCATTTTTTAAATTTTTTTTCCTGCAGTACAGAGGTTTGAACTGAGCCTCACCCTTGCTAGGCAGGTGGTCCACCACTTGAGCCACACCTGCAGCTCAAAAAGTACTCCATACTTTATATTTGTTTCATTTAAAAAAAAAAAAAAAGCTGGAATCTAAGGCTTGATAAAAACTATATAAATACAATAATTAAGCTACAATTCACCCAAATTTTAAGAGGCTAATAAAGATGAAATAAATTCAACATAATGCTAATGATGGACTGATTCCTTTTTGCAATAATACACCTACTTTGAATCTGGCATATAACAGATTGCCTGATTGGCTGGAATTGTCCAAGGCTGGGTGGTCCAGACTAAAACACTAACAGGAGATGAACCATCTGTGAAAATAAAGATGTGACTATGTTAGCAAAGTTTACAATTCCATAGCTTTAATACACTCGAGCAACAAGTAGCTCTTACCTACAAGGGATGCCAACTTAGGAGAGGGTTTCAAGAGAGGGAATTTGACATATACTGAACGACTGACATGTTCAGGATTATATTCCAGTTCTGCTTCAGCCAAAGCAGTCCTAGAGATTTAAAAATGTTAAACATAAGTATTTGGAAACATCACATTTCTCCCCTTTAATTACCAAAGAACATAAAGGTACCTTGATGAGGGAGACCAAAACACAGGCTTGTAAGATCGATAAACCAAGCCCTGTAAAAGACAAGGATATTATATCATTAAAGCTGCAATTTTGTAATATATCACTAAAAGGAAAAAGAAATGCTTCATTACCTTCTCATACATCTGGTAAAAAACTCTCAACTGTTTGGCCTCATACTTTCCATCAAATGTATAGTAGCAATTATTCCAATCTGCCATTATTCCCCAGCGAATAAATGCTGATTTCTGTTTCTCGATGGCGGCTTTAGCAAATGATCTAGCTAAAAACAGAAAAGAAAGACAGGAAAGGGAAAAGCTTTTGAAAAAAAATGAATTCAAATTCTTAGGCCTGATGTAGCATGTAGCTCTCTAAATGTAGATGTTATATACAGTTTAGATTAGAATTTTTTTTAAATAGGAAGATTATTTGAAAGTATTCATAAGATATGACAAATTCTAAAATTAAGTGGAATTCCAAAAGCTAAAATTTTATTACTGTCTTCTGTATTTTCCAGCCTATACAATGACCTCATATTTAGAAAGATAAACTGAAAAAATAATTCCTCATTTTCTTTTAAGTGTGTGTGGTTTTTTTGAGGCAGGGTCTCATTATGAAGCCTAGGCTAGCCTTCCAATCTTCCTGCCACAGGTTCCCAAGGGCTGAGACTGTAGACTCATGCCACCATGCCTGGCTCCATGTTCTGGTTTTTTTTTTTTGTTTTGTTTTTTTGCAGTACTGGGGCTTGAACTCAGAGTCTCATGCTAAACAAATGGTTTATTACTTCAGCCACTCTCCTAGTCCTTTGGCTTTTAGTGATTTTTTTCTTGTTGTTCTTTGTTTTCAGATAGTCTCATCCTTTTGCCCAGGCTGGTCTCAGACAGCAATCCTCCTACCTTTTTGCCTCTTAAGTAGCTGAGATTATACCTATGTGCTACTGTGCCTAGTTTCTTTTTTCAGAGTCTTGCTGACTTTTTTGCCAGCCAGCCGCAGACCCTGATCCTTTTTTGGTTAGTTGGTTAGTTGGTTCGTTATTTCTGAGACAGTTTCACTACAAAACCCAGGCTGGCCACAAACTCATGAGGCTCCTGCCTCAGCCTTCAGGAGTATGAGGACTGCAAGCATTTGCCCACCAAGCCCAGCTCTAAAATACATGTATTTTAAAATTTACTTTTACTTTAACATCTAAAATGAGTTAATCAGCTCTATCCAGTAAAGGAAAAAAAAAAAAATACTGGGCTGGGAGTGTAACTCAAGTGGTAGAGTATCTGCCTAGAAAGCTTGAGGCCCCAAGTTCAAACCCCAGTACTGTTGAAATCTTAAAAAAAGAAAAAGCTTTTAAAAGTTGACTAAAATAGTAGTATAATAAAACATGACCACTAAACAACCATGCAGTTTGATATACTCACAAAGTTTTTTCCTTTAGTCAATAAATAGAAATTCTCACAAAATTAAACAAAAATGTGAATTTTCTGAGACAAAGCAGTTCCCAACAGAGCTTTCTACAACCAAAACAACCACCAAATTAAAACTCTCATAAGTCCCTTTAGTAAAGCCCTAACTTTTCCAATGGACCAAAGCATTTATAAATATCATTTTAAAACAGAAATAGAGATTATTTACCTTTCTCTCTAATTTCCATAGTTGAAAGATTCTGAGCTTTTCCACCAAGTTCTGATAACACTTTTATTTCAATAGGCAACCCATGACAATCCCAGCCAGGCACAAAATGTATTTTGGAACCTCTCATCATATGATATCTATTAGCTATGTCTTTCAAAATCTGCAGAGGTGAAAGAACAATCATCACCCATATACAGAGCACATGGTCCATAACTTACAGTCTTTTCTCAATATAATGCCATTTTAAAACAAAGCCCAATTTTAAAAGAATCTATATAAAATAACCTATTAAATCTACAAATTCAAGGCGCTACATAAACACAGACGTTATAGATGTTTCATTTTTTAAAATGTCATTAAGTCTAACCAGATTAAAAACTCAAACAAGAAAAATATAAGTTAAAAACACTGTACCCAAAATTACTAATTCATTTGTAAAGTTGGAATATGGGGAAAAGGAGCTCATATTACCTACAGAGAGACACTTTGACTTTCTAAAAATCAGAGAATACAAATAAGTCAATTAGAAAATCTTCTTCACTCTTAAGAAAAATTAACAAAATACCATACTATATTACTACATGTAACTATGAAATATTGTAGAAGTATTGCAGAATTTGTAATGTACTCAGAGAATGAATATTGTGGTTCTCTTTTGGCTATTAACAAAAACCCTCACTAAGGCAGGAGACCTCTTCACTAGGTCTGAGTCTGTAAAGTACTTATTTGCCTTTCTTAACTCATTTTAGATATGAGAGGGCAGGAGAGCCTTTTTTAAAATGAATTACCATTACAAAATGGAGGATCAAAGGCAAAGGACAGATTTGGCTGCAGGCTCAATTTCCTTCTTCCCAAGAGGAAACAGTGCTCTGACCACTAGCCCAGAAGTCCAGAAAGTAATTTCCTCCTTTCCACACCTATCAAAAGTAGAAAAGACATTACACATTCCTCTTACTCCCTCCCCCCATTTAAAACTCAAGTTATCAAACTTTTTACCAAAAACTGGAGGAAGCCATGTGATCTACATAAGTCATGTAAAAAAGTTCACCCAGTCGTATATACTTAAGATTGCACATCCTATTAGGCATATTACTTAACTCTTTCCATTCTTCACTATTAGAAATTACTTGTTTTCTCATTATCCACCCCTTCTCTGTAAAACATAAGCTGCATGAAGTCAGAGATCCCACGTGTCCTTTTTACTGGAGAATTCCCAGAACTTAAAATCATGTGTGAGGTACAGAGAAATTTACAAGAATTAGTGGGCATCTTATTTTGTAGTATTATTTGCTAATTTTTTGGTAAATCTTTTAATAATATATTATGTAATAAATTTGTTAATAGTAAAAAAAATGTGTCTGGAACTATTCTACAAATATTTACCAAATAAATGAATGCATGCATGCATATATTTTCTAGGTCATGATGTCTTATATGGTAGCCACTAATCGCATGTGACTTTGGGTCACAAATTGAGATAGACTGTAAATATAAGCTATATGCAAATTTTAAGTACTTATTACAAATGAGACTTGGAATATCTCAAAATTTTTTACACTGACTATATGTTGAAAAGATATTTTTTAGATATTTTAAGTTAAATCTAACAGTAAAATTAATTTCACTTTTTTATTTGGACTATTTTTGTGGCTACTAGAAAATTTTAACTTACCTATATAGCTCCCATTTGTAGTTTGCATTATACTTCTATTACATAGTGCTGCTTTCAAGCATATGATAGAATAAAATCAATCACCTCCGCTAACATTTAACAGCGTACATAACAAGGATTTTTTAAAACATAATCACACAAGCTATTGATATATATAGACACAGGAATACTTTAGTAACTTCTCAGTATCAAACACTACCCTCCTCCTCCCCCAAAGACTTCTTCCATACTTCAAAACTCATTTGCCTCTTTGGTCCCCTTCACTTTCCTATCACCATATTCATGTATTCCTTTGCTTGACAGAAAAATTCTTGATTCCTACTATGAATTGTTCAAGGAACCTGGAGATGGCAGTAAACAGGAAAGATAAGGCCTTTTTTTCTTTTTTGAATGGAAGACAATTATATCAAAAAATGCAAGTTAAAGGGTTAGAAAATGACATTTGGGGGTTGAGGTGGCACTTTTTTTTAAATCAGTACTGGGGGGGTTGAATTCAGAGCTTCGTGCTTGTTAAGCAGGCACTGTACCACTTGAGCCACACCTCCATCCCAAAGTGGTACTATTTCAGATGGTGGTCAGGAAAATTTGATGAGATGTCATTTGAACAGAACCTGAAGGCATACAGGAAGTAAGCCATTGGTATTACCTGAGAAATGCACTCCAGGCAGGAGAAAAGAAACAAGACCTCACTTGGTTTGTCTGAGGAAGAGCAATAACTGACCTTCCCCTGGTCCTCCCAATGTGCCCATGGTCTCTGACAGAGGTTCCAGGTAGTCATATAAAAGATAGTTTTGAGGGCTGGGAGTGTGGCTCAAGTGGTATAGCACCTGCACGGCAAGTGTGAGGCCCTGAGTTCAAACCCCATAACACCAAAAAATAAAATTAAAGATGAGAAACAGAGAAAGAGAGAAGTGGTTTTCATGACGCTTCCATTTATTAGAATTACTCCTCCACCCTCAATCCACATGGTGCTGACTCCCCTCTATTATAGCTCCAAGAGTGAGTGAACACATGATCCGTCATAGCCCTCAACATATTCTATCCCCAAGTCTGCAAGGATTAATTTGGGCATAGATGTATGACACTAATCAGGCAAATGGGATTCGGTTTCAATACTTTTGTAAGAACCGCTGGAATAAAGATGGAAGAATGTAAGACTGGAACTCCTGGAAAACATGCAGGAGGATGGGGAGAGTCATAAAAAGAGGAATGCCTACTAAAGAGTAAAAGATGGAGAGAAACCAATTCCTAATACATTTCAGTACCTAAGTCCAGGCATGCCGACAACTCAAACTATGGATTTTACACTTAACACAGCCAGTAAAATGGACCTGGGAATGCAGCCTAATAGTGTATGTACCTAGTACGCACGAGGCCCTGGGTTTGATCAAAAGCACCCCTTCTCCCGGAAAAAGCCAATAAATTCTGTTTTGCCTAATCCAGGTAGGACTTGTCCTTTCTATTCCTTATAATCAAAAGAGTCTGGAACAAGAGTTGTATTTGGTATTCTTGTTATAAAACATGATCTTACTGTATACATTTAAAATAACAGCCTCCAGCCTGTAATCCTAGCTACTCCAGTCAACTACCACAGAAAAACAGTGTGGTCTCACCTCCACCCCGGAACAAAAGCTGAGTGGGGAGCATAGAGAACCACCTCACCAATCTGTCAGAAGGCTCCCTTTCCCTTCTCCTCCACGTGAGTACTGTAAGAAAGCTAAATAAATAAGGAGGTAATGCCAGGTGGTAAGGAAACCTCTGGCTATAGTGTCTGTGGAGACCCCCTGGAGATCTGGACAGCCACTCCCACCAGCAGTAACCAGACATCCCTGCCTATTTCCACTGGGTGCTGTCAGAAGAAAATTAGTGCAGAGGCAGGGCTTTCATCGCCACCCAGTGGAGACAAGGCAGATGAGCACTCTCTAGCCAGAAGGGTATCAGTGCAGACCTAGGTAGGAAAAGGCAGAACTCCACCTCGCCAGCAGTGGCAGGAATTCTCTCCCTCAGCGTCAAAAGATGACTGGTGCGCTGGGGACATGGCTCAAGTGGTAGAGTGCCTGCTTACGGAGCACAAGGTCTTGACTTTAAACCCTAGAACTGCACCCCTCTCTCAAAGAATAAGAAGAGGGGGAGGTTAGGCTGAGTGAAAGATGTCTACTTCTAGAAGTCAAGCAGTGACCCTCTCCTGCCAGAGTGGAGTTACAGAAAGCCAGTGAAAACAGGCCATTTAAATAATCTTCAGAATCTCAAAATGCTCAAATATCCAGGTTTCAACTAAAAAAAAAAAAAATCACTCATCATACCAAGAGCCAGGAAGATTTGACACTAAATGAAAAAAGACAATCAACAGATAACCAACACTGAGATGACAGAGGTATTAGGATTACCTCATAAAGATTTTAAAGCAGCCTTAACAAAAAGGTTTCATAAGCAATTGTAAAAAAATATGAAAAGTAGAAATCCTCAGTAAAGAGCAGAATGCCTCAGCAAAGAAGTAGAACCATATAAAACCCCTAAAACAACTCTTTATTTGTATGTGACAATGCAATTTACATAATCGCCCCATGATTTTTTTTAAAATACACACCTTTGTACAGAGTATTTACATAAACATTTTCTTTCAAGTCTCATAACCTAAATTATAATTACCTTATTTAAAGCGTGTCCAATGTGAGGGTCACCATTTGCATAAGGAGGTCCATCATGAAGACAAAACTCTGTCTTTACTTTTCTTTCTCTTTGCCATGAATAAAGTTCTGAAAACCCACACTTCTGTTTAAAAAGAATAATGTCTAAACATCATATAAGTACATACTGCACAATCTTACCAAAAATAACAGCCAATGCATGCTTATTTCTTATCCCAATCTACTGAACTCTGATTTTTATATAAAGGTAAAGTTTCTGAAATGTGCATTTGAGTAGTCTCTTAAAACTTTTCAATAGTTTCCTAAACTTTATATGATATACATACTGTATAAAGGTTTAGTGCCACTAAATTCTTGGACAGCCCTTCCCAGCCCTCACTCTTCAATCCTGCCCTACTGAATGAAGGACCTGTAGATTCCTCCAATACATTCATAGCTTCTTCTTGGTTTTCTTTGGCCTCAATGTTTGCCACTTCCTAGATCTGGAACAACACTGGGTCCCACACCCCCTCTCACACTTGCTGTGTGATACTGGCCAAGTCACTGATGGACTTGTTTCATCTGAAAAAATAATTACAATAACCATCTTATAGAGTAAATGTGAAGATTAAATGAGAAAACATCTGAAATTATTACACTTTTTGGTATATAGAAGGCACCAGGTAAAACACTTAAAAAAAAAAAATTAAGTTGGTGGTGTGGCTCAAGTGGTAGAACACCTGCCAAGCACTTACAAAGCCCTGAGCTCAAGCCCAGATTGGGTGAGGAGGAGAGGAGAGGGGAGGGGAGGGGAGGGGGAAGAGGAAAAAAAAAAAAGGAAAATTAGATGGTTGGGCTGGGTGCAGTTCTGTGGTAGAGTTGCTTGCCTGGCCTCAAATCTGGGTTTGATCCCCAGCACCACTAAAAATAAATAAGTAAGTAATAAGTTAATAAAAACACATTAAAGGGCGGACTGTAGCTCAATGATGCAGGGCCTATCATATGCAAGGCAGGAGGGGAGCCTGTGTTAGATCCCCAGCACTGCAAAAAAGAAAAATTGGTTGGGCGCTGGTGGCTCACTCCTGTAATACTAGTTACTTGGGAGGCTGAGATCAGGAGGATCGTGGTTCGAGGCCAGCCAGGGCAAATAGTGTTCCAGACCCCATCTCTCAACTAATAAAGCAAAATGGACTGGAGGCGTGGCTCAAGCGCGAGAGCGCCTGCTTGGCAAGCTTGAAGCCCTAAGTTCAAATCCTATTCTCATGGGGGAGAGGGGAAGGGTTCCGGCAATAAAATCTGTGGGAACCCGATGGCCTCCACGGTCTGGTCCCAATGGGCGGCCCGCGCCATCGCCCCCGTACCTGCTGGATCTCCAGCTCCGCGTCGGGCTGCTGGCGACCCAGCAGCTTCATGGGAAAGCTGGTCTGCGGCAGCAGCACGGTGTCCCGGTACTTGCCGCTATTCGGGTTGGGCAGTTCGGTACCCGCCCCGGTGACTGACCGCACCAGAAGCCTCGTCGTCGTCCCCCGCCACTCCAGGCGACAGGGAAACCGGGGCGGCCCCCATAAGCTCCCGGCCGCGGCCAGAGCCGCAGTCCCCGGCCCGCGAGGGCGCAGCCCCCAACGCATGGCGGGGCAACCCCAGGACAACCCTATGAGCGCGGGGTCCCCGGCTACTATCCGGGTTCAGAAAGCAGGGACTCCCCCTCCAAAGAACCTGGGCCCGCCTCGGGAGTGCGCAGGCGCTCGGGTACTGAAGGGCAGGGAGCGAGCTGAGTGCGCGGCCTTCCCGGGTCGGCGAGGTGTGAGCCGCTCCGGGTCTTCGCTGCAGCCTTCGGGGCGGAGCGGCTCCAAGGGGGCGGGGAGAGGTACAGTTCCCAAGCAGTGTATTCATTCTAATCTAAATGCCCTGCTTTTTGGTAAATAAATACAATGTACCTAAGATATCACTTGGTAGGAAATAGGTTAAAAAGTTAATCGCCGGCAAGTGGTGTGCACATCTGTAATCCCAACAGAGGCTGAGCTAGGAGGATTGAAAATTCGAGGCCAGCCTAACGGATTTTCTACAAAAATAGGAAAAATATATGTATATAAATATAATTATATAGTACATATTATACATGTGTAATTATATATACATGTACATGTATATGTATATAGATACCAGAAAATGAGAATGCAACTGGTAAATAGTACATACTCGATTAATTTCAGCCTTTTACCAGACAATGTTCCCAAATCTTGTACCTATATTAATTCATTTAATTTTCAAAACCAAGCGAGGGGAAGATACAACATACCAATACACCCCTTGTGAGGCAAATGGGGAAACGGAGGTAAACAGAGTTAAGAAACTTGCCCAGGACCATACAACTAAGACGTAGCAGTGCCTGTGTGCATAACTACAACCTTGCATTGCCTCCCCTACAGCACACCTTGGGAGAAAACAATTTGAACACATTTCAAAAATAATATGCAAGATGTATAAAGTGCTGCTACAAATCAAGATATATAAAAACAAGCCAGTCCCCCCACCCCCACCCCCCCAAAAATACCACAAAAGTAAATCATAAGCAAAGAAATGGACTGGGGTTGTGGCTAAAGAGGTAGAGAGCTTGCTTATCAACCCCCAGAACGGAAACAAAACAACAAAAAAACAATAAACGTGAAAAGAGCTGGCGGAGTGATTCAAGTGGCGAGCGCCTGCCTAAGCATGAGGCCTTGAGTTCAAACACTTGTGCAGCCCCAAAAAATTAAAAGTAAAAAAGGTAAAAAGGTGTTCACCTTTCAACTTTAGGAGTCCCGAGGTCACAAGGACAGTCATCGAACAGATTGGAATAAAATGAAGTTTTATAACAGATGTTGGCAGTCTCTGACAGTGGACTCTGGTGGAAGTGTAAAATGCAACGTCCATCACCACTTAGAACTCCATCAGGGCACGCGGTTCCCCATCTGGGAAACTGTCTCACGACCAAAATCTCACAGGGCTCAAAAACATGTGCACATAAAATAACAATTTACTTTCTTTTTTTTTTTTTTGCGGTACTGGTGCTTGAACTCAGGACCTTCACCTTGAGCCACTCCAGCAGCTCTTTTTTATGAAGGTTTTTTTTCGAGCTGTGTAAAAGCTTCTTCAAGCTAGAGTTCTATGCATTGCTAACCATTTGTTGACACTGCTCCCTGATGAGTTTTTTTAAAAACTGCAATTATAGGTTGTTTCTAATTTCAAAAGTTTGGGAGTTGCAGAAGAGCACACAGAAACAAAAACTGCTCATTACCACCTCGCAAAATAACCAAAGAATTTTCAGGTTAAAGAAGTGTTGTTTTCAGAAAAACTAAGTTGGAAATGTCTAGTAAGGGCACTCATTAAAAACAAAAAACAAAACAAAACAAAACCTGCTGTTATTTTGTTATTTTGGATGGCACTAAACTACCCAAAGTAGGCTGCAAAACACCTGAAACGAGAACCACTGACAAAGCAGACACGCATTGGTTCTTACGTCCGGCAGCGAGCGCCTAGGGAAACGCGAATTAAAACACGGAGAAGCGGATTTTTCTGGCGGACCCGGAGTCTGCCGGGGAGCGGGAAGTGTCTTTGTGCGCTTGCGCAGAATCCCCCGCATGCTCAGTAGGTGGCATGCGCGCCCTCCGCCTGTAGATGACCTCTTGACTACGCGAAAACGCGGTACTGGACGCGGCGAGGGACCCAGGACTTCGTAACGCCGTTTTCCGTCTCCCGAAGTGTCTTTACAGTCACGTAAGTTTCTTCCCCCACGACAGGACTTGGCCTTCTTCAGAGCTCCTAGTGTCTGGGTCCCTTAATTGCACCCCTTTGCACAGATAAGAGGAGATTCAAGGGATTTATGTTAAAAAATTTTTTTAGATGAATTAGAATGACTCTCCAAATATTTGAATCTCGGACCTATAGTCTTTTTTAGTATTTTATTGGCGTATATTAATTATACAAAATATTTTCCTTTGACATATTATACATGAGTATAATACTGTGCTCCTAACACATTCATCCCCCTCTATCACCCTCTCCTGTCCCCCTCCTATTGGTCCCCTTCCTCCTCCCAGAAAGTCCCCTTCTACTTTCATGTCTTTTTTTTTTTTAAGTCTAAATCCCGCATATGAGAGAAAACTTGCCATTTGTCAGATCTAGAATCTTGACAACCTAAATCTTGAGGGTCAACATTTTGCTGGTGTACCTGGCGTTTTGTTTTCATGGCTTTTTGCTATACATCGTAGAAGCAACAGAACATAGTGCATGCAAACTTAGCCTAGTGCTAACTTTCATTATAATAGCAAATACACTTTTACTTGCTATTTCTATATATTTGCAGGCCTGTGTGATTTGCATTTCCCTGGAAAAACAATTGCTGGTTCAAAAGATGTATACAGTTTATTTTTATTAAGGTTCTCCAAACTCTGAAGAGGTTTCACCTTTGCATCCTTAGGAAGGGTGCTCAGGCATGTGTTCTCACATTCTGAAAACTGGGCAACTTTTTTCTTTATCTATGCCAACCTTAATCCTTTCTCGTTGTTTTAGTTTGCATTTCTTTCATAATCTGTAAGGCAGAGCATGTCACATATTTATTTAATGGCAGTGCTTTTCTTTTTCTAGGTATTGCCTGTGACTGTCTTCTTGGTTCATTTTCCTATTGGATTTTTTATCTTTTACATATTGACATATAAGAGCTCTTTATAAATGAGCTCATTTGTTTAGTATGTTATATTATGCTTTGGGGTTTTTTTTTTCCTCTCCCTTTTTATCAACCATTTACTTAGTTGTGTCATTTTGACTATTGCAGAAGTTTTAATTTCTGAGTAAATTTATCAGTACGTTGTTTATGAATTCTTTGCTTCAGCTTTAAAGGCTTTTATAAATTTATGAAACATCCCCATATTTTTATGGTTTCATGCTTTACTTTTAATTAAAAAACAATCATTGAACTGTAGGTGTGGCTCAAGAGGTAGTGTCTGCTTTGCAATCATAAAGCCCTGAGTTCAAATGCCAGTCCCACCAAATAAATAAATAAAAAACATTCATTGACCTGATGAAAATAATTCAAAAAGGATCATATATTTTGTTTGGTACTGGGGTTTGAATTCAGACTTGAGTTCCTACCTCTGAGTGCCCTACCACTTGAGCCATGCCCCCAGTCCAAGGATCCAATTTTTTTAAAGATTTTTGGTTTTTTTGGGGTTTTGTTTCCTGTTTTTTTTTTTTTTAAGATAAGCAGTTGCCCTGCCAGTTATGTAGAAGTAAAAAAAGTAAAAAGGTGTTCACCTTTCAACTTCAGGAGTCCCGTGGTCACAAGGACAGTCATCGAACAGATTGGAATAAAATGAAGTTTGATAACAGATGTTGGCAGTCTCTGACAGTGGACTCTGGTGGAAGTGTAAAATGCAACATCCATCACCACTTAGAACTCCATCAGGGCACGCGGTTCCCCATCTGGGAAACTGTCTCACGACCAAAATCTCACAGGGCTCAAAAACATGTGCACATAAAATAACAATTTACTTTTTTTTTTTTTGCGGTACTGGTGCTTGAACTCAGGACCTTCACCTTGAGCCACTCCAGCAGCTCTTTTTTATGAAGGTTTTATTTTTTGGGGGCTGCACAAGTGTTTGAACTCAAGGCCTCATGCTTAGGCAGGCGCTCGCCACTTGAATCACTCCGCCAGCTCTTTTCACGTTTTTTTTTTTTTGAGATGGGGGTCTCATGAACTATTTGCCCGGCTGGCTTGGAACTGCGATCCGCCTGATCTCTGCCTCCTAAGTAGCTAGGATTACAGGCTTAAACCACTGGCGCCCGGTTTAACAATTTACTGAGGTCAGCCATGCTGTGTTTTCTGTAAAACCTGTGAGAAGGCAGAATGAGCTGGGATGAAGGCTGCCCCAGCCGGCCTCCAGACTCCTCGCCGCATTTGCGGAGCTGTGTGCTAGTCTTTATTCATGGCAGCTGCACTTGCTATGCAAATACACAACGTAATAATAAAAACCAATGGGAGATTTTTAAAAACATATTTTATGTATACTTTGACACACAACACACAAAGGTATGAGAACTCAAAGTTGTGAAGCAAATGAAGTTGTGTAAAAGCTTCTTCAAGCTAGAGTTCTACGCATTGCTAACCATTTGTTGATTGCATTGAATATTAATACAACTTTTTTTCATATTTACTCTAAGCCCAGAATGTTATGAAAAAGAACTTGTCCTGTGATTTAGAATCATATTGGTTGTCATATTATAACCTGATGGTCAAAATAGTGTTCCAGAAGATACAGGAAATTTTTGTCCATAACTCTCTCCCATGTCCCTACTAGATGACTATAAATAAGAACAATTATTTTTATAGTATTATTTGATGCTTATCCTCGGGGTCTAGTGCTTTACGTATGTTACTCATTTAATAATTGAAACAATCCTAAACTAATGGGTGCCCTTGTTGTCTCCATTCACAAGTTCCAACACAGAATTTAAGTGTCTTTCCCAAGGTCATGCAGTTAATGTGTGCCAGAGCCAGGACTTGAGCACAGGCAGTTGACACAAGAGTGGCTGCCCATAACCACTGTGCTGTTTTTGATTAAGCTCTTAGAAAGTCGTCCTCACAAAGGGTATTGTTTTAGGACCCAGGAGGTGTAAAACTGACAGAGAAGGAAGTAAGGGGTGTGTAATTTGAACTGTTCTAAGGAAGTTAACTTGCCTGTAGCTAGTTTGGGCCCAGCTCCTCATCAACCTGTAACATCAAAAGGTAATTGTCATTTGGGACCCTGGGGAAGGGGGAACACATTTAAAAAGGCTGAGAAGAATCTCTTCTACAGATTTTGTATTTGGATAATATGATTAACTACATTTTCTTTATACCAAGAACCAAACTTGTATACATTTGTTGAAAAAATATATAAGAAAACTATTTGAGGGGTGGGTAGAGGGTTGAAGGGGAGAGGTGATGGGGGTGATCTAACCAATGTACAATATAAGCCTAATCAGAATTGTCACTATGAATACCCCCATCATGAATATATCCTAATAAAAAATTATAATTAAAAAAGAAAGAATTATTCAGGATGGGGATAGGAATATTTTATAACTAATTTAGTTTGTATCAGAAAACTATATGCTTCAGAGAAAAATGGTAGAGATATTTCCTTATTTGTCAACTAATGTGATTTGTGGAATCTTTATAAATCATTGTCCTTTATGTCAAATATCATTTTTTCTGTTCTTATCTCTTATAAACTGATATTCTCTTCATAGTTGTAAGTGTAGTGTACATTTTTGTGAAGAAAATAGTACACAAAATCTGAAAATTTTTCCTTAGAAGAAAAAAGCACCATGTACTTGGCAAACATATGAGGAAGTATCTTATTCATACATGAAGCCCGACAAGGCTGAAATGATTCATTGGCTCAAAGGTAAATGATACCTGTGGAAAAATTATAACACCATGTAGTAAGGGAAGTTGATCTTCCTATCACAAAAGAAGTGAGCATACCAACACATTAAAATATCCTCAGTGGTTAAGACAACCACAAGGGATGGGGGTGTAGTCAGTGGTAGAGCACTTGCCTGTCATGCATGAGGCCCTAGAGGGAAAAAAAAGATCTGCAAATTTGTTTCCTGAAACTACTTTTCCAGTGCAAAATAAATCAGATATGTGGCTGGTCACGAATATAAAGGAGTAGAGGTAAGGCCACTGAAGTGTTTATTAAATTAATACTCCTGCTTTCTCTTTGTGGTGTTCCCGTCTTGGTAATGATCATAACTAGTTTATTCCATTTGTAACACCTAGTATGTCAAGACAATTAATCTAACCTTGGGTGCATAGCTCAAGTATTTGATGCATGCCTAACATGTGCAAGGCTCTGGGTTCAAGCCCCAATATCAAAGGAAAAAAGAAAGGAAATGAGTCTGATTATGACATAATAAGATAAACAGAATTCAAACACTACTTAGAATCCCATTTTAATTTCGTCTTAACTCCAGACAGCTGTTGATTCCAATATGGTATTCATTACCATACATCAGTTCAGTTCTATATTTTGAAGGGTTTCAAACACAGTTTTATTGTCTCAATTATGTTCTTAATTCCTATAAATAGAATATGAATGATATAGCAAGTGCAAGGCCCTGAGTTGAAACCCCAATACCACAAAAAGAAAAAATATGGATGATAGAAAAAGAGGTAAAGACGTATCAAATCGAATATTGAGTCAGAAATTGGTAGTAGAACAATGATATTGCTGAACTGAAGTTTATAATGTCCTTTATGTATAGGTAATAGTAATGTGATACCTTACTTGCAATGAAATAATGTTGACTTGATATAATTTAGCAAGTACTCAGCTACATTGTCAACCAGAGAGGGGTTCTTTCTTTTTTCTTTTCTCCTCCTCCTGCTTTGTTTTGGGACAGGGTTTCAGGCTGGCTTTCAGATACTCCTGGTTCAGCTTCCTATGTGTTGGGATTACGGGAATATGCTGCCACACCCACCTGGGGTTTTTGTTTTAGTTTGATTCCCCATAAGTACTCTAAGGCAGAGACATAGTACAAGAGGTTTATCAAGGGGTGTTCTTGAGATCAGTTGTAGGATGGAAGAGAAGGAAATAGGAGGGAGGATGCTGGGCAGACACACATTATTAGCTAAGACCTCATTTGATCCCACTGGACACTCACAAACTGATATGGCCCTTCAGTGTAGTGAGGATGGAGAATACCTTTAAACCTTCCTGTTGAAGCTAGGTATGGTTGTGCATGCTTGTAATCCGGCACTCAGGAGGCTGAGGCAGGAGCATTGTCAGTTCCAGACCAGCCTGAGCCACATAGCAAGTTTGATGCTAGCCAGGGCAATGTAATAAGATGATCTCAAACAAACAACAAAAACCTTCTTGTTGACAAGGTTCGGGTAAAGTGACTTCTCAGCAGATAAATTCCCAAAGATGACAGCTTGGGCCATCTTTTGGCAGCAGTCTTAGTAACTGGAAATCAGCCCTTCATCCCTAAAGGGAATCTGGTGTTACATTCTGGAGTGAGCTTTTTTTTCTCGCTCCTTTGTTGGAGGGAGCTTTCTGTCACTCCTGGTTATTATTGAACCTAACTGGGGCAACTGGAACTGCAGAAAGGACACAAAATAAACAGATGGACAGTGGGATCAGGTGTGTTGGGCACTGGGTGGAGATGTTCAACCCTCATTGATTTTTTTCTCTATCTTTATTCTTTAAGGCCTTACTCTTTTACAGTTCTTTAGAACCTTGCTTCTAAAGTTTTCTTTAAAACATTGCTTAGAACCTCTTTCCTTAGACTCACTGTGTCCCATGTTTCGTCTTAGCTTTTCTTTAACATAATCTCTTTTAAAGTCTTTGCCCCCAGACTTTCACTGTCTCTTTAGCTTTCTTAAAGTCTCAGCCCCCAGGTTTGCTAGCAACTCCCCTTTAGCCAATTCTTTTCAACAATATTTTCCCTTCAGAAGTTCTTTCCCTTCCAAAAGCCTCCCACATCAAAAAGCCCAAAGCAAAAAGCCCTAAAGCAAAAACTAAAAGCCTTAAACCAAAAGCCTGGTGTCCTCCTTCAGTGAATCTTTTATACCCAGTGGTAAACAGGGTAGAGCAGCGGTTCTTGGGGTGTGACATTACAACAGGAGAAACCTGCATTCCCGCTTCTCTAAACCTAAACAACTTACAAGCAGCTGTTCTACATTTCCCTCTTCTGTGGCCTGGGATGTGCCAATCTTGGTTTATAGATAATCTTAGGGAAAACAGCTGCATCTCGCCTTGCTTATGTCCAGTTCTCATAGGCTTCTCATAATCCACTCTCCACAGCATTCCAACATCCAAAACAGCCCCTAAAATTGCAGGATTTGAAGCTATATGTGCAAGGAAGAAAATACTTGATCATATCAGGAGTGTTTTCATTTGTGAGAGCTGGCGCTCATTAACTTCAGATGATTGCTGCTCACTCTGGCTAGTTGTGATGTCCTCTTTGTTGAAGATTGGGGTAAACAAAACTAATGAAATTTTATTTAGTCTCTAAAAAAAATTCATTTTTTTTTTCAGGAAATAATTGTGATCGTATTCAGCCCCTCTTTTTGTTGTCATTTTAATTTTTTCAGTGCTCAGAATCAAACACAGAGTATTGTACATTTTAGGCAAGTGCTCCACCACTGAACAACACTCCCCGACCCCCTTCTCCTTTTTAGCTACCCCATGCTACATTTAAATCCCTCCTGCCATTTATTCCTCGCTTGGTACTTAACAGTTTTGTTTTGAGACATTTCTTCCTGGTAGCCCTCGCTATCCTAAAACACACTCTGTAGCCTCAAACTCTCAATCCTCCTACCTCATCCTCGTATGTACTGGGATTACAGATTATGTACTTCTGCACCCAGCTGGCACTGACCAGTTTTATGTTACACCATTTTGCCTAGAACTTAGCAAAATATCAGTTCCTCAAAGGCAGATAATACAACTTATATTTTTAGCCCCTGAAGCGTCTTTCACAGCCTTTGCAAACTGCATACCTTACATCAGCCTGGACTGGTTCCCCCATACCTTAAAATTTCCTATCTGCAGAGAGAAAGAAGACTATAGGATATATTAAGAGTCAATCCTGAAATGGAGTTTTTCCAAGTCTCTTTTACTACATAAAAGTAAGTAACTCAATAATTATGTGTTGAATTGAATTCAAGTAAATAAAACTAATAATTTGCTTTTAAAGTAACAAAACAGCCTGGTTCATGCTTGTAATTCTCAATGCTTGGGAGGCTGAGATCAGGAGGATCAAAGTTCAAGGCCAGCCAGACAAATAGTTCTTGAGACCCTATCTCCAGATTAACCAGTGCAAAATGGACCTGGAGGTGTGGCCCAAGCGGTAGAGTGCCAACTTTGCAAGCACAAAGCCCTGAGTTCAAACCCCAATCCCACCAGGAAAAAAAAAAAAAGTAACATAACATCTTTCTTGATTTCCTTTCAGGACTTATCATGGCTTCTAGTCATACCGTATTGATGCGGTTGGTAGCCTCAGCGTATTCTGTTGCTCAAAAGGCAGGAGTGATAGTCAGACACATTATTGCTGAAGGAGACCTGGGCATTGTGGAGAAGGTACTGCAAGTCTCATCTCATTTCATTGCAGGCTTGTTTTTGTTCTCTGGAGTTTAGTTGAAGGATGTCATAATTTGAACAAACTTGAACTGGTAGACTAATCGATGGTTCCCTTTTGGAGCTTGCAAGATCCTTAGTTCATATGGGCTCCACATCTGCTTTGAAAATGACTCCAGGACTGGAGGTGTGGCTCAAATGGTAGAGCACTCGCCCAGGAAGCTTGAGGCCCCTGAGTTCAAACCTCAATACCACCACAAGAAGGAAGAGAGGGAGGGAAGGGAGGAAGGAAGGGAGGGAGGAAGAAAAGAAAATTACTCTTTTATCTTTATGTGATGGGGTCCACTGACCAATGTCCAGTCCTAGGACAAATCCAAAAGTAATCCATTGCATGTAAAACCAGGCAATCCTTTGGGTACTTGAAGTTTGGTAAAAATCTGACATTTAAGTAAATATTCCTAATTCAAAACAATTAGAGCCAGACATGGTGGTTCATACCTGTGATCCTAGCTCTCAGGGAGCTGAGACAGGAGGATCTTAAATTCTAGGCTAGCCTGGGCTACATAGTGAAACCCTGCCTAAAAATAAAAAACATTCAAGATATTCATAATTGTGTGTATATGTATATACACAAATATATATATATATATATATATATATATATATGTACACACACGTATGTGTATACATTGATATAAATTCTCCCATTCTCCTCCTAAGCCACTGTTAGGTGTACTCACAATGACATGGATGATATTACCCAAAAATTTAATTCATATATCATTTTCAATTTGGAAAAAGATTCTTGCTGGCAAGAATCTGCTCCTGATTCTGTCCTGTCTCTTTAATCATTTCATTACCATCAGTTTAAAATTTTCATTGAATGTATCTTCTCCAAACTTTTGTGGAAGAGGATGATGTAGAAAACACACTGAACAAATTTGTCAATCAAGTGAACCTGGGAAGGCTGGTTAACATATTGGTTCCAATGTAAGTATTAAAGTAGTTGCAATATGTGAAAAAAGCTGGCCAAATCCAACCAGATTCTATAACAATAATAATGAAAAAGTCCTGTGTTCACATTCACATAATATGGGGTAAATCTGATTCAAATTTGTTTGAAAAAGAGCTTCCTGTTGACTATATACAATGTAATACAGTTGCTTTCACAAGGCTGCTAATCTTACTGCCTTGTTTTATTTGCAGTACTGGAGGTGGAACCCAGGCCTCATATATGCTAGGCAAGCTCTCCACCATTGAGCTACACCTCCAGCATTGTCTTTTCTTCTCATGTTTTCCTATTATGAAAAACAGGAAAAGGGGAAAAATATCAAGCAATAAATAGAAGTCATCCATCATATTACCATTGCTGCTACTTTGAATTATTTCCTTCCAGATATTTTTCCTTATCACTTATTTTGTGTAAATTGATTTTATATTCTACAACTTTGTAGCCAATAGTTACAGGTTAATAGAAATATATTGTCCAAATTAAACAAAAAAGTAATGTTTTCATTGTTCTTTGTATTGGTTAAAATAAATAATTGGTTAAAATAAATTACTACATTTATAGTAATTTATGTTCAGCATTGATACCTTATTTTAAAAAACAAAAAAACAGGGCAAGCTGGGCACTAGTGGCTCATGCCTGTAATCCTAGTTACACAAGAGAGAGAGATCAGGAGGATCATGGTTCAAGACTAACCCAGGCCAAAAAAAAAAAATGCAACACGGTCTCTCAAAAATACCCAACACACAGAAAAATAAGACTGCAGAGTGGCTCAAGTGGGACAGCACCTGCCTAGCAGGAGTGAGGCCCTGAGTTCAAACTCCGGTACCGCCAAAAATAATCAAATAAATAAATAAAAGAAACAGCAATATCAGATTTTCACAGAAGGTATCCAGAAAGAGGTCTAGCACTAGAGTTGGGATAGCTTTCCCTATATAAGTAATTGAATGAATTACTGTCAATGTGTGTTTTTTTATTAAGTTTGTGGTCTTCAAACTTAATAATTAACCTTCAACCTCAACATACTGTTTTAGTAGTTTTGTTCAACAGTTATTTGTGAAGTACCTACTGTGTGAGAGGCACAGTTCTTTCAAGAATAAAGCCCCTTTGTGAAATTTACTTTCTAGCAAAATAATGCTTTTCATTGAGATAACCAGCAAACTTTGATGTGGCATAAAAGAGTGGCTTTCAGCTCAATCCTTTTTTTTTTTTTTCCCTGTTTCATTTCTTATCTCATTCTAAGAATTTTATTTAAAATCTTGTAATCTGTAAATCCATCTAACCAGTCTTATATATTGCAGCATGTCATAATACTCTGAAAACAAGCAAAGGAGATTGTGGTATCATTTGCAAAATTTTCCTCTGTCCTTCACTAGCATGACTTTTGTTTGTTTGTTTTTGGCAGTACTGGGGTTTGAACTCAGGGCCTCAGGGTTGTTAGGCAGGCACTGTACCACTTGAACCATACCCCCAGCCCCTGTGACTTTCTGATACCTGGATTAAGTAGGGTGTGGTAGGTGGGTGGTATATTAAATATTACTGCAAGCCATTTGTATAGTTTTTTCCATTTTCCTAGTCCTACTTTAGGAATAGAAGTTGTATAAACTGATGAATTTTCCTGAGGACCTCTGAAATTATTAGGATATGAGAGGAAGCTATAAAAGGAACCAAATTAGAAATAACTTTCAAATACTAGTTATACAGTACTTAACTTGACTTTGAAAATTTATAAATTTCCTATCTCTTAACCCACTTAAGCCAAAGGTTGATATTTAGGATCTTATAAAAGATGTTTCTGAACTGAGAAAGAAATCTTCTAAATAATTTAGAAGCTCCTTTCCAATCTTTAACCATGATTGCCCTGGATTGAAGCCCTGTGTTAGAGCCCTTGTCTAGCATGTAAAAGGCTTTGGGTTTAATCTCCAGCAACACACACATAAACACACACACACTTTTTTTTTGGCAACAGTGGGGTTTGAACTCAGGGCCTCACACTTGCTAGGCAGGTGCTCTTATCACTTGACCCACTCCACCAGCCCACAAACATACTTTTTACTTCTAAATTTTAACCACTATTAATCCTATGAAAAAAAGAAACAGAACAGGAAACTAATTGGTTCATTTGATGTTAAGTTCTGTGAGTCTAAAAACTAACAGTGTAATGTAAATGACATAGACCCTTGGTCATTTAGGAATCAGAGGATTGCTTATTTCACATTAATTCTGCTAAAATGTACATTCTTACTTACAGACCTCTTCAATAGACCTGCAGACCAAAGCTGACCGATTGGTACAAATGAGCATATGCTCTTCACTGGCACGGAAATTCCCCAAACTGACAATTATAGGGGAAGAGGTAAGAGTCATCAGGACATTTTTTTTTTTAATTCCTGTTTACCGTATGGATTTATAACTGTCATTGGTTTATAAACCACTATTAACATTTAAGCAGTACATTTAGTATTTTAGCACCAAGTTAATCATTCTGTTCCCTGGAGGAAATGTATGATTTTGAAATATTTTGGTCCATTTTTAGATCAAAAGTTTGAATTTCTTAGCTATAGAAGATATGGATACTATTATAATTAATACTGAGCCTACAAACTATTAGATGAACAGATGGACTGGGGGTGAAGCTCAGTGGAAGAGATTTGCCTAGGATAGTTGAGGTCCTGTATTTGATCCCTAGCACTTCAAAAAAAAAAAAAAAAGGCAGAATTTGGGGATAGGAGTGTAGTTTAGGAGTAAGAGCATGTAGTTCACGTTTATGAGGCCCCGGGTTCAAGTCCTAGTACCAGAAAATAAAGTGAAAAACATGGGGAGAGTTCTAGAATGTTGGACTAGAATAGAATGGGTTTTATTTGTTTCAAAATTAGACTTGCATACTTATAACAGAGAGCAGAATAAAGCCTTGTTGCTTTTTTTTTTTTTTATTTTATTTTTTAATGAGATTGGGTTTGAACTTGGCTTAGTTCTTGTCAAGCAGGAGCTCTGCCACTGGTGCCACACTCCCAGTCCATTTTTCTCTGGTTATTTTGGAGATGGTGTCTGGCCTGAAACCTCAATCATTTCAATCTCATCCTCCCAAGTACCTAGGATTATAGGCATGAGCTACTGGTACCTGGCTGTAGATGTTTCTTTGTTTTAAGACAGGGTTTCCCTATATAGCCCAGGCTGCATGAGAACTGCAATCTTCCTGCCTCAGTCTTCTGAGTCGTAGAATTATAAGCGTGTGCTACCATGCTGGCTCTAGAAGTAGTCTGGGAGTTTTTGCTTTGTTTTGTTTTGAGTGCTGAGGATTGAACCCAGGGCTTCATGCATGCTAGGTAAGCACTCTACTACTAAGCTACATCTCCAGGCCTAGAATATGTTGTTCTGGTTTTCTTTAATCTTTTATTTATTTGTATTTAAAAAAAAATTTTTTTTTGGTGGTAGTGGGGTGTGAACTCAGGGCCTCACACTTGCTAAGCAGGTGCTCTACCACTTGAGCCATTCGCCAGCCCTTTTTTGTGTTGGATATTTTTAAGGCAGGGTTTCATGAACTCTTTGCCCAGGATTGTCTTCAAACCATGATCCTCCTAGTCTCTACCCCCAAGTAGCTAGGATTACAGACATGAGCCATAGGTATATGGCTTTTTCTTTTTTTTAATCTGATAAACTTGAGGAATTTTTTAAACTCAAGTTGGGACCAGTTAGTCAACTCTAATGAGTCATATGTGGATGCTTTTGCGATTTTACTAGGTTTGCTCTGAAAGCTTTAAACGAGATTGATAAATAGGAAGGAGGAGTAAACATTGTGGTGCTGATTTCCTCTCCTACTGAGACTTAGCACTAACAGCTCAGTAACTGGTAGTGTTGTCTCTGCTTCAGGATCTGCCCTCAGAGGAAGTGGATCAAGAACTGATTGAAGATGGCCAGTGGGAGGAAATACTGAGGCAACCATGCCCGTCACAGTACAGTGCTATTAAAGAGGAAGACGTAAGGCCCATCTTTGTACTTTATGCTCTCTTTTCATCTCTGTTTCCTGCAATAGTAAAGGAAATAATATTTGAAACTACAATTGAACTTAGCCAAAAGGCTGAGAAGCAATAGGGAAATAAAATTTGAAAGATAAAAAGTTGGGTAGCTATAAAAATGGGCAGCCAAGAACTTGAAATCTTTCAGAGCCAGGCTACCACTTGGAATATTTGGTCTGTTAACTTAGAGTTCAACTTTCTCCTCCTATCGATTTCCTTTCCACTCTGAAACCATTATCAAAAATACTTTTAGAAAGTCTTATTTGTTGTTTAGTAGATCTGGTAGTAAAACATTTCATTCCTTACATTTTTAGAAGGTCATAATAAAAATCTCACTTAGTTTTTATGGTTGCTTAAGTTAGTCTGTGACTTCAGATTTAACCACACTTCTATATTTTTCTAATTTTAAATCTTTTAACATGCATTTATTGAATACTTACTGTGAGTAAAACACTTTGCTCTGTGGTATGGAGAATACAAAGAAAATGAGACATGGTATCATACATCAGAAATGCGCTCTCGGGGCTGAGTATGTAGCTTGATGGTTGCGTGTTTGCTTAGCTTGCAGGAGGCCCTCTGTTCAATCCCCAGTACCACACACACAAAAAAAGAAAACCAAAAATACTCTCTTGCTCACAAATTCACATTGTGTTATAATTTTAGTAGTATACTCTGAAGCATGTTAAAAGTCTTAGACAGAAGGGGTTTATTTTTAGTCAATTGCCAGTTTTGTAAACCATTCTTTCTTTATTTTTATATGAGCTGTATCCTTAAGATAATCAGACTTCTTTTAAAGTCACTTATTTATAAAAATGAGTGGCAACTACAAATTGTTCAAAACACTTTGCATGCCTCTTTGAAAGTTTTCAGTGTAGCACCAAAGTTTTCAGTGTGTTCATGGCACTGTGCTTAGTGTTCAAGTGACAGCAAAAATCTGGCAGTTAAATATTTCATACTACATTTTTTCTTTTGAGACAGGGTCTCACTATGTAGCCCAGGCTGTCCTGGAACTTGCCGTTCTCCTGCCTTGGCCTCCTTTTGAAAAATTTCAATGGACTTACACCATTATTATGAAACCGTAAGGTTTTTTTTTTTTTTTCAGTTGTCATAAAACTGATAGCGTTGGCTTAACACATCCATAATATATTTTTTAAAATGAAAAAGCAAATAATCTTAATCTATTTAGATCTGCTTTTATAATTTTGTGTTCTTGATTTGGGCATTTCCTCCATTTTTTCATTTTTATTTTATAGCTTGTGGTTTGGGTTGATCCTCTGGATGGCACTAAGGAATACACTGAAGGTCAGTATCTCTTGTACTCAATTGCAGCAGTAAAACTAGGGTCTGGTGTTTAGTTGTAAACACTTGACATATCATATGTTGGATGAAAAGATGGTGTCATATTTTATATTTTCTCCTGAAGCTGTGTGCTCATGGTAAGTAACTGTTATCATACATCAGTAATAATTAATGCAGAAGGAAGCTGGGTATGGTGGTGCGTGTCTATAATATCAGCATGTGGAGCTGGGCACCAGTGGCTCATTCCTGTAATCCTAGCTACTCAGGAGACAGACATCAGGAGGATTGTGGTTTGAAGCCAGCCCAGGCAAATAGATCGAAAGACCCTATCTCAATAAACCCCTCACAAAAAATAGGGCTAGTGGAGTGGCTCAAGGTAAAGGCCCTGAATTCAAGCCCCAGTACCACAAAGAAGAAAAAAAAAAATACCAGCACGTGGGAAGCATGGCAGGAAAATCAAGAGTTTGAGGCTAGCCTGGGCTACATAGTGAAACCCTGTCTCAAAAAAAGCGGAGAGGGATAAGAAAGAGTAATAGGGGGATGAATTTGATCAAAGTACATGATATGCATGTGTGAACTATTAGAAGGAAATACCATTATACAATTAATATACACTAATTTAAAAAATAACCACTGGAGGGGGTGAGGGCAGGGGAGAGAAATGACCCAAGCATTGTATGCACATATGAATAATTAAAAAAAATTAAATAAATAAATAAAAATAACCACTGGAGGGAAAAAGACAGAAGGAGAAAGAAATCATCTCCTTCAAATGCCAGCTCCACAATTCTAAATGTCCCCCACATGAGAATACCAGGCATATTAAACCACTGTTACCAAAGGAGCTATGCTATACCCGCAGTTTTATTGGATAGAAAAACAATGACCAGCACAGCTGTGCTACCAGCCTATGCCCATCACTTACTCTCCTTTCATCTACAGTTATCAAAGATGAAAAAACTAGAAAGCAGCAAATTAAACTAAAATTGGGAACATAAAAGTAAAAAGGAACATGCTCAGAACCGGAGTTTTAGGTTATAGAAGCTTAGACTTTATTTATTTATTTACTTATTTGGTGGTGCTGGGGGTTTGAACTCAGGGCCTCACACTTGCTAGGTAGGTGCTCTACCACTTGAGGCACTCCATCAGCCCTGTTGAGTATTTGCAAGATTGGGTCTTGTAAACTATTTGCCTGGGTTGGCTTCAAACTGCCATCCTTTTGATCTCTGCTTCCTGAGTAGCTAAGATTGCAGGCGTGAGCCACCAGTACCCAGCAAGCTTAGACTTACTTTTGAAATAAAGTTCTATGTAGGTTTTCTTTTATGAGTTCTCAGTTCCATGGCTTATGAAAAAAATTTTTTAAAAAAGGAAAATTTCTCATAATTACTAGAATAAACTTTCTCTGTTCTTGGATGAGACATATCTATAATGAATGACTCATAGAGTATGTGTGTGTATATGTGCATATGTACTGTGTGTATACTGAAAACATCTGTATAATCCATGGGGAAATAGGGACGCTGTAGATGGCTATAATGTGTATATTAGGGCTGGGGAGTGGCTCAAGTGTTGTTGCCCAGCAAACATAAGGCCCTGTGTTCAAACCTCAGTACTGCCAAAATAAATAAATAAAGTTAAAAACTTGCATGGAACACAGAAAGTTTATTTAGGTCCTGACTCACGCCCCAAAGAGTTTGATTACTAACTCTGGGAAGTAGCCTGAGGTCTGTATTGTAACCTTTTCACTAGTCAATTCTAACATTGCTTCATAGTCCCTTTTGAAAAACTGCTTTAGATGCTTGAAGTGCAAGTCTAGAGAGTAATTCAGGGGTCTAGAGTGATTCAGCAGGTAAGAGTAAATTGGATGGTAGCCAAAGGAACATAGAGATATCTAATAATAATGACTACAGAGTTATGTCTGCTTTGTTGATTGGTTTACAAATTGTATTAATGAGGCCATGGTTATCAATACAGCTAAGTGGCCATGAACCCTTTTTCTGTCTCTGGCCAGCTTTCTTACAATTTGTACATTTTGTCATAAGTAGAATTGGTCATGGATAAATCATTGCAAATTCAATATCTTTATCGCAAAAATAACTTGGAGCAAATTGATGCATTGATAGTGAGCCATAAAATGAGGGTTATATAATTGATGTTTCTTCTTTTTAGGTCTTCTTGACAATGTAACTGTTCTCATTGGAATTGCTTATGAAGGAAAAGCCATAGCAGGCATTATTAACCAGCCATATTACAATTACCAGGTATTACTATCAGTGATACAAAATTTTTAGATAAGTAGTTGTGGTGTGATATGATTCCAGATGTCATCTCATTCACTGGTTTATAGCTTGGTTGCACATACAGTCATCTAGGGATTTTCAGGTTATACTCTAGACTTATTGAATTAGAACTCCTGGGAGGTGCTGGTACCAGGAATGTGTAAATATGTATGTGTGTACATAAACACACTGTATGCAGTTTTTGTACTTATGATTCAAGTGCAAAAGTTTGGGAATTACTGATGTGATTCTTGGTTAGCTTGGTCATCAACACTTGAAGCACATTGAAGAAATGAATCATATCAACCAAGAAAAGATGCTAGCCATGTTGCTTTCCAGGTAATACCGAATAGTGCCTAAATTATACTCAGTATTAGTAACAAACTAAATATACCCTTGCACTCGTCTCTCTTACTTTGTCTCTTCTAACCTGCTTTGACATCTTATTATACTTCAAAGAAATTATCTTCCTTAGAAGCAAAAGACTAGTGTAATTTCAAAACAAGAATATACTATTAAATCACATTAAATTCTAAAGGAAACTATTGAAATCAAATACTTAAGGTATTTACATTAAGGTAACTTTGATAAAAGAATTATTACTTCTAAATTTCTGATTTAAGAACAGACTTAGTGTTCACTTCTAATATAAATTTGCTTTTTCCTGCAGCTTATTGTTAATCATGTATTTCTTTGGGCTTACCAAAATAGTTACACATTATTAGGAAAGTCTTTCTTATTGAATTGCTTAAGTCTACATTAATTCTTATGACTTTAATTATTTCTACAGCATTATATGCAGACATAAGTTTGTGATTTTTTTTTTATGTAAACTTTAAGTTAATACAATTTCATAGAGACATTGTGTTGCATGGCAACATTCCTCAAAGATCTAAGTGCTTAGGAATTTTTAATAATTTTCATCCCTTTCTGAGATCAGAAAAATTGTATTCATTTTCCACAGAACAATGAAAAGCAGAAGTTAAGGGAACACAGGAATGAAGCAAAGGTGAGAAAAGTAGCTAGGGCATGGCTCTGCCTCTCGGTAGAAAAGAGGCGGGTCCTCAGGGCACCCCAGGTAGTCATCATCCATCCCTGTCCCAGCTTGTTTCCTCACATTCTGCTCCTTATTACTGCTCTTCTTGCCACATTCCCTTCTGTACACTCTTTAGCCTCTATTTTCCTTCTCTATTTTTATATTTGCTTATGCCTTAAATTTTGTTGCAGCAAATTGAAATAGAAAAGTTGCTTATTTGTGTTGGTATTCTAGTTTGAAGATTCCATTCCATAATCATCTTCATAATAATAACTAAAATTTGTCAGGAATTTAAGAGCTTACAATGTGTCGCCAAGCTCAAGGGGTACATGTGTTATCTCTTTAATACCCACTACAGCCCAGTAAGGAAACCATTACCCCCATTTTAAAGAAGAGGAAACTGAGGCAATTAATTTGCTAATGGCAGAGTTCAAAGTAGATCTAAGCCTCACTATTACTCTGTGATGAAAGACTGAAACAACTGACACATTTATTTTTGTTTCCAGTAGATACTAAAGCTTGTAGGTACTTAAAGGAAATAGCGTGGCATAGTGCAAAAACCTAAAATTTATGTCAGAACTAACTTTTCTTTTTTGGTGGTGCTGTGTTTGAACTCAGAGCCTCACATTTGCTAGGCAGGCTTTCCTAGTGCTTGAGCTACTCCACTACCCCTACCTTCTTTTTTTCTTTTTTTTTTTTTAATTTAATTTTTATTTTTTATTTTTTGAGATAGGGCCAAGGCTGACCTTGAACTCATGATCCTCCTTCCTCAGCCTCCTGAGGCTTGAGATTATAAGTGTGAACCACCAAACCCCACTGTAGCTAGTCTCTGAACCATTATAAATCTTAATTAACTCATCCCTAAAATAAAATATCAACCTTAGTGAAAAGCCTTTGAAAGAAAGAGATAGTGAGAGAGACTGTGAGATCAGGAGCCCAGAGGAAGGTCAGCTGGCTGCATCATGGGTTGCATTTACCTACTAGAATGCCAGTTTCCTTGGAGGCATTCTCTTTGTCTTCATATTCATTCACAGTGGTAGTATGATTTCTTTTTTTTTTTTAATTGAGACAGGAGCTCACTTTGCAGCCCAGGCTGACTTCAAACTTGAGCTCTTCGTGCCTTGTGTCTGGTCTCCTCAGTGCTAGGATTACACTCGTGTACCACCACCACTCCCAGCAGTATGACTTTTTAGAGACCAGAATACTTGTATCCCCTGTTTAGTATACTTTCCTCTGTTTTTCACAATAACCCAGAGTTGAGTAGATTTCTTTGGAGCATGGAATCAGTCTCAGGAACCAAGCTTAAGCCTGATGAGCACCTAGAGCTGGTGCTGTAGACCATGTGTGCTTTCCAGACTGCAAGCCTCTCTTATAGTGTATAATCAAAAGGAAACTGAGGGAGGATGCTGACACACTGGTACTTGTGTTTGATCTCTTTGTTGCTCCACTGTAGAAAGCACTTGACGGTCAGCCCCTTCAACAGTCGCTTCACCAAGGTCACAGCCCTTCCCAGTGCAGTCCGTTTCCAATGCCAGTAATCACCCGAGTATAAAAGCCTGCTGTTTCATCCCAGGTTGGGCCGTTCTAGCTCTAGAGCTCTCCACATGGTCAGCTGCAGCTCTTGGGGACTGCATCCGGGCTCATTTTCCCCCTCTGCCCACACCTGCTTTTTTCTACAGACAGGTGTTGATTTCACAGCATTCTCCTTACCAGCCAATCTCCTGTCTCAGAGTCTGCTTCCCAGAGAGCCCAATCTGTAACAGGAGCTTATTTCACTCTCACAGAACCCAGTATGTTAAGAAAAATAAGATGATGTTTAAAAACATTTGACAAGTAAACTCAGGGAGCCTAATTTAGTGATGAAGAATAGCAGCTTTGATGGGCATGGTGGTACACACCTGTACTTACAGCTACTTGGGAGGCCAGCCTGGGCATCATAGTGAGACTTCTCTCTTTTTTTTTTTTTTTTTTTTTTTTAGTGGTACTGGGGTTTGAACTCAGGACTTTGTGCTTGCTAGGCAGGCACTCTATCACTTGAGCCCCAAGACTCCATCCCCCCAAGACCTCATTTAAAAAAAAAGAATGACAGCTTTGAACGTAGATGAGCTGGGTTTGGTTATGAATGTCCGAGAGTCCTTGGTCAGTTTATTTAATAATTCCAAATCTCATTTTTCCCAGCTTTAAAATGAGGGTAATAATACCTACTTCCTGGGGTTGCTTTGAGGATTGAATGAGATAATACATGTAAAAAGCATTTAGTATGATGCCTGGTGCATGTTTGGGTGTTGAGTAAAATATATGCCTGACTTATAATGTCTATGTGTGCTACGTTAATATCATATTTTGAATACTTTGAGCTAATCGCTTTATTCATCAGTTTTACTTTACTTGAAATACAGGTTCTGTTGTTCTACATGGAATGTATAGCTTGATAGTATGGTTAAAAATTCTTTGAGCTCTGCAAAGGAAAATACAGATTCTAAGTTTGCATTAACCTGGCACTGGTGGCTCACACCTGGCTACTTGGAAGGCTAAGCTCAGAGGATTGCGATTCCAGGCCAGCCCAGGCAAAAAGTTCTTGAGATCCTATCTCCCATATAACCAGAGCAACAGAAAGTAGTAATCAGTATGTAGTGTTTCATATCCTAGACACTTAAGTGTCATTTGAAAATGGCTGTTTTTAAAATAACAAACAGATCATTGCATGATTCAGAACAAAACAGTAATCAGCATATGCTGTTTCCTTTGCTGAGGACTCAAGAGTTTTTTCACGCACCTTTGAAACTATTAACCAAAGCAATAATGAGAATAATCAGCTGATTCTATTAGGAAAAGTTCTTTGTCAATGATACTATTTTTATATTTTATCACATTATCATGCTTTTATTTTTATAAGTAAATATATTCAAAATACTCTGACTCAATATGACTGTTACTAAATATTCCATTTATGGCTCACATCTTTTTCACAGTGATTATAAGCTTTGTTATTTTGTCACTTGCTTTTACCTAGGCAGGACCAGAAGCCGTGTTGGGAAGAACAATCTGGGGAGTTTTGGGTTTAGGTGCCTTTGGGTTTCAGCTGAAAGAAGCCCCTGCTGGGAAGCACATTATCACAACTACGAGATCCCATAGCAACAAGTTGGTCACAGACTGTATTTCTGCTATGAGCCCTGATGATGTGCTACGAGTGGGAGGAGCAGGAAATAAGGTATGAAGGTGGCCTGTCATCTGCTCTGAAATGTGACTGAGTCATTGAAGGAAATTCTGAACTTTTTAAAAACGCAAAATACGGCTGGGGGCATGGCTCAAGTGGTAGAGCACTAAAAAATGTGAATAAATATGAGAAGGAATTGAAGATTATAATTTATCACTAAAAGCACATTTCAGCAACATTTAAATTTTAAACAGAAATTTAAGGTCCAAGAGGTTGGGGGTGTAGCTTAGTTATAGAGGTGTGCTTAGCATGCCTGAGGCCCTGGATTTGAGCCCCAGCATGGCAAAAAGACAGTTTAAGATTCAAGTCTTTTCTAGCTGAGGTAACAGCCCCTGCTTCTTGCCAGTGACCATAGTTCCCAAGAGCCCTCCTGGGTTATTTTCTAGACCCTTCTACAGATTCTCAGCATGGCCAGCCTGCACTCTTCTAGGCTGCTTCTCTCATTCTTTCATCCAGGCTTCCAGTCTCATGAGAGAATTGCGAAGTAGGACACATTTTGAACTACCCCCCTTCCCCTGACCTCTTCTCATCTGATTGTCCCCTGGGTGTCATCATGATGACATCCCTCAGGTATCTCAGATGCAGCATGTTTGATGTCAGCTCGTCCTCTCTCTACCCACCCCCAGATGTGTTCATCTCCCTGTTTGCTGAGTGGTTGATGTCACCACCATTTTCCTGATTGCTCCAGCCACACACCTGAAAGTCATCCCAGACTCCTTCCTTTCTCACACCCTATCAATGATCTGACCCTTATTCGTCTCTAATGTCTCCTGTTGTCCATCTTAACTCTGCCAGAACTGTAGTTGAGACTTGTCCTCATCCCCCACTTAGACTTCTACCTTAGCTTCCAAAGTTTCTCTATTCATTCCAGTCTTCACAAATGCCCTAGATCAATTAAAAATGCAAAACTTCAGCCAGACATGGTGGCTCATGCCTATAATACTAGCTACTTGAGAGCCAGAGATGGGGAGGATCAAGGACTGAGGCCAGGCAGGGCAAATAGTTATCAAGACTTCATCTCTTCTTATAAGCTGCATAGGGTGACAAGCACCTGTCATCCCAGCTACATGGAAAGTGTAAATAGGAGGATCGTAGTCCAGGCCAGCCTGGGCATAAAAGTGAGACCCTATTCAAAAAATAACAAAGCAAAAAAGGCTGGCAGTATGGCTAAAGTGGTAGAGTGCCTGCCTAGTAAGCTCAAGGCTCTGAGTTCAAACTCTAGCACTGAGTAGGGGCGGGGGGAAGAAAAAGAAGAAAAACTTCTCTGTCCCAAATCCTTGGATGACTCTCCATCCCAACAATTTAAAATCCAAGCCTGTTAGTGTAGAACATGAAGCTTCCTATAGCCTGGGCCCAAGCCTCATCTTCTACACCTCAACTCATTCTTCAGCTATGAACTGCGTGTAGTTTCTGGTACATGCTCACTTCACATTTGTGTGCCTAGCACAGGCAAGACAAATGATATTTATAGAACTGGATAAAATTCATTTCTTTCCATCCATGCTTTACAAGTGATACTAACATTTTTAGGTTGTTTTTTCTAAAGGCCTTTACTGGTAAAAATGAAAAATTGGTATAATTCTTCTAAAAAAAATCTAGAACAGATACTGGACATAGTGGTACATGCTTATATTTTCAGCAGTTGGGGGGCTTAGGTGGAAGAATTGCAAGTTTGAACCCAGCCTGAGCTACATACCAAATTCCAGGCCAGCCTGAACTACATTCCTATCTCAAAAAAAAATAGGACTGGGAACATACCCCAGTGGAATAGTACTTTCCTAGCATGTACAAGGCTCTAGGTTCCATCGCTAGCACCACAAAAAAAAAAAAAAAAAAAGATAAAGTGAAAGGTAAAACTTTATTTCGCATCATTGTGTTTTTGTTTTGGTGGTTGAACTCAGGGCCTCGAGCCTGCTAGGCAGGTGCTTTGCCACTTGAGTCATTTTGACAGCCCCAGCAATACTGGAGTCTGAATTCAAGGCCTATGCAAGCACTCTACCACTTGAGCCACCACCATCACCCCAACCAAAAAAAAAGACATTTAAAAGTGAAATTATATTCCTGGCGTTCACTAAAATATAAATTGTGACAGGTGTGATTTCTCTTTGCCCCTACCTTTTGTAATCAGAAAAACCATCTCTTATTTCCAAGGGCACCATTCTCCTAAGAAATAGTAATTCCTTGTTTTGCAAACCTCCACTTTTCTCCTCTGAAATAAACCTGGCTGGGAAGTTCTTAACTTTTTACATTAAGACCCCCTTTGAGAACTTAATGGGATCTACAGCCCCTTTCCCATAAGAAAAAAAATACCTGGCATTCTTCTTAATACTCAATATAAGACTGCCACATTTGTTTGATGAGAGAAAAACCTTTTACTCAAAAGCAAGCTTGAAATTCTGAAGGTATTCATTTAGTAGTACTGAAAGACATAATGGTTATTTTATGTTCACTGAGGTTTTCCTTATTCTCTTAGTCTGGACTCTTAATATTTGAAGTCTGAAGTTTTTAGTAATAATTATTTTACAGTATAACCTAAAAAAGGTCAATTGAGTAATGAAACTTGATAGCAACGTGCTATTTAGTCATTTAGGTTTTGTCAGTGACCTCAGTTGCATGTGCGTATTACAGGAAATACTAGGATGTCTACCTAAAAGTTCATATTTTGGCAGTGGAACCAGCAATAGATATGATTCTAAAGACTGATGAAAGAAAATGCTAGATTAGTCAGCATGGCACATCTGTTAGGAACTTGTATATTACTGTGCTGCTTGATATTTCTCTATCCTTTATTTAATAATGGTCGATGTTTTAGAAGTTTAAAAATCTGCATTGTTCTATATTAGTAAGAAATAAAAAAATACCCATGCTCTCTTCGGCAGCACCTACCCTAAAATTCAAACAATACAGAGAAGATTGGCATGGCTCCTACACAAGGATGACATGAAAATTTATGAAGCATTCCCTATTTTTATATTATACTTATTAAGTAGGGAATGTCCGTTTCGAAAACATAACTTTGAAAAAAGCTTTATTTTCTCTAACTCAGAATGTGAGGATGTTCAGATATCCTCATTGTTGATTATTTGATTTCTCTTTCCCCCTTCTGGTCACCATATGTTATTACGCATCTATTGTATTTCTTCATAATACTGGTCTCGTTTAACCTGCTAAAGGCTTTAAACTAAATCTGACAGAGAAAATTTGTGAAATATCCTTGCTAGGAGCAATCAGTTTTTCTTATTTGTACTACATTCATTTCATGTTGAAGGATAATTATTATTTTTAATCTTACAGATTATTCAGCTGATTGAAGGCAAAGCCTCTGCTTATATATTTGCAAGTCCTGGATGTAAAAAATGGGATACTTGTGCCCCAGAAGTTATTTTACATGCTGTGGGAGGTTAGTTCATTTATTTTGGAGAATTGTAGCTTTTATATTATGCTAATACATCATATTTCAATACTCATTACCGAGATTCTTAGGACATAAAAGCTACAGGGATACTTAGAGTCCAGTCCAAACCCTTCATTTCACAGATGAGTAAGTAGATTTTCAGCTTATTTGTTTTTCTTTAGTTTATAGTCTCTTTTTGGAACTTTGGTCTGCATATGGTTAATTTAACCCTTTTAATTCTTTAAGAGTTTTGTTTCCTTGAAAGGTAAAATGTTTGCTATCACTGGTATCACCTTACTTACTCTCTTTTAAGCCATTACTGGTGAATCTTTCAGTACCAGTGCTGTAGATCATAGAATTATAAATGTTCGTAAAATCTGGCTGAAAATGTATTACAGATATGTACATAGTAAGGATTTTTTTCAGATTCAAATAGACACCACTATATACCCACTCTTAGTAAGAAGTGCCTTTTAAAAATCCCTGTTGGAGACTGGAGGTGTAGCTCAGTGTAGCACTTGCCTAACACATGCAAGCATTCAGTATCTAACATGGAAGGAAGGAAGAGTGGGAGGAAGGGAGGAAGGAGCGGGGAACCCTATCAAATGTTTTTAAATCCCATACTGGGGTTTGAATTCAGGACCTTGTGCTTGCTAGGCAAGTGCTATATCACTTGAGCCATGCCCCAGCCAGACTTTTTTAAATGGCAATAAATAAGATTTTTCCCTATCATTTGTCCTAATATATTATTTTATCAGTAGCTTATTAACCTGCTACATGATAAGGAGGTTGAACTGTACTTCATCATGATTGATCCTTATTAGGACATGAAATAAAACTACAGTTGAATACTTTCATAAACATCCTTTACTTAAACACATATAAAACTGTTACTATTAAATAGTAAGCTGAGGAAAACATTGAAAATGTGAATAGGGTGATGGAGTGTAATAATAAGAAAAATAATCACCTTAGTAGAAAAATTAATTGATACTAAGAAATACAACTTGAGCTCCATGGTAGGACTTGTGCTTAGCATGCATGAGGCCCTGGGCTCGATCCTCAACACCAAGATAAAAGAAAGAAGTGCACATTGAAAATGCAAATGAAATTAATTTTAATCAGAAAAAAATAATTTTTGTCCTTTGAGTTAAAATTGCTCTTTTTTTCATGATACTGGGGTAAAATTGCTCTTATAGTCTTAAATTTCAAGTGAATTAAAACTTTACTTTCATGGTCACTTACTATTTTATCCAGGATTTATTGGCTACTATTAGGGAAGCAAAAGTCATTTTAAAATAATTGAATGGACTTGGGGTGGTAACTTGGAGCTAGAACATGTGCTTAGAATTTGCCAGGTCCTAGGTTCAATCCCCGCACCCTCACTCCCAAAAAAATGCCCAATAAAAATATGATGATCCAATGATCCGCTAACCTTTTTTTTGGCTATTTTTCCTGTAGGCAAGTTAACAGATATCCATGGGAATGCCCTTAGGTACAATAAGGAAGTGAAGCATATGAACTCTGCGGGCGTCCTGGCTACACTGAGGAATTACGACTACTATGCAAGCCGAGTTCCGGAGTCTGTTAAAAATGCACTTGTTCCTTAAAGGAAAGCCAGCAGGACCTGGTTCTCAAAATAATACATTTAAAAACTGATTGGGTGGAATTAGAGCACTACGTTCATTCATTGTTGATCAGGATTTGTATTAATTACTGAAAAATAGAGAGTAGCATAAAGAATTTAGCTTACTCATGCCTTGGGCATGTAATAAATTTTGTGTTCTTTTTCCTGTTTTAAAAAAAAAAAAAAGGGAGGGGGTTGCTGGGCCTGGTGGCACACACCTGTGATCCCAGCTACGAGAGAGGTAGGAGGATCATGAGTTCCAACCAGCCGGGGCTGTTCAGGGCGATTCTGTCTCAGGAAAAAGAATTTAATCTTAGACCAGTTTTGACATCTGGAGAATTTATAAACTCAGTTTTTTTTATATTTCTTTTCTTATTTTATGTGAAGAAATGGAAAAAAGAAAAAAGGTTTGGTTCTGTCTACAAAATTTATGTAATCAACATTCCCATCTTTAAACCAGATTTTTTTAGGGCACAGAATCTTAAGTTGTTCCAGAATTTCACTCTTGTTTTTCACAGAAATTTTTAAAGTGCTCCGACTCCAATTATGAAGGCATATAATGTTATTGTGTGTGTTGATACATTTATGGGAAAAGTTTCTTTAAATTACTTAATCTTAGCTCTTTGGGTTATTTACTAGGTTTTTTTAAAGTATGGGAGTTAACTTATTCTAATGGTGTTATCATAAGGCTCACCTGGAAAGTTGGATAACCACCTTTAATTCCTTCTAGGGAGAGAGTATAGCATGTCCTTCCACACTCTGGGATTAGGCCTAGATTTTTACTTTTTGGGGTCTCTATCCATTCCTTTAGTTAAATTTCTGGTTTTAGGATCAACCAAATGGTTTATGTTCATCGTTCCCAAGCCCACTGAGGGAAAAGGTCAGTGATAGAACATGTGCTTAACATGTATGAGGGCCTGGATTTAATCCTCCCCTGACACAAACGTCAAAAGGAAAAAGTAGTTCCCAAATCCAACTGCACAGCACAATCACCTGGGAGAGTTTTCTAAATGTAGACTCACAGGATCTGTCCTAGCAAGTCTGATTCTGTAGGTTTTAAGATTACTCTAGCTGGGTGTGGTGGAACACATGTGTTATCCCAGCTACTCTGGAGACTAAGGCAAGAGAAGCCAGAGATTGAAGCAAGCCTGAGCTACACAGCAAAATAAATAAATAAATAAAAATAGTGTAGGGCTTACTTGATAGGGTAACATGGTTTTATTTTACAGGGTTGTGATAGTTAGCAAGAACAGGTATCTGTCTTTGACATTGTTGACCGCTCCCTCTTGTAACTCTCCTCTGTCCTGATTTTCTTTTTCTCCTTTCTAGCTGCTCCTCCTCAGTCCTTTTTCTTGTTTTCTCTTTGTTTTATTTTCCTCAAATTGTCACTCTTCACCAAGATTCTGTTCTAAGCCCCCTGTTTTTCACCAGATTATCTAATCTATCCCTATGGCTTCATGTAAAGCCTTTTGGCCAGAATTCCAAAATGCATGTCTATGTTAGGACTCTCAAACTCTAGATCTCTATACCCCAAAGCCTAGCTTTGTTTGTTTGTAGGACTGGGTTTGAATTTAGGCAGGGCTACACATTTGCAAAGCAGGCTCTACTGCTTGAGCCACAGCTCTAGTTCATTTTACTCTGATTATTTTTGGGGATATGGTCTTGAGAAGTAATTGCCTGAGCTAGCCTTTATATGAGATCTTCCTGATCTCATCCTCCCATGTAGCTAGGTTTGCAGGCATGAGCCACGGGCACATGGCACAAAAGTCTATTCTGATGCCTTACAGATATTTTTGTATTATTATTATTCCTACTACTACTACTATTTTGCAATAGTAGGGCTTCATGCTTGTTAGGCAGGCACTCTACCACTCAAACCATGCCTCCAGACCTGAATTATTTCTAAACAGTCCTTCAATATCACCCACACTGCCTGAAATTATTTTACATAACTGGGAATTGGTGAAGTTTGGAAATCACTACTTCCTTCCTTCCAGAAATGGGGTTCTCTATGAACAGTGGAATAAATCTAATTTTTAAAACATCTATCCACACAGGGCATCATGGTGCATGCCTATTATCCCAGCTATTCGAAGCAGAAAAAGGAGGATCAAGAATTTGAGGCCATCCCAGGCAAAAGTCACAGTGTGGCTTAAAAACAAAAGGGCTGAGGGCATAGCTCAAGTGGTAGAATGCTTGTCTAGCATGCACAAGGCCCCGGGCTCAATATCCAGTACTGAAAAAAGTTAGGTGTGGTGGCATATGCCTGTGATCCCAGCCCTCAGGAGGCTGAGGCAGGAGAATTGTGAATTTGAGACTAGCCTAAACTACATACTAAGACCTTGTCTTTTAAAAAGCAAAAAACAAACAAAATTTTCCTCTAATGGGATTTGAACTCAGTCTTGTGCACCAAAAAACTTTAAAATAACTTAAAAGATATTTTTACCAAGTGCTGGTGGCTCACGCCTATAATTCTAGCTAATCAGAAAGCAGAGCTAGAGATCAGAAGGATCATAGTTCAAAGCTAGCCCGGGAAGATAGTTCACAAGACCCTATCTCGAAAACACCCATCACAAGAAAAGGTCTGGCAGCACAGCTCAAGGTGTAGGCTGAGTTCAAACCTCAGTACCGCCAAAAAAAGATCTTTTCTGCAAGCTTCTTTATGAAAACCAGACTTATTCAAGTGAGATATCTGGGAGTCTATATCCTCTCTCCATTCCTCTTGCCTCTATGTTCATTTACACCTTCATGCTCCATTATTGCTTCCTTAGGTCACTGCAGGGTCTCCCTCACTAATCTCTACCTGCACTGTAATTCCTCTGCACATCTTCACATTGTGTCCAGAGATTTTTTTAAATCATATCTCCCTTACTGAAGATCTTTTGTAGCTTGCTTTCACCTTCACAAAAGTTCCATATGATGGTATTGAGGCTGTTAATGTCATAGCTTCTTCTTCAGCACTGACTTCGATTACTGTCTGCAGCTGTGCTCAGCCATTTGCAGTTCCCCTAGAACATTATGTCTTTTCTCACCTTGGCCTCCATTCATTCGTTCACAAATGTTTATTGAGCACCTGCTATATGTTAGGCACTGAATACAGATGTTGACCATTCAACAGTGGATGTAACACTGACCATAAGTCTGTTCTTTTATTGACTTCATGTTCTTGTGAAGCAAGACAGACAATAAATTAGTAACTTATTTCAGATTGCAGTAAGTCCTCCAAAGAAAATCAATTAAGAAGATGAGCTAGAAAGCTACTGGGGTGGAGTTGGATTGCCGAAGAGGATTTCCTTTGGATAAACTAGGAATGTCTTCTCTGCAGAGGTGATGTCTGAGCTAAAAACAGAAAGAAAAGAGTTGGGCTAACCTCATGCTAGAGCTGTTTCCAGTAAAACAGTGAGCATATCTCTGAGAAAAGAAAAAACAGAAAGGAAGCCATAGTGGCTGAAGTCAAATGAACAAGAAAAAGTATTGCAAAGTTGGGGTGAGCTAACTCTTCTTTAAAAAAATCTCTATAATTAAAAAAATAATAACAATAAAATGATATTGGGGAGGAAGGGAACACCCAGTTCTCTATAGCCTTAAACTATTGTAAGGGTTGGGATGGTTAAGTCAGTGGTAAAGTACTTGCCTAGTATGGGAAAAGCCCTAGGTTTGAACCCTAGCACCACAAAATAAATGAATGAATGAATGAATGAATAAATGAATAAATAAATAAACATTAAAGTTAATGGAAATTGGTGCAGAGTTTCTTTTGGAGGTAATAAAATGTCCTAAAATTGATTGTGATGATTGAACAACTCTGAATTGTATACATTAAATAGGTATATTGTATGGTGTATGGATTATATCTCAATGAAGCTGTTAGGAAAAAAATTTAAATGAGGTAGGTGTGGTGGCACAAGCCTGTAGTGCCAGCTACTTAGGAGGATGAGGCAGGAGGATCACTTGAGCCCAGGAGTTTGTGTCTAGCCTAAGAAACATAGCTTGATCTCTGTCTCAAAAAAATTTTTTAACTCCCACATGTAATTAGTATCTACTGTATTGTACAGCACAGCCCTATATCCTCTCTTGGTTTTTGTTACCAGTTTTAACAACCACTCACACCTTCAGCAAGCCATCTCACCTGACTTTGTGCATCCAGTACAGGAGATTTTCACCTAGATATAAGCATCTCAAAAAGTCAGTCTGGCATCAAACCTGTTTTCCTTCTTGTCTTTCCCTTGTAGATAATGGCATAAGCATCCTCCCACTCACTCAACCTGAAATCGAACAAGCCTTGGCGTGCTTGTTCTCACTGTTTCCTCCCCAGCATCTATTGTCACTACTGATTTCACCTTCCAAGTGTGTCCTGAAACCATTCTCTTTTCTCAATGCTTATTCCACTGCCTTGGCTTTTATCTTCTCTCAGTTTGACCTACCAGCAGTTTTGCCCACTCCAAGCCATCCTCTACACTACTGCCAAAGTGATTTTTGTAAGATTCAGTTGTAAGCATACTCCTCACTGCTTAAAACCCTTCACTGACTTGATAGCAGTGCAGGCAGAAAGCATGCTTATACTTTCAATGTGAGAGTATAGCAAAGTGTAAACAACAGACTCACTAAGTTATTTTGGACAAGGAAAACTAGGATGTGCAGTGATGAATTGGGGATTACTTTGTCTCCCAGTCTTTCTCTTACTCTTTTATGTACTTTTGCCTACCTTTTCCTAGTCCTTTCCCAAATCTTTTCTAAAGAGAAAGACCCCTCCTAGCCTGGGGACTCACACACACACATACCAAATTGTTTCACTCTAACCTTATGTCACATAAACTATCTTCTTAGCACTCTCTGAGCCCTCCAGGATGGAGATTTGAGGCAGACAGCTCACCTGCATTTTCCTCGGGCTGGCCTTGAATAACCCTGTTTCTTCAACTAACCCCTGTCTTTGGGATTTTGGTAGAGCAGTGAGAAGTACCAAATCTTGAGCAGTACAAATGTTAAATTTTTATCCCAGAATAAAATCTAGCTCCTTACATCTCTGCCTTCCTTCCATCCTTTTTTGCTCAGTCTTTTTTTTTTTTAAAGCGAACAATTCAGTGGCAGTTTCCAGCCTTTTAATCTCTCATTTCCAAAATGCTTTATATTCTAGCAATAATGATTGATCAGTTTCCTAAATGCATCTTCATGACTCCGGAAATTAGCTCACATTCTTCTTTGGCCACTTTTTTCCAGCCCCTAAAACTGCCACCTCTTATCAGAAGCTCTCCTGCTACCACTTTCTTCTCCCATCTCCCACTCACCACGGATGCATCTGCTGAGTTACCTTTGTGCTTTCTACACACTTCCGTTATTTTTACTCTCACTTTCAAAATGGCCTTAAGATGAGTTGATTTCTGTTGCTGCATCATATATCTCACTACAGATCAATTTTTTTCAGGGTTGGAGATTAAACCTAGAGCTTTGTGTGTGCTAAGCAAGTGTTGTACCACTGAGCTATATCCCCAGTCTTCAGAGCAACTGTAACTTATCTGTCTCTTTTACCTACAAGATTGTAGGCTCTTAAGGGCAGAGACTTTGTCTTTCACCCCTGTATCTCCTGTTTATGTATGTAATAATAAGGATTAAATATGTTGTCTGAATCTCAAAAGAAATTCTAACACCCATTCTTGATTGTTTTTCATTCTTGTCTTTTAATAAAATTCTGTTTTAAAAAAATCCTATAAACTTAAGAATAGAACAATTTTCCTGAAATGTGTAGTGATTATCTCTAAGAAACCAGCAGCAAACATTATTTTTTTCTTTTTTAGTTTCATGCCCGTATTTGAATATTGTTGATTATAGAATAGTCATTGAAGATAAATAGGTTCTTGGTCTTGTCAAAGAAGTCAGGGGTAGACATACAGAGAGATTTTAATAGAGCAAGATTTATTATAGAGAAAGCAAGAGTACAAAGCAAATTATACCCTCAAAGGAAACTCAGGGTGAGCTGCTCGACCAAGCAGTCAAGTACCAATGCACAAGCAAAAGTACATCCTGCAGACAGGATGAGGGCAGGCAACTGAGCCTAACAACAGAGTATATGGTGGCCTCAAAGCAGCTTCCTTTGTAAGATGGAACCGGAAGACAGAACAAGAGGAAAATAACTGATTATCATCAGGTTATTTCAAGTTACTTTCTTTGTGTGAAAATTAAACTGAAGAACACTGGGCATGGTGGCACATACCTTGAAATCCTAGCACTGAAGCAGGAGGATTGTAAATTGGAGGTCAGCCTGAACTACTATCAAGATCATGTCTGAAAAAAAAAAGGAATTAAAACAGGGAACTTTACTAGCATATCAATTGAAAAGTGACCTGTTTGGGAAACTTGGCTACTAAATAATTCTGATTTCTCAGATGGTCAGATAAACTGCTTAATTTCACCTTGTAATATGCAGCTTCTGCATAAGTGACTCCATTTTGATTTTTAGCCTTATCTATTTTGGGCTCCTGTAATTTTTATTTAGTAAGTCCCTCCTTTGGTCAGATTTTCATCTAAACTTAGGGTATCAGTGTGTTGGGCCCCAACTAGGAAAAAAATAACAGATGTGGGGCCCCGTTTAAAAAATAACAGGGACATCGTCATTTCAGGCTCAGGCTCCTTTGTTCCTTAGCACTGACCTGAGCACAACCACTCTCCTGGAATGCACCATAACCCAGGCATGAACCCTCCTCTGGAATGCACCACCTCAGCCCTGATCCAATCATAATTGAGCAAAGCAGGCCTTTGCCCAAGGTGACCAAAAAAAGGAATAACTCTGGCCACACTCCTGATGACCAAGACACAATGGAGTAAAAACCAATTCCAATATGCCAAGACCCCCTCACTTGAATAACATCCAATCTGTTTACCCCTAGAATGAGAAGTCCTGCCTCCTGCCCTTCCCCAATAAAAACCCTGCCGGGGTGAGGCTCGGGGCTCTCTGTGCATATCCGCTGTGTCGGTGATGTCGGAGAGCCCGAGCTTAAGCCGGAATAAAGGCTCTTTGTTTTTGCATGCGACTTCGGACTCCTGAGCGGTCTTTTGGGGTCTCGCCATCTGGGTACAAGTGCTACTCTCAGTTACCATTTCTTTGAGTTTTTATCTTTATAGCCAAAGGAGACCATATAATGCTCAATAGATAGCTGTATGCAAACATTTAAAGCTGTTTTAGAGAAGATAGCACACCAAGAAGACTACTCTTATAACCATGAGCCAGTTAATACCAAGAGTTTGGAGTATGCCCTCAGTCAGGCTCTCCCCACCCCATAAACCAAATCAGCTACAATCAAGATCAAAGAGCCAGATGAGGAGCCATCTTAACCAAAAAGTCAGTACTCATTTTTGCAACTGAATTTCTATACCCAATATATTTTTCTGTGTGCAACAAGAAGTGTCAGCAACTGCACGTTTCCTCCCTGTTAGATAGTAGGTAGCAATTCTGTAATCTACCATCCTAGTTCAGAAGCTCAGTCGGAAACAATGTCTTCCAATAAATTTTATTTAATAGTATAGTCCCCTCTCCTAAAAATGAGAGGGCCCTGTGACTCACTGGTAACCAGTGGAGTTGATGAAGTAATGCTGTATGACTTCCAGTACCAGCTCAGGAGATACCTTGAAGTTTCCATTCACAGAGAAGCCAGCCAGCAGGTAAGTCTACCTTACTGGAGAGAACAAAGGGAAAGGCCCCAAGAAAACATGAAGGGGGAGGGGCCCAGCTGAGCCCAGGCTTCCATTAGCCCCACCCGAGGCACCAGCTGAGTGAAGTCTTTTTGTACCTTAAACAACCTTGGCCTTCAGTTAAAAAGCACCAAGATATTGTTGGTGTTATTAGTTTGATGCCACATGGGGCATATATTGGTTACCCAGCCAAGGATCACACAAATACCTAGCCCACAAAAACATGAGATATAAAAAATAGTTGTTGCATTTAGGCTACTAAATTTAGGGTGGTTTGTTAACAGCAATAGACATGAAACGACTTAATTTGAATTTCTATTTTCCTACTGAAAACAAATCACCTATTGAAATAAGGAGACCAATAAGAATAATAATATATAAACTTAATCGCAAAGAACCAATTGTGTGTGTGGTGTTTGGGTGATTGAACCCAGAGCCTTGCACATGCTAGGCATCATGCACTACCACTGAGCTACATCACTAGCCCTGAAGATTTTTTTTTTCAGACAGGCTCTCGCTATGGAGTATGGCTCAAGTGTTTGCAACTTGCTCAGCAAGCGTGAGGTCCTGAGTTCAAATTCCCCCAGAAGAAAAAAAAATGAAAGAAAAAAGACAAAAAACACAGGCTGGAAGAGTTGCTCAAGAGGTAGAGTGCCTACTTTGCAAGTGTGAAGCCCTGAGTTCAAACCCCAGTCCCACCAGAAAACACATACACACTTGCAAACACAAGACAGCTTTCCTGTCTCTACAACTGTATGCATGTGTTGCATGTTACCATGTAACCATATTCATACCTAATGTCACCTAATACTGACACGGTGTATTAAAAGCTGGCTAATTGTTGCCATGCATGTAAAAACTACATAAAAACACAAAACTGGTAGTGTGCTCCTGATTTTAAATATTTGTTACAGTTCAGGTGTTGTGTGAATTTCCTGGGGAGGCCTGAAGAGTCATGTGCCTTAAACTGGGATGATTGTAGACAGCCAAAAATTGACTCAAGTCCAGCTTGAATGAGTACAGACAAGTTTCAGTAAGGGTTATTTACAGAGAAGTGGGTGACTGAATACTGGGACTCTACCTTGCCTGGTTCCTAACTCACGAAGAGCTGTCACCTGAACTCTCCCAAACCCCTAGAAGTCACCAATCCCTGTCTACCAAGCTCTTCTTTTATATGGCTCTAAGTCTATAGCAGAAATCTGGACTAGAGCATCACACAAGGTCAAAAGTAGCAAAAGTAACTACAGGCTCAAAAAGACACAGATCCTGGCAAAGTTACACGTTTATGTGTTCTCCATCCATGCTCTTACTAGGGATCCTGCTGACCTCAGTAGATGCTATGTAACCATAAGAAGGAGGACCAGTTGTATACTGAGTCTACGGAGAATCAAGATGGGCAATGCCACAGGCAGGACCGCCTGCAGCGTCCCCTGCTGTCCACGGCCGTCCGACTCTGGTGAGGACAACTGAGTGTAGAAACAAATGTTCATGACGTCCTCACTCACACCCCAGCTTCTGTATCGTGGCAACTGCCACTCTTATGCTAACAGCCCTCATGGCCAGCTTATAAATGGGCATTTCAACATTTGATCACCACTTCACTTTTGTCACCCAAATAGGAGCACCATTCTATTCAGAGCATAGACTGCGTGGATTATTTCCGTGTAATTTGTATGCTTCTAGTTCATGCTGCTGGCATGTGAGGTATGTCTATAAAAAATAGTATTTTTTTTAACTGAGCAAAAAAACCACACAAGACTCTTTCCGACAGCAGCGGTGGAACGTCACCTAAGTCCACATCCCAGAGGGCTAAGGGGCGTGTCCGAGGCCCGACGGAGACGGCGCGCCGTGATGACGCATTACATCGTGCGCGGCGACGCCAGTGGTCGCGGTACGGGAGGCGGGGCGGAGGCTGCGGTGGCGTCGGGCACGCGCACACGTTGCATTTTCTTTCGTCGGTCACCGTGGTTAGTGTGCGGGGCAGGAGGCACGACAGGTAGCTCTGCAGAGCAGTGGACATGGCGGCGCTCTGTCTCACCGTGAATTCAGGAGACCCTCCGCTGGGTAAGGGGGCGCCGAGGCCGCCGACCTGTGTGGGTTGCATCAGCCGGTGGGGTGGAGTGGGGAGGGGGGGTGCGGGGTAGGGAATGTCGCTGAGCCGGTGCTTGCCGCATTGGCGGTCGCGGTCTGGTGGATCGGGTCTGGCCTTTCGGGGGATCGTTCCCGAGGTCGGTTTTCCCGGGCGCGGAGGAGGCGCGGGGCGAGCCCGGCTGGAAGACACGAGGCTTAGCCGACCTGCTTGGCTCGGCGGGATGACTCTCCGCCAGTTTTCCTCGGCGTTTTTGAAGTGGTTTCCTCCGGAGACGGAGAGCTACCTTTAGAAATAATATTTAAAAACTTAAAATACCATTATTGTCGCTCCCCACCCCCCACCATTTTACCATTTTTTTCCTACCAGCTCTCTTTATCTTATCTCCCTTCCCGTTCCTATCTCTCAGAAGAGATCCTGAATTCACTTGACCCTACTTTTCCTTAACGTTTCGTCGAGTTCGTAGGGAGAAAGGTAGATGGTCATATTAACATTACAAATTTTAACTGAGGTTGCACTGATTTTTAATTAAAGGTGGTGGAGTAATTGCGGGAACCTTGATGGGGTTGATTTACTACACACGCTGTGGATGTAGCAAGTGGCAGAGTCAGCGTCACATCTGCCACCTTCCTGATACGTCTTATTCCTTTTGGAATCGCTTTTGCAAAGTGGATAGATAGCTTAGAATTTTTACTTTTTTATTACTTTGGGAAATTGCACAAAAAAATTTAAGTACTTTATTGATCGCGTATTTGCTAATACATATGTGCTTTGTAATGTTCAAGAAGCCCAGACCCTAAAATACAAGTGGCCTTGTGGGATTGATAAAATTACTCATTATGTTCTCAACTTTGGTGGTCAGAATCTGTTTTAAACAAACAGCACTTTGGTTTGTGGTTTTTTTGGTGATGCTGATACAGAACCCACGTCCTTGTGCGTGCTGGACAGGCACCCTGCCACTGAGCTACACCCTCAGCGCTGAAAACACAATAGCCATTTGAAATGTTCAAAAGTGATAACATTTTAGCATATTGGTTCCAGTAATAATGGGTTAAACTCACAATGAATCAGTGAACTTTAAAAGAAATGGATTTGATTCTTGGGCCGGAAAGGCGCTAAATGATGTGGCCTCATGGTTGAGAGCAATGACATTTGGTTCTAGGAAGCCTGAGCTCAGTTTGGCTGCTAATTATTAGTTGTGGAACTTTGACAAGTTCCTTGTTGTTTCACAGTTTCCTTGCTCAGGAAAGGTGGAATTTGGGGGGGGTGGGGTGTGACTCTGGTACAACACTTGCCTAGCATGCACTACGCCCTGCCTGCATTTGAGTCCTAGCACCATACACACAGGGAAAGGTGGAATAATATCTTCCATATAGTGTTGTTGTTTGTTTTTTATTTTTGTGGTACTGGGGTTTGAACTCAGGGCTTCACCTTTGCTAGGCAGGTACTCTACCACTTGTGCGATTCTGCTAGCAATATCTTTCATATAGTGTTGATTACTAGAATAAGACATGTTCCTGACACATGTTAGATGTTCAACAAATTGCTGTAGTTTTCACTTAAGTTACTTAGAAAATCACTCTGAAGGTAATAGATCTGTTTCCATAATAAATTATAGCCTACAGAACCACATTTTACCAGTATCCTGGAAGAGTCTTAAAGAAATTTGTCATTTTGAACTATAGGCCATTTTAGAGTATGTTACTTTTCTGGCTGCTCCTCCCCCTCCTTTTGGATTTTTAATTTTTTTCAGTTTCTCAAATCAGGTACATTTTAAATAATAAAATTAGATAAAATATTTAGAAAAAATGGGTTGCATTTCTGCAACTTCCCTACATTATGTACATGAGTATGTAATTTTTAAATGTTAAAAGTAATTTTAGACTCAAAAAATGATGCAAGAATGGAGAACTCCCCCCACTACCTGAGAGCATACTGCAGATATGATGCTTCAGCACCCCAGAATACGTCCATGTAACCTTTCCCACGAGCAAGCAGTCTCTGTACCTGATCTCACACAACCATCAAAATAGGATGCACATTTTTAACACCTAATACACAGACCCAGTTATTCTTCTGTTTGTCCCCACCATAGGCAGGGACCAGAGTCTACGACCATTTTTTGCATGTCATTGTCACATTTCCTTAGTTTCTTTCAATCTGAAATGGTTTATTAGTCTTCCCTTGACTTTCATTGCTTTGACCTCTGAGGATTATGAGCCTCTTACTTGAAGAATCTCCTTTAATCAGGTTGTCTGATATTTCCGTGTGGCTAAATACAGGCTATTGTGTCTTTGGCAGGAATAACATGGAGAGTCTATATATTTCAGATGTGGTTCCTCATTCTTCATTGTGGCCTATCAATTGATGCATGAGTTTAGCTTTCCCGTTGCTAATGATTCTGATCTTGATTGCTCAGGGTGGTATCTGCTAGCTTTTTCTGTCTGCTGAAGAGTTTTTCCTTTCAATTAACAGGTAGTTTAATAGAACGTTGGGACCATGCAAACATTCTCTTTTCATCAACCCTTTACCCATTGGTTTCAGTATCCATTGGTGCTTCCTGCTTAACTCCATTATAATAATGGTTGTCAAATGGTGACCTTCCAAATCTACAATTTCTTTGACGTGTGTCATTTTGCCTTTTACCGTGAGAAGAGCTTTCTCTTTTTCCCACTTAAAAATTCATAGCAAACTATATTCAATATGTTGTATCATTTTCCATTTAAAATTTTGTTTTTTTAAAGTAGTTTTGACTTAAAACTTGCATGTAATCTGAGTTCACCAATTTTAAGTGTACAAACTGAATGACAAATATAAAGAGAGTTATATATGTATATATAGTGTGTAAACCACCACAATAAAAGTCAGAATATCTGAATTACTTCAGAAAAATTCCTTTATGTCCCTTTGTAGTCATTCCTCTGCCTGTCGTGGCACCTGGTAGCCACTGGTCTGTTTCTTATCACCTTGTTTTGCTCTTTCTAGGATTTCATATACAGTGAATCATCTTATAAATATCCTTTTCTACCTAGCATAGTGCTTTGGAGAGTCATCCATCTTGAGTATCTATTCCTTTTATTTGCTGGATGGAATTCTGCTCTGTGGCTATGCTGAATTTTATCTCATTTACCTTGATAGCCAAATTTGCAATTTCTTGGATTATTTTGTACTTTACCTGACAGGGCCTGTTTTTAATGGAGCGTAGTGCATAGAAATGAATATCAGAGTCCTGATTGTCCTTACCCAAATTATGGGACAAAGGATTAGTGAATCAATTTAGTAAACTTTATTATATATTGAGAAGTACATATTATGTATTTACATGGTGTTTTAGAATCCAAGGTCTAGACCACCTTAAACCTTCACTCAAATACTGACTGCCCTGTATTTTAGCCAAGGATATTAGGCTGACTATTTTACCTCTCCAGGCCTGAGTTTCTTCTTTGTAAATGGAAATAAAGGAATCTACCTCTTAAGGTTACTACTACAGAGATTAAAACTTGTAGTAACTGTAAAGCATTTACCATAGTACCTACCACATAGTATTCAGTCAGATACTGTTGGCTTTTATACAAGACACTATTCTAATTTCTTCCTGTCTTCTGAGGTAGGAAAGAATTTTATGTCACTAACTGGAAGCTGAGTATGTTCAGAAACAGTTGGACTGGCTCCTCCACACCACAAAAGCAGTTGGACTATGCTAATGATGGATTCTGATTTGGTATTTCTGTATGACAAAACACTAGACTTTCTGTAGAATTATAGGCTACAGACTATTGGGAAAAAAGTTCAATCCTTGCAGTACTTATTACTTGTTTGTTGACTCATCCTTACTGCTTTATGATTCAAGTTATAAATGCTACATTGTTTTTAAAGAGAAATCAATCTTTTCATCCTTTCATTTTTAGAAGCTTTGCTGGCAGTAGAACATGTGAAAGGTGATGTCAGCATTTCTGTTGAAGAAGGGAAGGAGAATCTTCTTCGTGTTTCTGAGTAAGTGTTTTTATATCTGTTTTCAGTACTGAGCAACATTTAAAAAATATTCATCATTAAATATTGTGTACTTACTTTACTTGCTAATTTGGTAGATTGTTCCTAGAATGAAAAATGCTGCATCATCATTCTAAAAGAACAGAACCCAGAGATTTATGTTTATTTCCTAGCTATCTGGTTCTATTCATGATTCTTAGAATGCAGTTGGAAATGTACAGAAAGATTTATTTATGTATTTATTTTTGAGAAAAGGTCTTATTATGTCACCCAAGCAGGTCTAAAACTCAGGATCCTCCTGCCTCAGCCTCCTGAGTGCTGGTATTACAGGATACATCACCACACCCAGCTCTTAAGTAAGGCTTTTACGATTTTAACAGTTACAGAATGATTATACAATAATTCTGCAGTGATTATTCTGATGGAAAATTAGAAATATTTAAATGAACAATAATGGAAATAAATATGTCCATATCATAGAATGTTGGCATTATGAAAAAAAGAGACTTAATGAAGAATTTCTGATAATATATTTAAGAATATAAATATAATTTAAAAACAGAAGTAATCTTTCCTTAGGATTCAGTACTCTGAAAATCCACAATGATATACTTTAGTCTGATTTTACTTTTAATATGTTCTATTGGGCATTTGATTGTTTCTTTCAAGGTAGATTATTGGAAATCCTTCTGGTTTGGAAAATCATTTTTTCCTTGATTTGAAAAAACTTTTCTTGCAGTGCTGGGGATAGAACCAAGGGTCTACCACTGAGCTACCTCCCACAACCTTAATTTGAAAATTTTTACTTGTCCATTCTCTGTGTTTTATGAGGATGTTCACATAAGTCCTTTTATTTTCTTAAATTGTTACCTCCATTTTCTTTATCTTCTAGAGATTTTTCTCAACTGTATCATCTTATTTTTCTAATTAAAATTTTCATTTCTGCTGTTATGTATTTAGTATTTGAGACTTTATTTTTTTAGACGGGGTATCATTATACAGCCCAGGATAGCCTTGAACTAATCATTCTCATGCCTTTGAGAGTTTTGTTTTAAATTCTGAGTACTCTTACGATACCCTGTTCTTTTCTTTTTTGGTGGGACTAGAGTTTGAACTCTGGGCTTCATGATTGCAAAGCAGTTGCTTTACTCCTTGAGCCATGCCTCTAGTCTGTTTTCCTCTGGTTATTTTGGGAGATGGAGTATTGCAAACTGTTTGCCCAGACTGACCTTGAACTGTAATCCTCCTGCTTTCAGCCTCCCAAATAGTGTGCACCACTGATGCCCAGCTGAAAAAATTTTTAATGATGCTAGAGATTGAACCCAGGGCCTCAGGTTTGCATATGCCACTACTGAGCTATACTTCTAGCCCTGTTTGCAATTTTGGCCACTGTCTTTACCTTTTTTTTGGTGATGCTGGTGTCAGAATTCAGAGCTTCACATTTGCTAGGCAGGCATTCTACTACTTGAGCCATGCCCCCAGACCCTGGTCTCTGTGTTTAAAGTTAAAGGCTTTCTTCAAATACCAGGTGGCCCTGGAAGTTTTTTTTGGATTTGGATTTAAAGGAGGAGACTAAAGTTAATGACAATTTCTGAACTCAGGGTTTCTGACCAACTCTGAATTTTCTAGCCAAGCTGTTCATTTGGGGATACTGAAGTATCCCCAAATGCTTCAGTATTCTTAGTGTTTTCCTCTATGGGCTAATGAGATTATCCAGAGAAGACCCTGTATTTTACTCTTTAGAGAATAAACTTCCAGTTTTTGCCAGGGTTGGATAAGAGGGATTGACTAGTAGAATAGGGTTTGAGAGTATTTGTATTTGTTAATGGTTCTGAAACCTACTTTAAACCAATCCCCAGTTTCTTCTGGCATCCAGAGATACCTGGTTCCATTTCTAAAATTTAAATTGGATCAGTTTACAACTTGTCCATTTAAGATTCCATGTTTTTCAGGTCTGCTGACTTCCAGTTGTTTTAAAGCTTCTGAAATCTTATTGTTACTATCTTTCTTTTTTGGGGGGGAGGGAGATGGTACTTGGGTTTGAGCTCAGGACTTTATACTTTTTGGCAGGCATTCTACCTCTTGAGCCATGTCTCCAGCCATATTATCTCTTTTTTTAAATCCTCTTTTTCTTTATGGTTTTGTGTTTTTCAAAAAGTTACCTATTTATTTATTTATTTAGAGACAGGGTGCCCCTCTGTTGTAGCTCAGGCTGACCTTGAACTTAAGATCCTCCTGTCTCAGCCTCCCAAGTACTAGAATTATAAGCAGGCACCACCATGCCTGGCTATAACAAACAATAATTTTTACCAAACAAATGTGATGGGGTTTTTTTGTTTGTTTTCTTTTTCTTTTTTTTCGAGACGAGATTTGGCTGTGTTGCCCAAGTTGGCCTTGAACTCCTGAACACAAGCATTCCTCTTGCCTCAGCCTGCAGAGTAGCTGAGCATGCCACTGCACCTGGCTGAGAAGGGGTTTTGGTCTACCTTGTTTACTGGAAAATTGGTAAAACCAGCTTCCTTATGACAGCATATCCTTGGCTTCTTTGCCTTTATTTTAAATCACTGCTTTTCTCCATATCCCAATTATATTTTCAATACTGAACAGACATATTAAAGGCTAAAGTTAAAAAGGTGAAGCTGTTGCCAGTGGCTCACACCTGTAATCCTAGCTGTTAGTGAAGCAGAGATCAGAAGGATTGCAGTTTGAAGCCAACCCCCCCAAAATTGTTCCAAAGAACCTATCTCAAAAATACCCAACCCAAAAATGGGCTGTCGGAGTGGCTCACTGGTGGAGCACCTGCCCAGCAAGCTTGATGCCCTGAGTGCAGGCATAGTACTGCCAAAAAAAACAGTGACGAAAAGGGTGAGGCATCATACAGAACGACTGCTCTGAAGTGTAGTGGATTGGATTTAACTGGATATTTCTAAACAAATTAGCAGATCTGTTTTGAACTGTAGTAGAAAAGAACATGGCAAATACATTAGGTTTTCCATTTCGCATTTCTTTTGCTGTACAGAGACTTGAACTCATGGCCTTCACTTTGAGCCACTCCACCATCCCTATTTTTTTGTGAAGGGTTTTTTTGAGACAGGGTCTCTTGAACTATTTGCCCAGGCTGGCTTCAAACATCGATCCTCCTGATCTCTGCCTCCTGAGTAGCTAGGATTACAAGCATGAGCCACTGATGCCTGGCTCCATTTTCCATTTCTTTATGAGTCTTGTGTCTTACAGATTTGCTAGAGCAAATGTAATATTTTACCTCATGCTTGTATTCTAGAAATGTGGTATTTGCAGATATAAATTCCATACTTCGCTACTTGGCTAGAGTTGCAACTACAGCTGAGCTGTATGGCGCTAACCTGATGGAACATACTGAGGTAAACAATGACCATTTATTCCCTTGTGCATGTTTTGTTTGGTGTTTTGGTTTGGTTTATGCTTCTCGTCTTTTGGGAACCATAGTAAGAGAGTGTTAATTATAGACTAAGTTAAGGAATGTTTGTTGTGTTTTTATTTTCAGAAAAAAATTCTCAGAGCTGAGAGTTTTGCTCAGTGGTAGAACACTTTTCTAGCATGTTCAAGACCTGGGTTCAATCCCCAGCAGTGCCAGAAAACCAAAAAATTCTTCTTTTTCTTTAATAGCAGTTAAATTTAGGTGTTTATTTTCAAACCAGCTGTACTTTTGGGGCATCTTAGTGCTATCTTCATTTTCCTAAATTCCTAGAATTTCATAGTTGGATGGGACTGTATAGATCATTTCATCCAACTTTTATACTTTATAGACAAGGCAGCAGACCTAGAAACATTAAGAAATTTGCCTAGGATAGCATGGTTTACATTTTTTTTTTTGGTACTGGGGTTTGAACTCAGGGTCTCACACTTGCTAGGCAGGCGCTCTACCACTAGAGCCATTCCACCAGCCCCAGGGTAGGCTATAGTTTGGATCTCATTTTCTTTTCAATATAAATACTTGATTTAATTAATCACAACAATAATAGATAGACTGGCCTTGAATTCTTGATTCTTCTGCAGTAAGCCGCCTAAATGCTGGGATTACAGGTCCACAACATCATTTCCAGTTTAGTAGATAAACTTTATATAGGTGCTGTTTTTTCTCCTGTTTGTATTCTGCTTCAGTTTTTGCAAGTCTCATAAAATTGAAAATACATTGAATGTTTTTAAACGAATTACTTTTAAATTTTCTTCAAGTGGGTTAATCTTTTTGACTTGGTTCTACCTTTTTGGTTAGTTGAGGTTGGTTATGTCTGCTATCTATCAATTCTCAAGTATTTATTTTTCTATTCTTTCCTAAGTGCCCCTTCATGTACTTACAAAAAAGAGAGAAAAAGCTTAGGAAAATAACAACCAAGTATGGCATGTGTTTAAGTGCCATTTTAGACAGGCAACCAGAATCGAATCCACATGTGATACATTCTGTGACTTGAGATAGAAGAATGAGCCTAGCTGAGGAAACCAAGAGTGTGTTGTTTCTAGTTAACTAGCATTTTTCTAACTGTCTAAATACTGGAATTCATTTCTTTCCTATCTGTGTGTGTTCACAGGTTGATCACTGGTTGGAGTTCAGTGCCACAAAATTGTCTTCATGTAATTTGTTTACTTCTGCAATCAACGAGCTTAATCATTGCCTGTCTCTGAGAACATATTTAGTTGGAAATTCCTTGACCATAGCTGATTTATGTGTTTGGGCCGCCCTAAAAGGTATCAACAACTCCTCTTAAAATATATTGAGTTTTTAGCTGCTTTTCTTTTTTCTTTTCTTTTTTTTTATTGTGATGGGATCTTACGTGAGATATGTTAATGTATTAGCAACAACTTTAAGCTAATCTTGTTTATTCAAATTAGCCATTACTGGAACTTTGATTTTTGATATGCAGATTTGTTGAATGGCTTTAAAATTATGTTTGCTAATAGGAAATGCTGCATGGCAGGAACAATTGAAACAGAATAAAATTCCAGTTCATGTAAAACGCTGGTTTGGCTTTCTTGAAGCCCAGCAGGCCTTGCAATCAGTAGTTACCAAGTGGGATGTTTCAATAAACAAAACTAAAGTGGTAAGTCTTTCTTCTTTTTTTAAAAAAAGATTTGTTTAGTAACGTTTTATAGTTGTTGAGTGGGATCCTTGTGACATTTACATATGTGCTTACAATATATCTTAATTAGATTCATACCCTCTACCTTTCACCTTCATCGCTCTCTTCTTCATAGAACAGATTGAACAGGTTTCATATGTGAATACAAATACACCCACCATGTTCACCGTCTTTCATTTTTTTTAAAATGTTGACATTTCAGTGTATCTGTGAACTCTAGGTCAGAAAAGAAAATTGTTATTACTCATAAAGTTTATTTTTTGGAGCTGGGAGTACAGCTCAGTGGCAGAGTGCTTGCCTAGCTTGGCATGAGCAAGGCCCTGGGTTTGATCCCCAGCATGACACACACACACACACACACACACACACACACACACACACGGTCCTGGGTTTGATCCCCAGCATGACAGACATACACACACACACACGCACACACACACACACACACACACACGGTCCTGGGTTTGATCCCCAGCATGACACACACACACACACACACACACAGTCGTGGGTTTAATCCCCAGCATTACACATAGACACACACACACACACACACACACACACACACACACACACACACAGAGTCCTGGCTTTGATCCCCAGCATGACACACACACACACGGTCCTGGGTTTGATCCCCAGTCCTGGGTTTGATCCCCAGCATGACACACACACACATGGACACACACACACATGGACACACGGTCCTGGGTTTGATCCCCAACACTACACACATACACACACACACAACACACATACACACACACACACACAGCTTTTCACAAATGAAAAAGGATCTTCTTAGAACAATCTACTGTTAAGTATTAGTTTGACTTTTAACTGTTTGACTGTATAAAGCCCTAGTTTTAATACGTCTGAAAGATTATCTTCTGTATGTTCCTTAGGCTTAGGCAATACAAACTCCATATAACTAAATTCTCAGGTTTGTTTTCAGTGCTGAGTATTGAACCCAGTTCCTTATGCATGCACATGTTCTACCACTGAGCTACACTCCCATCCCCTGTTATCATTATTTTACAACTGTACTGATTTTTTTCCTCCTGCATCTTTTATGATGTTCAAACCATTCATTGAATCCTGGTATTCTGCAGAGCCTTTTTGTTGATTCTGTAGCAAAATGTGGTACAAAAAGTAGTAGTAGCAAAGGTGCTCTTCCCTAGAGTCTTTCTAGTTTGATCTGTTTTACGTATTAGGCATGTGTAGTAAAGTTTCTGTTTAATGAAGATTTATCTTATGCAATAAAATTGAAGACTATTGCCTGCTTGGATAAAGGGGCCATAGTCAATTTGGTTGTTTGGCTAAAAGTCTTTACTCATCTGTCACCATTTTTTCCCCATCTGACTCATCAGGAAGTCCCGTTATTACTTTTCCTATCTAGAGGTTGGCTTTCTGTCCTGCTCTACTGCTGTTGCTTTTATTGAGGCCCCATTAACTCCTGTTTTGTTAAATACCATAATCTCATAACTGATCTTTCTTTACTTGGTCTCATCTTTCTCTGTTTCTGCCTGTGCGCTGTCCTGGGTGTTGTTTTAGAACATACAAATAAATTACTTCACTATTCCTGAGGACTTTCCATTGCCTAAAGCATAAAAGCCGAGATTTAACATTCCTTGACGTTTTGGACCTAATCCATTTCAGCGTCTTTGGATGTGTACCCATCATAGACATTGCATTGCTCTTCCTGCCTTTGTTCTTACTTTTAAATATCCTATACTCTTTCCATCTCATCCATTTCTACTTACTGTTCAAGATCCAGCTTGGTTCTTCCAACTTTCAGGCTTTTCCAGGTAGTCTAGGTACTGTTGATTAACTTTGAGCACTTTAATAACACTGTAAATATCTATTAACTGGTGTGTGGTTTCATTTCCTTCATCAGATTTTGAGTCCTCAAGTGCAAGGATGATGTTCTGGTCATAATTTTGCCTGTAACCAGTGTGGTGCTTGGCACATAATAGACATTAAGTATGGTTCAATGAATATATTCTTAAACATTGTTGTGGATGTTGTTTTTCAGGCACCTGAGAAAAAACAGGATGTTGGGAAATTTATTGAGCTTCCAGGTGCAGAGATGGGAAAGGTTACTGTCAGATTTCCTCCAGAGGCTAGTGGGTAAGAAAATACCACTCATATTTAGTGGAAAAGCTTTAGAAGTCATTAAATGCTTATAATTTTAACAGGTTATTATAGAAGGGCATAAGTTAAGATTTTGATGTTGGAAATTAAAATTCTAATCTTGTAGTTTAATTATTGAGAGCTAATGTTAGTTAACTTGTAGTCTTAGTTCATTAAGGTAATAGAAAAGACAACATTTAAATTTTATCCCAAAATTTTACAAATAAGAAAATGTCCATAAATAGAAAGGTTTAAATTTTATTTATATTTTGAGATTTGAGTGCTTTTATTCAGTAAGGATTTGTGTTTATACCCTGAGCAATATTTTCTATTAATAGAAGTTATGGTAACATTATATTTTTCCCAAATAAAGGAAGGAGAATGCTGAAAAGCCCATTTCTACTTAGTTCTTTCATTATCAACAGGTTTCAAGCCCATTAATTCTTGGCACAAATAGGGAATAATTATCTAATAACTTACTAGGAAAAACAATACTGTTGTTTGTTGGCCATAGGCTGGGGCTGTCTCAGGCCTTATCAGGATTCCTAAGGATGAGGGGAATCTCTGCCTTTACACATCTGTCTTAGTATGTGAAGTAAAATAGTCAAGCTGTGTTGTAATAGAGTTCTTCGAATGCTGTTAATATAATAATGATGTTAATATAATAAATGATGCAATCCTCACATAAGCACTGAGCACTGGATTATACTTTGATAAATAAGATGATTACTTTTCCAACTTTTTAGATTTCGTGTTCAGTAGCCAAATTCTTACCTTTCTGTGATAAATAGAATATGTAGACAATAGACATTTGTGGATAGATAACTTTCTTTTAACTGTGTTTTATAGTTCTTGGCAAATGATCTCATAATAAAATCAGTTGTAGAATTCCACATTTTCTTTCTAATTTTTCTAAGTTGGCTGATTCAGACATTAAACTGGACAGTAGAAAGAAATGAAAGAAATAATGACCCTGAAAAATTCACAGACTTGGTCAATGAATGATTGATAATTGACTAAGTGGAATTATAACACTTATTTACATGGCTTCATTCCCAAAGGCATCTGGAGTCCTTCCTGTCCAATAGGCTGTTTCTGTGCATTAGTATAAGAGGGTCATACTTGTCCTGTTGAGTAGTAACCTTAATAATTGGATAAAACTGCTTTCAAAAATAGTAGCTCAAAATATGAAGTCCTGAGTTCAAACCCTAGTCCCACAAAAAAAAAAAGTATTAGCTGTTTATAGTGACCATTTATCCTTTTTTGAGTCCTTTTACATTTTTGTAACTGTCATTTCTTAGAATAGTGAGTTCCTTGTGTTTACATATTTACAGTTTGAAATCATTTTATCTGTTCTAAAATTATGTGAATTTCAGAGATGATGCTCTAATAGAGGTAGGAATTTGGAATAAATCAATATTCAGTTTTTCTTAACATCATATTTTGGTCATAATCCCATATACTGCTAAAGAGTTCCTTTAATTACTTTTTCTTTCTGTGTACATGAAAGCCAAAAGGCTTAACTCTGTCTTTTTTTTTTTTTCTATTCTTAATGGGTTATTTAGCGCTATTATATGCAGACACTACCAAGCCCTGTGAGGAAGGCATTTTTATTTCAGTCAGTTTTAGAACTGACTGATACAATGTATTAATAACTGGCCGAATTTATATCTTCCATCACAGACTTGGTCAATGAATGATTGATAATTGACTAAGTGGAATTATAACACTTATTTACATGGCTTCATTCCCAAAGGCATCTTGAGTCCTTCCTGTCCAATAGGCTGTTTCTGTGCATTTAGTATAAGAGGGTCATACTTGTCCTGTTGAGTAGTAACCTTAATAATTGGATAAAAACTGCTTTCAAAAATAGTAGCTCAAAATATGAAGTCCTGAGTTCAAACCCTAGTCCCACAAAAAAAAAAGTATTAGCTGTTTATAGTGACCATTTATCCTTTTTTGAGTCCTTTTACATTTTTGTAACTGTCATTTCTTAGAATAGTGAGTTCCTTGTGTTTACATATTTACAGTTTGAAATACATTTATCTGTTCTAAATTATGTGAATTTCAGAGATGATGCTCTAATAGAGGTAGGAATTTGGAATATAAATCAATATTCAGTTTTTCTTAACATTCATAATTTTGGTCATAATCCCATATACTGCTAAAGAGTTCCTTAATTAACTTTTTCTTTTCTGTGTACATGAAAGCCAAAAGGCTTAACTCTGTCTTTTTTTTTTTTCCTTATTCTTAATGGGTTATTTAGCGCCTATTATATGCAGACACTACCAAGCCCTGTGAGGAAGGCATTATTTATTTCAGTCAGTTTTAGAAACTGACTGATACAATGTATTAATAACTGGCCGAATTTATATCTTCCATCTGGCTCTCGAATTACAAGCTAAAATTTGTACTGTGTGTCTCTGTTGTGCATGTCAGAAGCCTAATTCAGCACCACTGGCAACTAAAGTATCATGACTCTTACTTTCCTTAGCTATTCCAATATACATTATCTCTTGAGATGATTGTTTTATTTGCCTTATGAATATTTAATAGTTCATGTTCTCTTGAGTCTTGGCTTTCTTAGAATGGCACACATTATTTTGGTTTCAGACATCATATCTTTATTGTTACCTTTTTTTAATCTTCCTTCCTTCCCTCCCCCTCTCCCCCCTCCCCTGCCTGAGCTATATCCCAACCTTCACCACCCTTCTTAAGTTGATTCTGTATGTAAAGCTAAGCACATTAACTGTCAAATAGTACACAGTCACTGGTCAGTACTGTTTTATTTTTAATTTTTCTTTTTTGACAATGGTTATACCACGTACTGATTAAAACACACACATACATACAGTGTGCACATGAAAACTGCACATAGTGTTTCTGTTTCTTTTTGAGAATTCATAGCCTTTTATTATATTAAACTTTTTTATTTTTGGAGCGTTAAATTTACAGAGTTAAAAAATAGTACAGCTTCCTATATACATTGCTTCTAGTTTTCCTAAGGTTAACATCTTACATTAATATGGTACATTTGTTACAACTAATGAACAAGTATGATAGATATTATCATTTACCAAACTCCATACTTTTCTGGGATTTCATTAGGTTTTTTTTTTTCTGTTCTGAGACTTCATTTGGGATACATAGACACAGTTGTTTGTTTTATGTAGGAAGTCTTGAATAACCTAAGTGCATTGCATTGTACTGTTTGTATTAACTTGTATAGGTAAGCCCTTCTTACAGGTAAACCACTGATGCAGACTGCTGTGTAAATTTCTAAAACATAGATTGATTTAGGACTGGGAATGTACAACTCAGTGACAGAGTGCTTGCTTAGCATGCATAAGGCCATAAGTTGGAGCCCCAGCACTGTAGAAAAAGTTTACTAATTGATTTTAAGAATGACATAAAGACATAAAGGATAGTATTTTCCCTCCCATATTGATAAAAATTGAGATCAAAGGTGTGCTGTGAAATTAAGTGACTGTCTTAAAACAGGGTAACTGCTGCTACCATTAGCAATTAAAACTTAAATTGGTGAGAGCTATTCAAACTTGCTATATAACTTGTGTTTTCTGTTCAGCCAAATGTGTTTTCAACAATAATGATATAGGATATTGTTTTTTCTTTTTGGAGACGGGGCCTTTCTACATAGCCCAGACTGACCTCAACTCATGATCCTTCAGCCTTAACCTCCCAAGTGCTAGGATTATAGGTGTATGCCACCACACCCCACTCAGGATATTGCTTTTTACCCACTGTTATTGCTATTATCAGCAATGCCTGTCATAATTACTTTATCCCTTAATCATCAACTGCCCATAAGAACAGAAGTTTTTTTCATAGACTGATTCATGGAGTTTGCTGCTAGATGAGACCTTGGAGATCCTTCAGTTAAAATCTTTTTATTGGCATTTGAAAAAACTGAAGACAGAGCTGTAAAATAGAAGAAAAGTCAAGAGGTTTTTTTTTTTTTTAAGACAGGGTCTTACTTTGTAGCCTGGAACTTGCTATCTTCCTGCCTCAGTGTCCCTAGTGCTGGGATTATAGGCATCCACCACCTTACCTGACTTCTTTGGCTTCATAATTCTCATGTGCTCTCTGATTTAGCCATCACAGTGACAATGACAGTCTCAGAGGTACTTCTCTCTAGTGTTAGCTTGTTTTCCAGTTCCGAGTAATCATGTCTTTTTTTTTTTTTTTTTTTTTGTGGTACTGGGGTTTAAACTCAGGGCTTCATGCTTGCAAAGCAGGCTCTCTACCACTTTGGCCACACTCCAGCCCCCAGTAGTCAAGCCTTATTAATAACACATAGCACTAGAAGTAGTTTCAGAAGCAGCTTTCCTCTAACTAAATGACCATTTCTCTTGAAAAAAAGAAAAAGTTTATAATATTTTATAGATACCTTGCTCCTTTGTAAGGTTTTGAAGTTGTTTCTTAATATTATATACTATATTATAAATGTTCTAGTCTTTTGTTTCAGAGACAGATGTTCTATCATAGTACTTGTTGGAAAGTAAAATATGACTGGAGTACCAGTTAGAAAGTTGTTTAGTTATCATCTTTTCAAAAAGGTTAAGTTTATGTATTTAGTTAAGACATGTTAATAAGTTTCTTTGTGAAATGTTTTTGTTTCAGTTACTTACACATTGGGCATGCAAAAGCTGCACTTCTGAACCAGCACTACCAGGTGAACTTTAAAGGGAAACTCATCATGAGATTTGATGACACAAATCCCGAAAAAGAAAAGGAAGATTTTGAGAAGGTAATTTAAAGTGTAGTGATAACTTTTTTTTTTAAGAAAAGTTAAGTAAGGCTGACAATGTGGCTCAAACAGTAGAGCTCCTGCCTAGCAAGTGTGAGGCCCTGAGTTCAAACCTCAGTACCACAAAAAAAGAAAAGTTAATTAATAGAGGATGATGTGATCTGATATCTTCATGGTATAAAATAAACTTTATTTCATAGCTGCTTCTTTCCCCTCACCTATATATTCTGTATCTGAGACTTAGGCCAAGAAGTACTGAACTCCCATACCAAAGAAAATTTGTTTTTGTAGATGTAGAATTTACTGTATTTTCCATGAGTAACAATTTCCCTGGAAGCAGGCTTTGCTTTCATCGTACAGTCTTAGTAGGTATTGGCAAATGTGGTTTTCAAGCCTCTTGTCACCTCTATTCAGAAGCACAGCAGTGTGTTCAGAGGGGCAAATGACTATCAGCATGGCCAACAGTAACAGCTTTTCCAGAGTAAACGGAAAGCTTCACCACGAGGTCAGCCTTCGCAGCTGGAATTTGGAAGCTCATATAATGAATATCCCTTTTTTTCTTTTCTGATCTATCATACAACATCCACAGCCATTTTCACACACTTTATTAAGACGGATAGTGTTTTGTTACATTTGCTCAAAATTCAGTATCAAGGATTGAGAATGTACAAGAAAATGCAAATGATGCACTGATGATTGTTTTGATTTCTTATTGCAGGTTATCTTGGAAGATGTTGCCATGTTGCATATCAAACCAGACCAGTTTACTTACACTTCAGATCATTTTGAGATTATAATGAAATATGCAGAGAAACTAATTCAGGAAGGGAAGGCTTACGTGGATGATACTCCTGCTGAGCAGATGAAAGCGGAGCGTGAACAGAGGATAGAGTCTAAACACAGAAAGAACTGTAAGACACATTTACTGTCTGATATTCTAATTGATACTTTTGTGTTATGCTTCCTTAGTACATAATTTCTTTATTTTGAAAGATGCTGTGTGAAGCATAGTTGACGTTGTGATTTCTACATTAATTCACCTCTTAGAAATCATTTTTCTTTGTCTGTCATGTTTACCTTCTTACCGCTTTAGCACCATCACAATTGGATGTGTAGTGTCCATGCCTTCAGAATCTTACTTGTTATACGAAGTCTTGCGTATGTTTTGATTTGAAGGGTTCTTTCTGCAATATTTTACAGGTTTTTTTTTTTTCTTGCAGTGCTGAGGCTGAAACCCAGGGCCTTGTGCATGTTAGGCTAGTGCTATACTGCTGGACTGCATCCCCAAGCACTTTAGGTTCTTTCAGTATAAATGCTTAATATTTCTAAAATGTTTGATGGTAATGCTATTAGCATTCATGTCCTCCTTTCAGCATGTGGGTACATATAAATCTAATATACAAGCTCGGTTCTACCCTGTTTCTTTGAAATATCACCTGACTAAAGAGCATACCTTTTTTTTTTTCTTTTAGACAGGGTCCCACTGTAGCCCAGGCTGGCCTTGAGCTTGTTTCCTCCTGCTTCAACCTCCCGAGTACTAGGATTACAGGCATGCACCACCATGCCCAGCATAAGAGCATACCTTTCTTATTTATGACTTGTCTCCTAAGCTCCCAAGTCAGGCTGTTTTAATTCCATAGTTATGGTGCCAGAACTTCCACACTATATTTAAGTCTCGAGTGTCATATTCGGAAAGTATAGTAAACTGAAATTGCTGTAGTAAGCCTTTCTTTTTTATTTACATTTTCAAAGATAATTAACAACTGGACCTTTCCACCTGTCTTGATTCTTTGAATGCAGGTGAAATGTCCATTGTATCTTTAGAAGTTTGCACAAAAATGTACTGTTCAGTAGTTCTTCCTATTCCTAGAAGAACTGGCTTTAATATTCTGACATAGGTGGAACCATGGCTATAGACTCCTTGTCTCTGGAATTAAATTCTTTTCTGTCTTCTCTCACTATTTTCTGTACTCTTTTTTTTCTAATGTGGTAGCTGGGTTTGAACTCAGGGTCTTAACACTTGTTCTTGCTAGGCAACCAGTCTACCAGTTGTACCACACCTTTAGCCCTTCACTGTCTTTTTTTGTCACCTCGTTTTTTTCCATCCAAGGGTTTCCTGTCCCCACTGAGATGGCTAAAGGGACTTTCAGGTTGTTCACAAGCTTGAACTGAGTTCTTTAGACAGGCACAGGCTACATTGCCAGTGCCTGTGGGCCTTGAGGGCTAGGCAAAACTGCTCTGTCCCCTGGGCATGAAGTGACAAAGAAGGAGAATGCTTCTGCTTTAAAGATACAATCTTAAACTTGTGCAGGGGAGAAGAGAAAGGCTGACTAGTTGTGCCATGATGGGAAAATGGTACACATCAGATAAGAAGAACCTTCAAGACTGTATACTTCTCTTGGACCCTTAATTTAATTTGACCTTTCTAAAACATATTGATAGAGTGTTTGTCTAGATATATTGTTGTTTGTTTGTTTGGTTGGTTAGTTTTTAGTTTTTTTGCTTTTTTTTGAGACAGGGTCTCAATATGTAGCCTAAGCTAGCCTTGTACTTGTAATCCTCCTGCTTCTGTGTCCTAAGCACTGCAGTTTCCTAAATGTTTTGTGAGACTTCTTTCATAAAAAAAAATTCATTTGCTCTCAATGTCTGATATTGGATCTATAGCAGTGTTTTGTTTTGTTTCATGTTTTGTTTAGTGATTCTGGGGTTTGGACTTAGGGCCTTGTGGTTGCTAGGTAAGTACTCTGCCACTTGAGCTACATCCCAACCCTTTTTTGCTTTAGTTATTTTTCAGATAGGTCTCACACTTTTTGACCTTAGCTAGCCTCAGACTGTAATCCTCCTATCTGTGCCTCCACATAATTGGAATTATAGTTATGATCCACTACACTTGGCTTATTTGTTGAGATGGGGTCTTACTAACAACACACACACACACACACACACACACCACACACACACACACACACACACACACACCACCACCACCACCACCACCACCACCACCCCCCCCCCAGTCTTCACCTTCCCAATAGTTAGGACTGTGAAAATTTGTGTCAAATTATGAGACTTTTAAAGTTCAACCACATTAGTAATATATGAGCTGTAATATAATTCTCATTTTGTAGCTGTTGAGAAGAATCTACAAATGTGGGAAGAAATGAAGAAAGGGAGCCAGTTTGGTCAGTCCTGTTGTTTGCGAGCAAAAATTGACATGAGTAGTAACAATGGGTGCCTGAGGGACCCAACCCTTTACCGCTGCAAGATTCAACCTCATCCAAGAACTGGAAATAAATACAAGTAAGTGTATTGTTTTCAGTATGCTAGCTGCTTTCTGTGCTTTTAAACATGGAGTAGAGGCAGCATAGAGGGATACCTGAATCTTTGTGCTTATTGCAGATTAACTGTCCAGTTGGCCTTCTGGGAAGTCATGTAGCCTTTCAGGGGTTGCTTACTCATCAGTTAAGGTTATAGTAGTAGGTTATTTCCAAGGTCACTTTTGTTAGAAATAGCCATGGAAAAGGCAGAGAGATGGCTCAAACACCAGCACAGGGTTTATTGTTCAGGCAGGAGCCCTGTGGATGGAGACCCCAGCAAGAGAGCTAGAGCCCATTGCCATACACAGGCTTGGGCTAGATACAGGGGGCTAGTGGAAAAGTACCAGGAAGGTCACTAAGGGGTACTGTTGATGGGCAATCAAGAAAGATAAGCTGTGGTTAGGTTACTATCTGCTCACCTGTTCTTGGCACCCATTTGGAGAGATAAAGGTTAACACCTGTCCCTTTGTTATTCTTTGGGGTTGGTGGGGAGTTTCAAGTAAACCACCTGCAAGGTGTGGGGGAGGGGGTCTGTTCCTAACATGACTGTTCTCACTGTTAACCCCAACAACTTTCATCTGTAAAAACCCTTGAATCTTCCTAAATTTGCTTTCTGTGTATTGGTTAGACATTGTGGTGTATATCTTTAGACGAAGATACTTTTCTTCATGTATTAGTAAACTGATTTTTCTGGATACGCTCATAACAGTGATAGTATAAAAATTTACAGAAATAGAAACAATATAAGAAAGTAACTTGACGTTTTTCAAGTTTTGATTAGTTTTCTGTGTGGATTTTCAAGTTTTAACACATCATTTTTTTTTCTTCTTTCTTTTCTTTTTGATGGAGGTAGTGTTTGAACTCAGGGCTTTGCCCTTGCAAAGCAGGCATTCTACCACACCTCCAGTCCATTTTGCTCTGGTTCTTGTGGAGATGGGATCTCAAGAACTATTTCCCCTGGCTGGCCTGGAACTTCTATCCTTCTGATTTCAGTCTTGCAAGAAGCTAGGATTACAGGCATGAGCCACTGGTGTCTGTTCATTCTTTCCCTTTTTGTGGTGCTAGGTCTTGAACTCAGGGCCTCACACATGCTAGACAAGTGCTCTACCACTGAACTGCATCCCTGACTCCAAAATTTTTTCTTGAAAAGGAAGCCCCTTCTAAAAAGGACCTTATTTTATACAGTAAGCAATAGAATACATTTTTCTTACACTTTTTTTTTTTTTTTTTGGTGGGACTGGGGTTTGAACTCAGGCACTCTACTGCTGAGTCACATCTCTAGTCCCTGTCAGCGTATTTTTGTTTGTTTGTTTGCTTGTTTTGCGGAAATTGGTTTGAACTTAGAGCTTTGTGTTTGCTATACAGGCACTCTACCACTTGAGTCATCTCTAGCCCTTTTTGCTTTGGTTTTGGAGATTAGGGTATCACTTTTTGCCCAGATCAGCATGCACCACAGTTCTTGGTGTTTTAGGCTTCCCACCATTATTGGGGTGACATGTGCACATTACCACCCCCAGCTTTTTATTGAGATGGGGTCTTGAAAGCAATTTGGTTGGTTTTGTTTGGCTGACTTAGAACCACAGTCCTTCTGATCTCAGCTTCTGCATAGCCTGGAATGACAGGTGCATGCCACTACACCTACCTATTGATTGAGATGGAGGTCTTTTGAACTTTTTGCCTGGACAGACCTCAAACTGAGATGCTCCCAATCTCAGCCTCCCAAGTAGCTAGGATTACAGGTGAGAACTACCAGCGCCTGGCACAAATTTGCTTTTCAAATAGCTTACTTGTTTTCAAAAGCTGGTAAGTTTTTTTTGTTTGTTTTGCTTTTTGGTGATACTGGGGTTTGAACCTGTTGGCTTTTAAACTGTAAACTTCTAAAGAATTATATATATTTTTTAATTCATTTATTCATATGTACATACATTGTTCGGGCCATTTCTCCCCCCTACCTCCAAGAATTATATTTTAAATTAGTATTGCTACTTATAAATGTTTAATCTGATAGAAGGATAAAATAATTACTGTTGATTTTCAAAAACATTTTTTTTTCTAGTATTTATCCAACATACGATTTTGCCTGCCCGATAGTTGACAGCATCGAAGGTGTTACGCATGCCTTGAGAACAACAGAATACCATGACAGAGATGAGCAATTTTACTGGATCATTGAAGCTTTAGGCATAAGAAAACCGTATATCTGGGAATACAGTCGCCTCAATCTCAACAACACAGTGCTGTCCAAAAGAAAGCTCACGTGGTTTGTCAACGAGGGATTGGTAGATTTGCCCTAGCTGGCTTCGAACTGTAATCCTCCTGATCTCTGCCTCCCACGTAGCTAGGATTACAAGCGTGTGAGCCACTGGTGCTCAGCATTCTGTGAGATTTTTATAAGAAAGATAAGTATATAAATGAAAGTGATCTTGAGCTGTGTATCTGTATAAATGAAACCTGTTCATGTGGATTATACTTAAGTCTAAGTCTAAGAAAACTGTTTTTATCTGAATTAACAGCAATTCATTATTTTAAATTGTTTACATTCTTGTCAACATAATAGTAACCAAGAACTTGTACCCATAGTCCCATCACTTGGTGGCTGAGGCATGAGGGTCCTGAATTCACAGTGTATTCATTTTAGTGCCATGTGTAACTAGAAAACAGTTCTTAGCCCAAATGTAAAATAAGATAAATATTTAATAAACTGAGTATAATTTATTACCCATTAGGTTTCTTTGCATAGCATGCATAAGGCTTTGAGTTCTGTCCCCAGTCCCACCAAAAAAAAAAAAAAAATTAAAAATGAAATAAAAAATCTCCTTGGCATTTAGCAGTCTGCATATTTCCTAGGGATGACCCCCGGTTTCCTACTGTTCGTGGTGTTCTGAGAAGAGGGATGACGGTTGAAGGACTGAAGCAGTTTATTGCTGCTCAGGTGAGTTGCGATTTCTGTTCTGGCTTCTCTGTTGGAATTTTCAAGTATTTCTATCAGTATCCCTTTAGTTATTAATATTATACCTGTTCTTCCTATTTCTTGTTGGTCCCTTGTGACTCGGGAGTAGAGATTTATTAAAGGAGTAAGTTTGACACTATTTAAAATAGTGGAAAATTAGGAATGTCTTAAATTCCTAACACAGGGTTGTGAAAAGAAGCAGAAGTATTTTTACTCAGTAAAATGTATAACTCTTGATTCTGACTAGTCTGCAAACTAAGCTTAATAATAAAATTATTAAAGGTAACAAATTAGTTCGTACATGCCAAGTTTCAAATTTTGTTGGAAATAAATTTGCAAGTATTTGTTGGATTTATTTTTTTCTAAACATGCCTGGCTTGGAATAAAGTTTTCTTAATACTTCTTAAGCTTAAAATGGTTTTGTTTGTTTGTTGTTACTGTTTTCTAGGGCTCTTCACGTTCTGTTGTGAACATGGAATGGGACAAAATCTGGGCATTTAACAAAAAGGTACATATGTAGCTCAGTACTCTCTTTCTTTGCTTGACTTTTGAATAATACACATATGGAAATCATCACTGTGCTTATGACAGAAAAATTTCTGAAGGATATAATCATTTTGCAGTCTTTCAGGAAAATGGAATGTTTTCCATTTAAAAATAGATAAAAGGCATTAACCATCCAATAAGTAGCAGTAATTGAAGCAAACAAACTTGGATTTATGGGAAATGGTAATAATTCTTTCCTTAAATCTTTCATGAACATTCTGCATTTCATTTTTCTGCTTTCAAGCTGCGAGTTCTCTGTAAGAAGGTATCACTTAATGCTTTTATTTGCCTTACTTAAATATAGCTTTTAGCATATTCAATGTTACAACTAAGATGTTAAACAGCTTTGAAGCACAATCACATTTATTTAAAAAACTTGCTCATGCAAACAAGTTGAACATACATTTCTAGTTTTATAAAGTATGTCCTCTGTTTTTGGTGGCAAAGGGAAGACTTGGCTACCTTCATTTTGCTGTTCCCTTGTGTGCTGAGAGGACATAGAGCAATAAAATTATGTATTTCATTGAGTCGTGTGACGGTTCACTAACTATAATTCCTGTGTTTCATTGAATCCAGCTTTCTAAAACAAACAAACAAAAAACTGAAAATCAAATGAGGAATATTGGAAATTGAATTGTTAATTACTAATTGGAAGCGGATGCTTGGACACTATAATAAGGCAAATCATTAACAGTGCCATGCTTTAAACCTGGTTTCTGTGATTGTGTGCTGTCATTCTTTATTGGGATTGCTGCTTGATTGTGTGATGTCTTGCCTCAAGAAATAATTGCTTGTTTCGTATGTGTCTTGAATTTATTTATTTTTAGTTTTTTGTGTTTAGTCAGTTTTTTGAAACATAAAGGAATTATTAACTGGTTCTTTTTGTTGCTGCAGTTATTACTAATAAATATGCTTAGAACTTACAGTCAGGGTAACATTGGTGTACCTTTTAGTAATCCAGTTTATAGATTTAAGTTTTAATAAATTTATGACATGAAGTGTCTTTTACTGTGGCCAAACAATTGTGTAGAATCTGTTGAAGAGGAACAGCAGTATTCCCCTATCTTCTTCCATTTTTCAATCTTTGGAGAAATTTTGCCTTTTAGATAATTCTTTTGGTATTCATTGCCTATAACTCTAAATGAAAATGTCTGTTGCTACTTTAGTTTTTAATTTTAGATGTCATCAATTGTCTTTCCATGATTGGAGATGAGGTCTTTTTTCTTACAACTTTTTGATTTCCTTGTGGTTGCTTTGTTTTACCCCTCATTTCCTTTTCTAATTTTATTATTATTATTATTATTATTTTTTTTTTTTTTTTGGTGGTACTGAAGTTTGAATTCATCAGTTTGTCCTTGCAAAGCAGGCACTATACTGCTTGAGCAACATCTCCAGTCTATTTTGCTCTGATTATTTTGGAGATTGAACCCTCTCAAACTGTTTGCAAACTGTTTTCCCTGGTGGCCTCAAACTGTGATCCTCCAGATCTCAGCTTCCCAAGTAGCTAGGATTATAGGCTTCAGCTACTGGTGCCTGCCTGTTTTGCTTTGTTTTGTTTTAGGCAGGTGTTTTTCTGTGTTGTTTGTGCTGCTTGGAGTTCGAGATATCCTCCTGCTTCAGACTCCTGAGTGTGGGACTGCAAGTGCCCAATATCATGCCAGCTGTTCCTTCTTTCTGGCTGTTCTCTTGCTTTGTTATACTGTACTGTGGTAGCTCCCTCAGTAGGGACTAAAATAAAGAGGAACTTTATGAACTTATATACGACCCTTTTTTTTTTGTTTGATTGGTTTTGGTTTTGATTATGTTTTTGAGAGAAGTTCTCACTATGTTGCCAAGGCTTGTCTTGAACTTGTGGAGGGCAAAGTGCCTCAGCCTCCTGAGTAGTGGCTGGGTCTATAGGTATGTACCATTCCACTCAGCTTATGATCTTAGCTGCACGTGTATATGTGTTTTCCTGAGACAGGGTCTTGCTGTGTAGCTCCAGCCATCCTCAAACTAGCAGTCCTCCTGCCTCAGCCTCAAAAGTGCTAGAATTATAAGCATTTGCCACCGTGCCTGGCTATGACCTATTGTTGTTTTTTTTTTTTTAACTTTGAAATTTCAGTATGCTTTGGTTTGGGTCTATTTTCATGCATATTCATTGAAAGAGTATGACGGTTTCAGTCTGGAAATTCATTCCTTCAGTTTTGGGAAATATTCTTGAATTCTTTCTATTTCTTTGCTGTATTTTCTTCTCTCCCTCCTTTCCACCTCCTGCATGCAAAACATGTGGTCTTCCACTGAGGTACAACCCCAGCCTGTCTCTTATATATGTTCTTTTTTTCTCTGAAACTCTTACACAGATATTGGGCCTACTGAACTGGTCTTCTAATTTTGTTTTCTCTCTTATTTTATACCTTGTCTTTTGGCTCTATTTTTCTGTAGATCTGCTCAACTTCACTTTCCTGCCCTACTGATGAGCTTTTCATTTATGCTATCATATTTCCAAGATTTCTCTACATTTTCAAAATAGCTTCCTGTTCATGTTTCATGGTTATAATATCAATGATAGGTTTTTTTCTTTTCTGTTCTAGTGTCTCTTTCCCCAGGTTGGTTTATTGTGGTTTCTTTCTTTCATATTAAAGGCCATTCTCATTCTCAGTGTCTGGTTAGCTTTGGTTATCTGCTGGTTTCATATCAGAGACTATAAGAGTGTTGGGAAGCTCTAAGAGCAAGAGTCGATCGTCACTGTGAGATGAGCTGACTGGGCTGGTTGAAGAGCCTCCATGTCACTAACTTGAACATTTCTTTCTTGGAGCAGTTTTCGCAAGGGGAGTTTCTTTCAGTCACCTCCCTAAAGTATGAAGGACTGGCTTCCAGGGCTTTGGAGCAAAATGGAGGAAGGCTACTAAGGGCCTTCACTGGGTATCGTTCATTCACTTGTTTTCACTGCAGTACTTTCCCCTTCTCCTTTTGATGACTACCAGAATCTAGACACCCTCTTGTTCATGAACATCAACTCTTTGTTTAGGTAGAAAAGAGGCAGTGACCTGGTTGTATGGAGTGGATAGGGGATGCTTCCATATGTTTTTCTGTTTCTAGAATTTGGTTTTGGCTTCTCCTATTCTGCTAATCCTTTTGGTCTTTTTCTTTAAACCAAAACAAAACCTCCCATGTCTTTTTGTGGGAGTCTGTGTGATCTTTAATCCTTAAACATCATCTTAAAAATAGGAATTTTTTTTTTTTTTTTTTTTTTTTGGCAGTGCTGGGTCTTAAACTCAGAGCTTCGTGCATTGACAAGCACTGTACCCCTGAGCTACATCCCCAATGAAAGTTTTAAATTTTGACTAGTATTAAAAATTTTGATAATGTACTTTTTCCCCCCTATTGTTAGGCCTTTGTGACATCTTCCTGTATTGATAGCCTTTCCTTCCAACCCTTGGCTTACTGATCTTTTTCTTCCTTCCTGGCCCATTTTTTTTTTTTTTCCTGATCTCTTATTGAGAGTTCATGTCACTTTCAATCTTGATTACTGCTTTGTTACTTTCTAGCTTAGTCTTTCTTTCCAATGTCTGTATATGAAATTTAACTGAAGTATCAATAAGATAAATTTAGTGCAATGGCATTGAGAAGTGTTAAGGGTCAAAACTAAATCATCGATCTTTGAATCCTGCTTTTTTTTTTAAATATTTTTAAAAGTAGCCTCTGTTTAAAAATGACCTGTAGTTCTTTACATGCTCTATTGGAGAAAGAACTTTATAACATGAATTGCACATGCTAAGGAAAAGAAAGGAGAAATGGATGTGTAGTCTAGGAAATAGTAAAACATGAGTGATTGGTAATCTCAGTATCCCTTGGAAATTACTGTGATTCTTGTTTTCATAGCCCAACTTCATCTCGACAGGAAACTACATAATTTTGCTGTTTAAAAAATTTTTTTTCAGTCTGCAGTTTTTTATAGTTCCACAAAAGCCATGTTTACTTTGATACTGATAGACATTTCAAGTGCTTACTTTACATTAAACTTGCTAATTTTCTTCTTGGTTTACTTTTCAGTCTAGGTAGAAGAGTCACAGCTTTAAGGTGTTCATTTCAGAGCTGTTTATTTGTCTCTGTCAAACTTTTATTTACTGCTTTAATTTTAAACTTATGTTGATATTTCAGTAGTAAGATAACAGTTTTCCCCAACTCTGCATCTGCTCCCAGCTAGTAAATTATAGTGAGTAGAAGTAAGCAAGTCTTCCAGTGAAAAAATTTTGAGTAAACCCTAACAAACAAAACAAAAGTGAAGCTGTTGTGGTTGAAGTATGTTAAAGAGATCTGCTCTCTTCAGCCCCATTCCTGACCTTCCCCTCCATTTGGTGTCTATCAGGGCCCCCATTATAGTTCTTTGGAATAATTTGAAAACCACAGATTCAGAGTCTTTCAGAACTACATAATTTTAGAACTGAGGAAGACTTATTTAATGGGGCCTCTCTATGTTGCCCAGTCTGGTCTCAAACTCTTGGAACTCAAGCAATTCACTTGCCTCAGTCTCCACAGTAACTAAAACTATAGGCGTATGCCACCATCCAGCTATGGTTTTTAATCCAAGGTTTCCCATACTTGCCTGCTATTAACTGTCCTGTGTAATGCTTGTTAAAAATAAATTTCCAGACTTTACATTAGACCATTAGAATCATAATTCTTTTTTTTTTTTTTTTCGTGGTACTTGTTTGAACTCAGGGCCTCATACTTGCTAGGCAGATGCTCTACCACTTGAGCCACTCCACCAGCCCTGGAATCATAATTCTTTAGAGTTAAGTGACCTGAGAGTCTGCAGTAACTAACAGTTGCCCCAAGTGATTAGTCACCTGTGGAAAACAATCTTCCACTATTGTTTATCAGCTGATGAAATTGATCTGCAATAAAATGAATTAAGTTTCTCAGATAGGAATATCTCGTTTTAGTTTCTTTAAGGAAATTTTATCTTACTGGCTTAAAAACTAAACTGCGTAGTCACAAATTAAATCTTTGATCAGTCTAGCCCAGTAGAAACTGAAAGAAGCAACCTTGAACTAGGAAGAATGATCCTTAAGCTTCAAGGAAAGAATTAAACAGTAAACTTACAGAAGCTGAGTATTGATTGCATATGGGGATGAAATTTAAGCAGATGGGTAGTAGCATACAAGGGGAAATTAAATAGCTTTTCCAACTTTGTATGAATGACCTTCTGAGAATGACTTCTGAGTTTATTCAGGATTTGTAAAATACCACTTTTCAGAAGCCAAAAATTATCCTCAAAGTGAACAAGAAAAGTCAATCCACTAATAACAACAAAAGTATAAAACAAACATAGCCAGGTTTGATTATCCTGCCACTGTTTTCCTGCACCCTTCTAAGTGGGAAGAAATAACTGCTACTTGGCTATTTGACCCTACATTTGCTTTCGTCCACATTTTTCTCCCAGATGCTTTATATACTAGTGTTGACATAAAATATTTGGTCATTGTGGATAATTTTAATTTGAACAGTGAATTGAGAGGAGTATATTGTCAGGAGGAGATGCTGCTACTATTTTGGAGATAGAAGAAGTTATAGCATAATTGTACAATGATTCATTCAGTTAATCTGCAGATACTTCTTACCTGTATGAGCCAGCCCCTTGCTAAGTACTAAGAATACTGTGGTTCTTCTATATGTATACACATTGAGTATCCTTTATCCAAAATGCTTGGAACTGAAAGTGTTTTAGGTTTTGGGCTTTCACATTAAGGATGCTCTACATGTGTATGACATGTAGACCAACATAATTATTTTGTTCATACTTTTAATTTATAGAGTTGCCTTATTATTGTGACCTAATGCTATGCTGCTTTTGATGGTAATGTGTTGCCTAACTCATTATAGAAAATGATACCAGACACTAATATCTATATTCCCTTAAAATGGATTTCTCTGACGTTACAAAATTGAATATCACATTTACCTATAGGGAGTAATATATAACCCCACAGGATTTCTTCTCCATTCAGATACCAGATTTAAAAATTATTTCATAATATTTCTGACATACTTTAATGGACTTCTTTTCAACTACCAGTAGTTATTCTTGGGAAGGAGTTTTAAATCCTTCACATCATCTTGGTTTATAAATATTTTTCTTTTTTTCTACTTGGTAGCTGAATATTAGATAAGAGGTAGCAGATAAACCAAAAAATTAGTGAATGCAGTAACAAAGAAAGCCAGTTAGTATTCCTGTGCTGTTATTTTTTACTTTATTTATGATGGTTTACAAAACATTTCAGTGTTTTGACATGAGGATTTTGTTGCAGGTTATTGATCCAGTGGCCCCACGATACGTTGCATTGCTGCAGAAAGAAGTGGTCCCAGTACATGTCCCTGAAACACGGGAGGAGATGAAAGAAGTAGCCAAACACCCAAAGGTCACCCTACAGTTTCACCAGTGTTTCTTCTCTTTGTTAAAACAAGGATCATAGTTTGGGGATAATTTTCTATTCAATATTACTAGTCAGGATTTGATGCTAATTGAAGCAAATCCTTTTGTGGATTTCTTGCTGAAGAAATTTGTTCTGTGAATGTTGCACAACAGCACACCACACAGGACTGCTGCATTCTGTTGGTGCTCATTGTTATTCTGTAGAGATATCATACTAGTGTATAAAAAGAATTTCTCTCTTCCTGGAGTCATTCTGCAAGATGGGATATTCTAATTCATATTCTTATCTTTATGTGGAGGCTGAGATACACTGTTTATTATCTGAGTTACTTATTACACCTTTGTTTTTAAACGGAAACATTAGTCCTACTAATACACACCCCACACCCACCTCCTTGGGCCTCCATGAGTGGTTGGCCAAGTGCTTTACCACTGAGTTTATACTTTTAGCCCATAGACCTGCCAGTATTGGTTCACAGCTTGACTTCAGAGTTTGTCATACTTCTCTTTCCTCTATTTTGGAAAATACCTGTGAACTAAAAATGGTATCTATTAAATTCTGAATATATATCTTAAATGTAGGTAGCTGAGAGTTTCTCTTAAGCCATTTTTGTCATTTTGGATAGTTGCACCTACTAGATGACAATCTTTTCTTTTTATTTGATAATCTTTTTTGTTTTGTTCTGTTTGTGTTTTTTCTTGTGGTGCTGGGGATCAAACCTAGGCCTTGCGCAGGCTAGGCAAGTACTCTATCACTGAGCTACTTCCCTAGCATGGATGACAATCTTAAAGTAAAAATAAGATCTGTAAAAAATTTTGTTATTTGCTAAGATTATGTTCATAGGCTACCTTACTCGTTTGCTAATAGACTAGCTCATAGCCAAGTTATTTTTATAGACTAATGCATATATAAAATAATATACATTGTGAAAACCTTTAAACGTCTAAATTGTAGCCACATATGATTGTCTTTCTATGTATGACAGTTATTTTTTAATTTTAAAGATTTGAATACTAATAAAATTTGGAACGTGTGTGTGTGTGTGTGTGTGTGTGTGTGTGTGTGTGTGTGTAAAAGAGATTTGGCTTTGCCTTTATCTCACATCAGTTGGTTTTTTAGTTTGACCAGATGAGTGGTGGCATCTGATATATTACTTACTTCATCATTAACATAAGTGTGAATCTCACTGGAAGTTTTATAGTTTGAATGATGAGACTAGAACTTTTTAAGAGTGCTTATTTGTTTAAATGATGGCTTAAATTACTAAGTACTACTCATTACTAACTTGATTGGGAAGCACACTCTTGAGTTGTGACTGGATTACTAAAATGGTCTGTTGGAGATTCTGTTACCATCTCCCTCATAAAGTGTTCTATTATTATTATATATTATATAATATATAATATAAATATATAATATATATACTATTATATTATTTATTATTATTATTATAAAGTGTTCTAGGCTATTTTGAGCCTAGTTATAATTTCAGTTTTTATGCCATACTGATTTTTCTCAAATATATAATTAAACACATGCTCATCAACATTTTATTTTTATTTGTTTATGGTTTTTTGAGATAGGGTCTCACTATGCAACCCAGGCTGGCCTCAAACTTGAAATTGCTCTGCTTCAGCCTCCCAAGTGCTAGAATTAGGCATGCACCACCACAGCTGGTTAACATTTATTTTAAAGGTTTTTTTTGTACTTTTTTTTTTTCGTTGTGAATTCTGCCACACAACAACTGAAACTTAACAAAGACAGCAAGCTTTTTACTCATCTCTTTTTCTTCTCCACACTGGAAAGAGAAAATTTTGTCTATCTTTGTACCTATGTGATGCTCTCTTCCAAATTTGTTTTTTAAAATTGGAAAGGTCCATAATTTCCTACCAGCATTACATCTGTTGTGTTACAGTGTTCTATAGCCACTGCTCAGGAATGACTTTACTTTCTCCTTTGGTACAAAAGCAATGAGACCATGAGGCTAACAAAGCAGATAACCAGAATCTGTTATTATTCAGAGCTAAATAATTCTCTTAGCTCTGAAATCAATGAGTGATTGCTTTAGGCTAGAAGTAATCTTCTATCTCCAGTATAGTGATCAGCTTCATTGTCAGCTGGGATTCTAGCTAAGGATTTTCTATGTGATGACAGTGCGACTTTATATAGTGGGAACTGGGGAGATAACCTACATATGTGGCAAAAAGTAAAGCATTTTTTTCCTAATATAGCAGTAGACTTTTAATAGTATACTAGTATAGATAATTTTGTTTGGTTAAAGAATATAATGAATGGATAAATGAATAGATTTGCCTGCTGGGTTTGGGATTCAATAAAGTTGCTTCATTTAACATCCTCTCTTGCTCTCTTTCTCTCTCTCTTTTTGGTCATTCAGAATCCTGATGTTGGCCTGAAGCCTGTGTGGTACAGTCCTAAAGTTTTCATAGAAGGTGCCGATGCAGAGACTTTTTCAGAGGGTGAGATGGTTACATTTATAAATTGGGGGAACATCAACATTACGAAAATACACAAGTAAGAACTTTTGTTTGTTTTCAAATACTTGTGGGAGAAATATCTTTTACATTTATGTGTTTATTAAATATTACTTAGGGCTGGAGGCATAAGCTCAAGCAGTAGAGCACCTGCCTAGCAAGCAGGAAGCACGGAGTACTGCCAAAAAAAAAAAGAAAAAAAGCATTATCTAATTCATACCCTGACTGAATGTTCTAGTATTCCTGTTGTTGACTAGTAAATTTGCCCAGATACAGATACTGCAAATTCTAGACCAAATTAATTTTTTAAAATATATATTCCAGTTTACTAATAGGTTATCAGGATGTCTTCTATTTGTGATGTTGAAAATTACTACGTCTAGATACAGAAAAAAAATTGTTTTCATTCTTTAGAGTTCCGTTTTATTGTCTTGTTATCTTGTTACATAGTTGCTTGGTAAGAGGGTCCTTTCGGCAGGATTTATGTATGTAACTTAATTTTCATCGTAAAATGATTGGATAATGTTAATAATGAATTTTACCTTCTAATTAATATGGGCTACATTTACTAATTTGATTTTCAGATTATTTAAATGGAACATAATATGCTTAAGATTTATTTGAATAAACTCTGAAATCTTAACTGTGTAGCCTTTACATATGACTATAGTGGTTAAACATTTTTAAATGTAGTGTTTCAGATTTTGTAATGTTTAGCACAGGTGACTTTAAATTCATAAATGTGTTCGTATTTTTTGTCAGATGTATTTGGGTCTGTTGTCCAGCAGATTATTAGTATCTTGACAGCAGAGACATTTTATTCACCTAATACATGCCTTAATTTTAGAAATTTAAATACACGTTTAATTTGAAATTTTTCCAAAGAAAATTTCTTGTCCATTTGTTATTAAGAAATAGTAAATTACTTTGTAGTAATTTGAAATATTACAGAACAACATAATGCATTCATAGCAGCTGTGCTTAATTTCTTTGTATATTTTTCAATCTTGTATCTAGAAATACAGATGGAAAAATTGTATCTCTTGATGCAAAACTAAATTTAGAGAACAAAGACTACAAGAAAACGACTAAGATCACTTGGCTTGCTGAGACTTCACAGGCTCTTCCTATTCCAGCAATCTGTGTCACTTATGAGCACCTGATCACAAAACCAGTGCTGGGAAAAGATGAGGACTTTAAGCAATATGTCAACAAGAACAGTAAGGTAATCTTATGAAAAGAGACCAAATTTCATCTTTTTTCCAACTTTTCTTTAGCATTTAAAAGTTAAGTTTAAATATTTGTTTTCTCAAGGAAAATGGAAAAAAAATTGTAGAATTTTATATTTATATAGAAGGTAAAGAACAGTGATGGTAAGCAGGATGCTTTACAACAAGTAGTAAATATAGAGCTACATTCAAACCAATGCATCCTCGCTCTAGAGCCCTGCACTTGAATGTTAGGCTAATATGTTTTTCAGCTGAGTTTATTGTGTGTTTCTTCCATTGCATTTCATATATATATATTTGTGTGTGTGTATGTGTGGTACTGAGGTTTGAACTCAGGGCCTTATGCTTGCTAGGCAGGTACTCTGCTGTTTGAACCACACCTCCAGCCCTTTTTTGTGTTGAGTATTTTTGAGCTAGGGTCTCAACCACCATTTTGCCCAGGCCCATTTTCGAACCATGATCCCCCTGATCTTTGCTTCCTCACTAGCTAGGATTATAGGAGTGAGCCACAGGTGCCAGGCGCATTTCATATTTATGATGGAGAAATTATTTCCACAGGACTGCCTGAAGCCAGTCAGTTTATAAATGTTAACTAAAATTGTGAAGCACTCAAAGCATGCATCATTGTGGCACATGCTTGTAATGGCAGGAAATTTGCAAGTTTGAGACCAGTCTGTGCTACACAGTGAGATTCTGTCTTTAAAAAATGAATAAAAGGAATATTTCTGGATAGCTGTCCTTAACTCAGCTAGCAAAAACACTTTGCCTTCATTATTATACTTGCCTCTTTTCTTCAACAAAACTAGTGATAAAGGCAGAACAGGACCTGCCTGGAACTGAGGGGGGAAGGAGGGAGAAGGTGGTATGCACATGTGAATAAATGAATAAAAAAATGATAAATGAAATAGTCCTTTTATGTCTGTATTTAGTTATTTAATTTTGAGACTGAGTCTTCTGTGTTGCTGGTCTTGAATTCTTGGTCTCAACCTGTCCTCCCATCTCTGCATCCCACATGCTGTGATTATAGGACATGTAGGCCTGGTTTTCACTGTTTTTAACATGTTACTGTTTCACTGTGTATGGTTAAGTAGTAAAGTTTTTAACATACCTGGAAAATGAGAATATTTCAGCAACTGGAAAAATGGCTTGTGTTTTAGAATTATCTAGTGTTCTGATTTGAAAAAAGTATATTTTACTTTTATATCATCTTTATAGCACGAAGAACTAATGCTAGGGGATCCTTGCCTTAAGGATTTAAAAAAAGGGGACATTATACAGCTCCAGAGAAGAGGATTCTTCATATGTGATCAGCCTTATGAACCCATTAGGTAAATATTGGTATCCTTTTTCTGTGTGTGGTGTTGGGGATCAAGCCCAGGACATCATGTATGAAAGGCAAAGACTCTCATTGAGCTACATCCCCAGCTCCAACAGTTCATTCTTTTTGCATGGAAACAGTATAGCCAGTGCCTGGTACTTACTGAGCCCTTTTAAGTATTTAATAATGGTGGTCTTAGCCACTATCTAGAATAACAGTAGGTTTTCAGTTTATTTTCAAAAAGGCATTAAACTTTTAAACAACTAATGCTAGAACAACTGAATAGCCACATATAAAAGAGTGAAGTTGGGCCCTACTTCTTACCATATACAAAAATTAGCTCAAAATGTGTTAAATACCTAAATGTAAGAGCTAAAGTTAAACAGTGTCGAAAGAAAACATAAGTAACCATGGCAGTTCTTTCTTGGATATAACACCTAAACTCTAAGTAATAAAAAAAAGAAACAGACATATGGACTTGAAAAATTTTTAAAAATTTGTTTTAAGGGCACCATCAAGAAGAAAAGACAACCAATGGAATGGGAGAAGATATTTGAATACATACCTAATGAAGGACTTGTATCCAGAGTAAATAAAGAATTCTTGCAATTCAACATTAAAAAAATAAATAACCCAATTAAAAATGAAAAAAGGATTTGAATAGACATTTCTCCAAAGGAGATAGAAAAATGGTTAATATACACATGAAACGATGCTCAATATTATTTGTTACTAGGGAAGTACAGATTAAGCCCACAGTGAAATAGAACTTCATATCAACTGGGTTGACTGATAGGAAGTTGGAGAGGATGTGGAGAAATTGGAGTTCTCCATATATTGCTGTTAGGATTATAAAATGGTACGGCCAGTTTAGAAAATATTTAGGAGGAACTGCTAAAATGTTTTCTAAAATAGTCATATTTTATAGTCAGTTCCACTCCTACACATATACCCAGGAAAAATAAGAACATGTCACAAAAAAGTTGTACATAAATGTTCATAGCTGTATTATTCATAATTACCCAATTATGAGCTGGTGAGGGCATAAACAAAATGCATTATATCCACGCAACAAAAGTAGTAGTCAGCTGTAAAAGGAAAAAGGAATTGAATACTGATTCATGCCACCACACGGATGAATGTTATAAATATGGTGAGTGGAAGAAGCCAGTCATAACAAATCACATTATTCCATTTATGTAAAATGTCCAGAATTGACAAATCCATAAAAACAAAGTAGAGCTAGGCACTGATGGCTCATGCATATAATCCTAGCTGCTTGGGAGGCTGAGATCCAGAGGAACTCAGTTCAAGGCCAGGTGGGCCAAATAAGGTGGGTAGCTAGCACACAAGGCAAGATAGTGGACACTTCTGCCACCCTGTAGTTTCCTCTGGGGTGTCCCTTTTCTTAATTATTCACCATTCAATGTCTTGGAAAGGGAGAGAGATAAAATGTGATATATAGATTTGTCTGCTCTTACTATGTTGACACTGATTGGTAATGTAAATTTCTGTTTAATTGTTTTAAAATGATCCTTTTGCTGGGCACTGGTGGCTCATGCCTGTAATCCTGACTACTTGGGAAGCTGAGTTCAGGAGGATTGCAGTTCAAGGCTAGCCCAAGCAAATAGTTCACAGGACCCATCTCCAATATAACTAGACTAAAATGGAGTGGAGGCATGGCTCAAGCAATAGAGCACCTGCTTTACCAGTATACAACCCAGATTTCAAACCCAAGTCTAGCCAAAAAAAGACAGTAGATCAGTGATTGCCAAGTACTAGAGAAATGTAGTTTTGTTCTTTTAAATTAGTATATGATAGTTATACAGGAGGTTTCATTGTGATGTTTCTATACACACACATACATATATTTCTATATATATGTGTGTATATATATAATATGTATAATACCTGTTTGGCTCATCACCTCCATTAATCTACCTTTTTTTCCACTTCCCTTCTTAAAATAACTTCAACAGGTTTCAGTGTTCCATATTCATACATGTGTAGAAAGTACCTCAGCCATATTCACCCTCCTTTACACTAATCATTTGCCCTTCCTTTCCCACTAAAACCCTCATTTAATGTACCTGTATTACATTCCTGTCCTTCATTGTTTCAGTATCTGTTCATTGTTAGTGGGGTTTTGTGTTTTACATATAACATATTGTACTTTAGTTAGCAAACCCCCCGCTATTACTAGAAGGTTTCTTTTTGGCATAGTGTAAATGTTCTAAAATCACACAGTGATAGTTGCACATTTTATAGAGCCATTTGAATGCTACATTAAAGTGATTTTGTATTTGGGGGGATGGTATTGGGGCTTGAACTCAGGGCCTTTCACCTTGAGCCACTCCACCAGCCCTTTTTTGTGATGGGTTTTTTCAAGATAGGGTCTTGCAAATTATTTGCCTGGGCTGGCTTTGAACCTTGAGCCTCCTGTGTAGCTAGAATTATAGGGTGAGCCACTGGCACCTAGCTTAAAAGTGATTATTTTCAGGTGTAAATTATCTCAATAAACCTATTAAAAGTGTTGCAGCAATAGGATCCAGTTGTTACTAAATGACTTCTCTTTCTACTTTAGCTTTTACTGCAGAATTTGTAGAACTCTTTCACTTATGAATAGTCTGAGTCAGTGGATTACTGCTAATTACTGTGCCCATAAGGACATAAAATGTTTTTACAGAAATTCTTTTAAGCAGATTAGGTGTGGCAGGTAAATTTCCTATATGTCGAGGGATACCCATAACATCCACTAATGTCCTCTTTTTTTTTCTTTTCCCCTGTTTTAAGGCAGTGTCTCAGATTATAGCTCAGTCCTGCTTTAGCCTCCCAGGTGCTAGGATTATAGGCCAACGCCACCATGCCCGGCTTCACTCACTTTGTTTCTGGTGGCAGGCAGGTTGGATGCACTTTTGCCCCGAGACTAGCTCATTCATATCTATGAGAATGTTCATAAATTGCAGTAGAACCTGTACTTCGTAGATTTGGTCTTTTCATGGGTAAAGTGGTAAGCTGTGATACTCTCTTTTTAAAAATTTTACCATTTTTCTTTGTAGAAAAATTTTTATTAGCATATATTAATTATACAAAGAGGTTTTGTTGTGGTATTTCCATACTTGCATATGATGTACTTTGATCAGATTCCCTCTCTTCCAGGAATTCAGTTTTAATTGCTGTTTTTGGATAATTTTGCTCAAATAAACTTTCTGGCCTTTCCTTTTCTTTTTAGCCCCTATAGTTGCAAAGAAGCTCCATGCATTTTGATACACATTCCTGATGGACATACAAAGGAAATGCCAACCTCTGGGTCAAAGGAAAAGACCAAAGTAGAAGCTACAAAAAATGAGGTAAATACTGACTTATAGGTAATGTCTGAAGTCAGTGGTCCATCTATCCTAGAGCTTGGAGTATATCTCTTTACAAATGGTTATCCTTTTTAAAAAATTTTGTTGTTATTATCATTCTTTTAGGTAAGATTTTAAAGCATCTTTCTTTCTCTTTCTCCCAGCTCCTTTCTTTCCTCCCACCTTCTGTTGTTTTGAGACATGGTCTTGCTATGTAGCCCAGGCTAGCCTTAAACCTACTATATAGTCCAGACTGGACTCAAACTCAAGATCCTGCCTCAGTCTCCCACTTGCTAGGATTACACGCCATAAATCATTACTACCATCATTAATAGGTAGTCTAGTCCAGGTACCCATGGATCATGCCTGTAATCCTAGCTACTCATGAAGCAGAGATCAGGAAAATTGTGGCTCAAGGTAGCTCAGGCAAATAGTTCAAGAGACCCTATCTCAAAAATACCCAACACAAAAAAGGGCTGGCAGAGTGGCTTAAGTACCAGAGTGCCTGCCAAGCAAGCATGAGGGCCTGAGTTCAAGCCCCTTGGTTCATAGAACCTTTAGCTTCTCAGTTTTTCCTGGTACCCCTATGCTAAATAAATTCCCCAAATTCTCATTATTAAGTAGTTAAGTTCAAACTACTAGATAAATATCTATCATTAATTTTGTAGCTATTTAGAAAAACAAAACACATGAAGAGATATTTTAAATTTCACTCTGGCCAAGCGCTGCGCTGGTGGTTCATGCCCGTAATCCTAGCTGCTCAGGAGGCTGAGATTAAGAGGATCATGGTTTGAAGCCAGCCCAGCAATAGTTTGAGAGACCCTATCTCAAAAAAAAAGTCACAAAAAAGGGCTGGTAGAGTGGCTCAAGGTGTAGGCCCTGAGTTCAAATTCCAGTACCTTAAAAAATTTCTGAAAATAATTTTGTTCTTAAATATTGAGTATGTTAATTTCTATTTCATTCTAAAAATGATACACAAATTGAAAGAAAAAATTACTGTTATTTCTTGAAACTTGGACTCAATTGGATACTACCACGATTATTTCCTGTCCACATTGACTTTTGTATGGTATTTGGTTTTTAAAATAGCTGTGGAAAATGCAAAGATAGCACCATGAGAAGGAATGTAACATACTCGTGTTAAAACTGACTTGAGCTAGCACCACACACAGTGTCACAGTGTGCTACAGTGTAGGACATACACAGTTGAAGTATATTGCTCTGCTTCTCTTGAACATTAAAATAGCTCTGCTGTGAACTTTTTGACCCTCTGGAGCATCGTGGTATGTAGTTTGCCATCCGCGGATGTTGGGAAGGGACTAGTTACTGAAGATTTGAGAGCAGTGTAAAGATAATTTGAAGGGTAGATTGGATATGTGATTAGAAGGCTTTATCAGTGGTCAGAGGCTAGAACATTGGGGGACATAAAGTAGTGGATGGATTCAGGAAGTAGAATTGGTAAGACAGTAACTTCTAGTTTGATTTTGTTGTCTGGGTAAATAATTGTTGAATAACCTGAGCCAGGGCAGATGAACACGTAAGTTATTAGGAGTTTGGAACTATATAAGGTGGTAATGGTATAATTTGAGATTTAATTTCTATAAATTAAAATCTTTAAATTCAGATAAAAGAAAAAATTAAAGAGAAGTAACAATGTAAATAAGGTGGTATCCTTGTTCTAGTTTTGAAAGTTTTTTATTAGCATATATTAGTTGGGCAAAGGGGTTTCATTGTGATCTTTCCATGTATGCATAAAATGTACTTTGATCAAATTTACCCCTTCTATTCTTTCTTATCCCTCTTCCCCCCACTTTTGGTTTTGCAGTTTTTAATGAGTGTCATTATTCTGTTTTCATGCAGGGTATAAAGTACTGTGCTTATATTCACACCCTCATAACCCTCTCCTTTCTCCCTCACTTTTGCTGGTTTCATGCTGCTTCCAATAGAGACTGATACTGTCAAAATTGAAGTCTAACCGGGTGCCAGTGGCTCACATCTGCAATCCTAACTGAGATCAGAAGGATTAAGGTTCAAGGCCAGCCATAGCAAATAGTTCTCAAGATTCCATCTCCAAAAATAACCAGAGGAAAATGGACTGGAGATGTGGCTCAAGCAGTAGAGTGTCTGCAAGTGCAAAGCCCTGAATTCAAACCCCAGTCCTGCCCCCTCCCCGCCCCCCCACCCCCAAAATGACGTCTAATCCAGGGTGTACACTACTTCATTGGTTTTTGTTTTGGGTTTTTTTTGGGGGGGGGAGGATTATCTTTTGTACTTAAGTCTTTTGTGCTTTAGTACAGGAGGCTATGTTGTTGAAGCCTCCTTCATCTGCACTTGAACCTTTTATCAGATAGCTTCATGGTACAGAAAACAGTGTTTTCCAAGCACCACCTACATTAATGGAGGGCACTTATGCGGGTTTCAGGTTTTTCTTAAAATTATCAGATATTTCTAAAGCTGTTTCTTTAATTTTGAGAAAGCTTTTTCCTGAACGCTTCTTGGTTTGACATAAAACTTGACTAGCTGGGCACCAATAGCTCACACTTAACAATCCTAGCTACTCGGGAGGCAGAGATCAGGAGGACTGTGGTTTGAGGCCAGCCCAGACAAATAGTTTTCAAGACCCTATACTAAAATATCCAACACAAAAAAGGACTCATGTGGTGGCTCAAGTGGTAGAGCACCTGCTTAACAAGTGTGAGGCCCTGTGTTCATATCCCAGTATGCAAAAAAAAAAAAAAAAAAACCCTTAAAACATGTTTATAACCTCATTGTAACCTATGAATGATTTATAGAATTTTGCATAAGTTATTTTGAGCATATGTACATTTGTTTTTACTTATTGACTTTGGAACCTAACTGTCATGTAAAGTCCATTCTGATGTAGCTGGAGGTACATTTATCTAGGTATAGAAGTCTCGAAAACCATTCAGAGTGCTGGGTCTTGGGTCAGAATAGTGTTCTAAATAGAGCTGAAAATTTTTGGAGTTTAGTACACATGACTGCATGAACTTGGATGAGATTATTCTAAAAAGCTACGTAGAAGACCATAAAAGTCACTCAGCTGAGTTGAAAGTTGGAGGGGTTTTCAGTCGGAAGGAAAGTATGTAAAAGAAAACATGATATGGGAATATCATGCTTACCACCCAGATATGATTGCAGGGAGTATATGTCTAGATGTTTTGCATATGCTTATGTAGAAACATTTATCTGCAAATGTTTAATTTTATACAAATAGAACTATTCTACAATGATGAGTGTTAAGTAAACCACAGTGTTTCATGGAGCTCTTTCCTGATTATTAAATATAATCTTTCTCATCTTTTAAAAAATACCATCTTATTTTTCAGACTGTCAAAAAGGGCTTGACTGATTGATTTCTTTCTGTATTCCCATCAACTTGATGGGTTAAACATACTTATCTTTTTTTCCTTACTGATTTTTTATTAGTATATATTAATTTTACAAAATAATGGGCTTTGTTATGATATTTTAATACATGTATATCAGGTATGTTGATCATATTTACTTCCCCTTACCCGCACTTCTCTCTGCATTCTTCCCATTGGTCCCTTTCTATTCCTTAATAATCCTCCTTCTACTTTGAGATCTTTTTAAAAAAAACAGAAACAACTTACTTTGTTACAGCATGAGGTTGCACAATTAGTATGTGTTACAGCAGCGAGACTTGATGAATGTATCGTAGTTTCTTTAACTGTTCCTAAAGATAAAGATCTAGGTTTGTTTCCAGTTTTTACTATGATCCAATGATTATCTGTATACCTCTGATCTTTTTCTTTTTTGGGGGGAGGGCAGTATTGGGGTATGAACTCATGGCTTCATGCCTGCTACCACTTGAGCCATGCCCCCAGCCCTTTCTTTCTTTAGATAATTTTCATATAGGGTCTCACATTTTTGCCCTGGGTGGACTTGACTGAGATCCTCCTACCTGTGCCTCCCAACAGAAAACCTATGGGATTATAGATTTACACCACCATGCCCAGCTCTTTTGTTGAGATGGGGGTCTTGCTAACTTTCTGCCTGGACTGGCCTTGTACCACTATCCTCCTAATCTTCGCCTCTCAAGTACCTGAAATAACATGTGTGCACCACTACACCCAGTTTGTCTGTGTTTACGTCTGGCATTTTTTGTTAGGATAAATTTTTAGGAATAAGATTATTCATTTAAACTTTTGAAGAGATTGAAGTTTAAAATTTTGTAAAACATTGTAAAATAATCAATTTGATATAATTTTGTGGGAAGGCATTTAACATGGATTAATTATTTTATTTTTGGTTTTCTACATCCATAGATAACTTCTCTCAAGGAAAGACCAACTCCTTGTCTGAATTATACTTGTGCTACACCTGAGGATTCTTTGGTGCTTTACAACCGAGTGGCTGTTCAAGGGGATGCAGTGCGTGAATTGAAAGCCAAGAAAGCAGCAAAGGAAGATGTAGATGCAGCCATAAAACAGCTTCTGGCTTTGAAAGCTGAGTACAAAGAGAAAACTGGCCAGGATACAAACCTGGAAGTCCTCCTGCTGCAGTGGTACAGAATATTTCTTCTAAATTGCCAGCAAGCATTCTGGAAAGTAAATCCCTCTATGATAAGGTTGCTGCGCAAGGGGAGGTGGTTCGAAGGCTGAAAGCTGAAAAAGCCCCTAAGGTCAGTATGCTGGAGTGAGTCAAGACCACATTGAAAGTAAGCATATAAACTAGTCTGGGTGGTGCAAGCCTGTAATCCAGGCCACTTGTAAGGCTGAGATTGGGAGGATCGTGGCTCAGGCAAAGCCTGAGTAAAAAATTTGTGAGACTCCCCTGTCAACCAGTAAAACGCTGGGTGTGGTAGTGTGTGCCTGTCATCCCAGTTATGGCAGGGAGTATAAAATAGAAGGATGGTAGTCCAGGCCAGCCTGGGCAAAAAGTGTAAGACCCTATCTCAAAATAACCAGAGTGAAAAAGGACAAGAGGTGTGGTTTAAGTGGTAGAGCACCTGCATAGGGCAAAGCCCTGAGTTCAAATTACAGTGCCACCAAAAAATAAAAGAAAGTGTGCATATGAATTCAAACTGCTTAGGATGGTCTCATCTTATAAAATGGATTGTTTGTATTGCGTGGACTGTGTGCTTGAATATTTTGACCTAACAGTTAGTATTTATTGATTAACCTTCTTTGTGCTGAGCACTGAAAATATCAAGATACAATGGGGAGTTGGGGTTGCAACGGAAGAAGCATATAAATTCACCATAACCTTATGTGATGTGACTAATCCTATGTGACATGTATGAATTGATACAAAAAGTATTTGTAGTCAAGTGTCAAGGAAAGAGGAAACAATTCATAAAGGATATTTAAGTATTCATGTGGGCTAGGCTGTAGCTAGGTGTAGCTAGGCCCAGGGATCATGCTTTGAGAACGACTGCTGTAAAAACTAGCACTAGTAAAGGTGCCATGAATTGAGAAAAAATGAGTCGGTTGGTGAGAGGTTTTGACTGGTGCTTATTCAGACTGTTCATAGGGGAACCTTCAAATAATACCAAATTTTGACTGAAGTATAAATTTCACTGTTTCCAGTATGTTCGTAGGGGAAACAGCCTAGTGTGTTGTAGCACTTTCATGTGGGAATGGGTTTACAAGGGGAATAGCACCTGTGATAGAGGAAGGTCCTGTTCAAAAAGGAAGATAGATAGTTGTACTCAAAACAGCAGCACAGGAAATTCCTCACTTCGTTTAGCGAGTTTGTAGGCATCTGACTGGGAACCTTGCCACCTAAATACTTTCATTCATGAGATTGTTTTTTTGTGTTTCCATTGTGAACTATAAGAAGTCTTCTATCTTTAGTGAGCTTTTGGAAGTCCTGCAGAGTCATGGTTATCTAAAAATACAGCTTTGCTTTAAGAAATAAAGGCTGTTAGATGTATAGGTTTAGAATATAAATCCTTGATATTTCCTACTGTGTGGTGAGGTTGGGAGCTTTTGTTCTTTGTATAACGTGGACACTGACTTGGACCCTGTTTAGCTGTAATTTGAGGGAAAGGGCTTTGATCTTCAAATTAATTCATTCTGTTGCTGGAATTACAAGTATGCATCACCACACCCGAGTTCTTAGGAGTCTTAGGGATAGCATCAGTATTTCCCCACCTTTTGCTGGAAGGATTACCATTTCCCTCTCAGCCTGTCAAGTGAGAGCCTCTGCTTGGGGGAGTCATTCATTACTGATGTGTGTAAGTGTAGTTCTCTCAGATGTGCTAACAGGGAGCAAAGGTGACTTTTTTTTTTTAATTTCCATTGAGAATTTGGTTGTGCAGACCTTGTTTTAGTTTGAACTAGGACCTCACACTTGCTAGGCATCTGCTCTAGCACTGAGCCACTCCACCAGACCATTATTTTTAAAAGTTCTGTGTCGTAAGGAACTAGCTAGGCTCAAGTCGTAGAGAGTCTGCCAAGCAGCTGTTAGGTCCTGAGCTCAAACTCCAGTACCACCAAATAAAAAAGGATAACAAAATTTATAAGAAACTAGATTTTCTTGTTAAAGGTCTCCTCACCCTTTTCATTCTGTGTGTAACCATATGAGTTCTCTTAGTAAATTTTCTTCATTTTTTTTCACCTCCCAACTGGGAATTATAATTTTAGGATCACTTTTACTTATCTGAATCTTTTACTTTACTTTTCTAATCTGAATCCTTTACTAAGTCTTTTGTGTATGTAATCTCCTTTCTCACTAATCTACATCAACAGTTATTTATCAAAAACTTGGTGTGTGTATAGTGGCATATGTTACATAAGTTTAAAGCAGTCCATCAGGAACTTAAAATCTATTAGCAAGTGCTCTTTAAGCTTCTGCTAGCTATACATTATCATGCTAAGTAGTGCACCGTACAGTTTCCCCATGAGAATTGTGTGGTATACTATCAAAGTGATACCCAGATCTCTTTCAGAAAGCAGTTTTGTGGCATGTTGTCAGGATTAAAAGCACATTTAGATCCTTGTCTCAGATCTCCAGTAATGCTGTGAAAACTGTAGTGGTCGAGATCACGTCAAGCAAGTCTTGAATAAGATACTTAATCTTTCTAAGCTTTGCTTCTGTAAAGTGAGGATAAGGATTGTTTTGAGAATTAGGTACTATAATCCATATAAAAATTTAGCAGTGTATTTGGCACAGAATAAATATGCCATGAAATGATAGTAGGGTTTTTTTTAATATTGCTAATTCTAATTCTCTCAAGAATCTTTAGGTACTTTCTTAGTGGTTAGTATAATTTTTTTCTTTGAAAACACACATCATCTCTTTCTCTAAAGTAAAGTCAAATAGAGCATTTCATTCAGTAATAAAGTGCTTTGCTCACCTAAATTTTCTCCTTTATAATATTTCAAATTATAATCTTGTTAAATAAGGGGTGTTGTCTGTGTGAAAAGTTTACCTTTTGACTTCAAAATCTAGTAAATGCTCACCTCCTTCCTTCCCTTGCCTAGTACTTCTTTTTCTAAGCTCAAAATTTGCATGGATGTTCTGTAATTCATTTGTTTACTAATGTAAAGTGAAAAATTACAGTGTTGTATGTTTGTAAATTAACTTTTCTTTAGTTTTATCTTGCTTTAGGCTGATGAAATAACATGGTCTCCCTGATTAATTTACAGTAGTACAGTCATGCCTCATAGCTGTGGAAATTGGTTCCAGGATCCCCTTAGATGCCCAAATCTGAGCATGCTTAAGTCCTTATATGCAGTAGCATAATGCTTGCACAGAACTTACTCACGTCCTTCTGTGTACTTGTCTACTTAAGGTCATCTCTAGGTGTTAGAATTCTTAATGCAGTGTAAACATTATAATGCAATGTAAATAGTTGTACTGTTTAGGAATGATACAAAAAAAAAGTCTGTACATGTGCATAAGGATGCAGTATTTTTTTCTCCATGGAACTTTTGGTATAGCAGGTATGCTTTATTCAAACTGGTTATTTGAAAGGTTTTACAAACAAATTATCAGTTCAAGTTGTCTCTTATTTGGTATATTAAGATGCATTTTTTTTCTTTTTACAGTACTGGAGTTTGATCTCAGGACCTTGTCCTTGCTTGGCAGATAGTCTGCCACTTGGTGTATGCCCCCAGTCCTTTTTGCTTTGGTTATTTTTTGGTTAGAATTTCAGGTTTTTGCCTAGAGTTGGCCTCAGACTGATAACTCCCTATTTATGCCTATCTTGTAGCTGGGATTACAATTGTGAACCACTACACCTGGTTTATTGGTTGAGGTGAGGTTCTTGCTAATATTTTTTGTCTGGGCTGATCCTCCCAATCTCTGCCTCTCAAGTAGTTGGGATTATAGCCATGTACCACCACACCTGGCCCAAGATTCTATTTTTTTAAAAAATGTTTTTGATACTTGGTTGGTTGAATCTATAGAGGACTAACTGTACTTTGGTGATAATTAAAGATTTTTGCATGGCATTAAAATTTTCAAAAACTTCAGGAAGTATTACTTCTTTTCCTCTTTTATCTTAGGCCAAAGTAAATGAAGCTGTAGAAAGCTTATTGTCCCTTAAAGCTGAGTATAAAGAAAAAACTGGGAAGGAGTACATACCTGGTCAGCCCCCATCATCTCAAAGATCAGATTCAAGTCCTGGACCAGCAGGAGCAGGTCCAGAAACACCAGAAGCCAAAGTACTTTTTGACAAAATAGCTTGTCAAGGAGAAGTAGTTAGAAAACTTAAAATGGAAAAGGCCTCTAAGGTTAGTGTGCTGTGTTCATTGTATGTTTTTGTTTTTTATGTTTTATGCTATTTTCTTTGCCTAGAGTAAATCTGGCTGACTTCTACCTGTGTTTCAGTTCTCATCTCTCTTGTGTTGCCTTTCAGAGAAACTTTTGTTGATTTTTCCTTCCCCCAACTAGATGTGACTGGGTGTTCTCATATGATGTAACTCTTCCCCGACATAGTCCTTAAAGATAGTGTATTTTATTTGTTTTGTTAAGTTTTCTGTTTCCCTCTGTCTGTAAGATACTAGAGTATAGTGTACTGCTTAGCACATTGTAGACCCTCTATACGTGTTTGATTTGGTCTCCTTAAACTGTCAGTCTTAAAATAGCAGCTCTTATTTTGAGCTGTGGTGTAGTTTGTGTTAATTGTATTATTTTTATTGTCTAGGATTTTAGGGAGTAGGGCATTGAGACAGTGTCTTCCTATGGGACCCAAGCTGACCTCAGACTTGTTGTGTAGCCTGTATTGTCCTTAAACTCATGATTCTCCTACATGCTGAGACTATAGGCATGTACCACCATACCTGGCAGGATTAGGACTTTTTGTATAGATTTACATGTATAGAAGACAGTAAGTTGTCATAGATTTTGAAGTTTAGCCAGTAACATAGAAACTTGATTATTGCCTTCTTTATAATTGTGAAATGTTCAGTTTAACTATCATAGATTCCCATGGAATATATGCTATTTATTGCTTTCTAATAGAACTTTTTGCTTTTTTTTTTTTTGGTACTGGGTTTGAACTCCTGGCCTCATGCTTGCTAGGCAGGCTCTTTACCAATTGAGCTATGCCACTTGCTCTGGAACTTTCTGCTTTGATGGACATATGCTGTAACAAGACTGTCCAGTGCTGTAGTCATTAACCACATGTGCCATTGACACCTGAAATGGGGCCATTGTGACTGAGGAACTGAATTTTAATTTTATGTAATTTAAATTTAAATGTAAATAGCCAGTGTGACTAGTGATTACTGTTTGGACAGTGCAGTTATAGACTCTACTGTTATCCAGTACTCTTCATAGTTCTGTCCCTTTTAATAGTATATTTTACTATTTTCCAACTCCACCCTAGAGCCCCCATGTCTAATTGTGTTTGCAAGCCTTATAGAGCTTTAGATATTGTATTTGTTTGAATGTGTTAAGATAGTTATTTGAATTAAATACTATTTTCTCTTTTTCCTCTTTTGTTAAAGGATCAAGTAGATTCAGCTGTAGAAGAACTCCTTCAGCTAAAGGCACAGTACAAGTCTCTGACAGGAGTAGAATATAAGCCTGTGTCTGCCACTGGGGTTGAGGACAAAGATAAGAAGAAGAAAGAAAAAGAAAATAATTCTGAAAAGCAGAATAAGCCTCAGAAACAAAATGATGGCCAACGGAAAGACACTTCTAAAGGCCAAGGGAGTGGGCTATCATCAAGTGGAGCAGGGGAAGGGCAGGGGCCTAGAAAGCAGACCAGGTAAGAAAACATGGGAACTTCATTTGAAGAGAAGCAGAATTTTGAATGAATTCAATTCTTAATTTTTTAAAACATATTTTGGTTAATTTCACTATCAGATTGAGTCAGAGAATGCTAGCACACTGTAATGGCAGCAGATAACTTCTGTTATGTTTTAGTTTATTTAACTTTTAAAATAGGTAACTCATTCATTTGCTTGGCTTTAAGAATCTCAGAATATAAGAAGTTCCTATGCTTGTTTCCCATTTTTTCCAGTTTCCTATGTTACTGAAATAAATTGATAATTACCGTTACCAGCTAAGAACTCTTAATCTAAAAATATGATTAGGATGCTCAGCTAGTAAAGTCTGTGCAAATATTCTAGAATTCAAAAAACTGAAATCTGAAGCACTTTTGGTCTCAGTCAATTTGGATAAGGGTACTTAGTCTGTATGTTCGGTGTTTGTTCTCCTGTCTATAAAGCTGCATTCCAAAATTAAAGTGAATTTTGTGACAGGTTTCTTTTAATGGCTTGATAAGAAGAAAATGCTGTTTTTGAGATAGTTTAGTCTTAGATTTTTCTAAGCTGAATTTCAGATTCTGCTGCCTTTCATCTCACATCATAATATATGTCTCCTTGAGAGAACACAGCAATTCTTTATTTTACTTATTGACTCAGTGATCAATAAGATTTATAGAATAGTGGAAGAGAGAACTTCTCATGCTTTACCTTCTGATTGCTTGTGAAATGCCAGGTTTCATGTAGTTATTTTCTGGATATGTGTCAAAATAAAAGAGAAAGCATATGCAAATACACTGACATTTTAAACCAATAAAACCTAGTTTACAAACTATAAAGATGTGTTTTTTATAAAACACATATAAAAGGTAGATCTTTCTGTGTGGATCACAAGACTAAAGTTCCCTGAATAATTGTTGATATTTCAAGAAAAGAATTATAGTCTGGAATAGTTGGGGGGAATTTTTTATTTTTTTCTTTGGTGCTGGGGATTGACTCTAGGGCCTTGCACATGCTAGGCAAGGGCTCTACCACTGAGCTACACCCTGAACCTTGGAATAGTTTTTATTTTTGATATGGTTTATTTAACAAAAATCTGTCCTACAATTTTTATTTACTAGAGTTAGAAGAAAAATGCGTAGAATAGAAGTACATATATACCTATGTATTACATGTATATATTCACATATGTGTTGTGTATGGATAGCTGTTGGTTTTGTTACTTTTTACATCTTTCAGTGAGACACCAATTTAGTTACTAACTAATTTTACCTAGGTTCAGATCAATAAAGATTCTTTTTTTTGTATGGAGAATGTATGTGAATGTAGGCTCTGTCTTTAACAAAGACGTTAACCAAAAAAGAACTTTGTAAAGGAGTGGCTCGCATTAAAATCATAGCTTTTGACTTTGGTAGTTTTTAGTGGACGATATCACATCATCTTTTAAGAGATGTTTGAGCAGTTTTCCAGCTTAAAAATATTGAGGAAATGAACATCGGGAAGATACAAAATATAGAAATAACTAATACTGAAAAAATAACCTATTTTGAACTTGAGGAGTTTATTTTCAGTTCAACCTGCTATGGTTTGGGTATGTCTCCCCAAAGTACATGTGTTGAGAATTTAACCCCCAAACTCATGTATTAATGTTATTGAAGCTGCTGCCTTTAGGTGTAGTTAGGACTGGCTGAGGTCGAAATGGGGCCCTCAAGATGGCATTAGTGGCCTTAGAAGAAGAAGAGACACCTGAACTGGCAACTATGCTGTGTCTCTCCATGTGACACCCCTGCCATGTGATGCTCAGAAGGCCCTTGCCAGGTGTCAAGCAGAAGCTGGTACCATACTGTTGAACTTCCTGGCTTTCCAGCACTGTGAGCCAAATATTCTATATTGGCTATTTGGTCTCATATATTTTGTTGTAGTAAAGAAGATGTGCTAAGATGCAACCAAAAATAATTGCTGATTAAAGTGATTTAAATTTCTTTTTCATATCTTCAGGTTGGGTCTTGAAGCAAAGAAAGAAGAAAATCTTGCTGATTGGTACTCTCAAGTGAGTGTGCACTTAGTTATGTTTAGATTCTAAAGTGCAGGTACAAAGTTAATAGTAATTCAGAAGACCCTTGGTATCTACAGGTTTGTGGTTCCAAGGAGACCACCTTCGAAGAAAAACTATGCACACTCAGGATGCATAGCGTTCAGTGCTGTACTGCAGATGCTTGATTCATTTTCCCATAATGCCACCCAACTTCTGCTAAAGAAATGCCACCTTTCAATAAATCTCAAATTTTTACTTTATCACTCAAACACATTAACTTTTGAGCACCATTTGGTTTTTTGGGAGACATATTTTCTCAAAATTTAAGGCAGGAAAACACTCAGCAGATTTAAACACAACTAACGATAGCATGGGACTGAGAGCTTCTCCACCTCAGCTCAGCTGCAAATGTGCATGCAGAAATTTAAGTTTTGTTTTTGAATTTTCTTTAGCTTATTTATTTTGACTGTGTTTGGTCAAAACTGCATGTAATTAATTCATGAGTAAGCAGGCTTACTATAATCTGTAATGCTTTTTATAATACATAGTCTGCTCTTCTAGCATCATAGTTTTCAAAGCATAATCACATAAATTACCAAATCAAAAAGTAGTCCTATGAGGTAGTCATGTTTGCTTGTTCTGTTTTATTTATGGTGAGGTGAAGGGATTAGTTTAAAGTCCCAAAGGTAGTAAATAAATAGCAGAAGTAGGATTGTCATTAAAGTCTTAAGAGTACAGAGCCCTGTGATATGTTGCTTCTCAGTATAGGAAAGTCTGTTTTATTTCCAGTCAGATTTTCTGTGTTACAAGGATGGATCAACAGTGGAATCCTCCAGACTTTTTGTTGTTTAGTTGGTTGGTTGGTTGGTTGTATTGAAACAGGGTGTTGTATTACAGGCTGACCTGGAATTTGCCATGTTGCCCAGACTGGCCTGGAACCTGGGGTCCTCCTGCCTCAGCCTCCTGAGTTGCTGGGATTATAGACATGGGACACCACACCTGGCCCAGATTGGAATTTTGATTATCTTTTTTTTTTCTTTTCTTTTTTTTTTTGCAGAACTGGGTGTTGAACTCAGGGCCTTGCACTTGATAGGCAAGATATTCTACCACTTGAGCCATTCCTGCAGCCCAGTTATCATATAATCTTGCAATTTGTACTACAGTTTTTCTTTATAGCAAAAATTAAGGTTTGTGGACTGTATTTTTGTCTTAAAAAGGTCATCACAAAGTCAGAAATGATTGAATACTATGATGTAAGTGGCTGCTATATTCTTCGTCCCTGGGCATATTCCATTTGGGAATCCATCATGAACTTTTTTGATGCTGAGATCAAGAAACTTGGTGTTGAAAACTGCTATTTCCCCATGTTTGTGTCTCAAGCTGCCTTAGAGAAAGAGAAGGCTCATGTTGCTGGCTTTGCCCCTGAGGTAAGTTAGCTTGCTTTTTAAAGTTTTTGCAGTTTTATGAACCTAAAACACATTTTCAGCAGTGTAGAACAACCAGTTTGAAAAAATGTAAGGTCGTTTTAATTTAAAAGTTCATTCCTAATTTTATGACAAGTTGTGATTCTGTTTGTAACATTAGCTAATTCCTCACGGTAACAGCAGTAACTTTTAACTCGCCTTAATTGGTATTGAGAGAACTGAACTAGAGAAAACAAAGTTTTCTTACATTTCTACTATTGTTTGAGTTGCCATTATCCATGTATGAAAATGATTTTATTTTACTAGGTTGCTTGGGTTACAAGATCTGGCAAAACAGAGTTGGCAGAACCAATTGCCATTCGTCCTACCAGTGAAACAGGTGAGAACAGGCCTTGGACACAGGAGCTCATTGAAACACTAGAGGCAACTTATAGAGTTGATTCTCAGCTTTTCTTTTGTGGTATTTATAAACCTTGTCCTTGTTGACAGCATAAAGTTTAATGAGTGGTGATAAAAATTGTATACAAACTTAAGTTGTACAAAATTCTTTAAACAGTATTCATTGCAGAGCTCTTTATCATTAGGATGTAGGGGTTTTTTCTTTTAAACATTTTTAAAATTTTTTGCTATAACTTTTCAGAGCTTTTCAAGGAATCTTATTTGGATAATCATGGTATTGTTTAAAAATTACAAACACTAATACTTCATGTCATATTTACTTACAAATTCTGTTGCTCATTTAATACATTTTCCATTCATGTAGGGTTTTCACTTAGTGCTTTCACTTAGGTCGTTTTTTATTCTCACAATAAAGCTATGAAGAAGTTAGAGGCAACTGCTGTCATCTCCGTTTTGCAGGCATAGAAAGGTCTCTGAAAGTGTCATTTTTCTAAAATTGTGTATAGTAAAAGGGAGTACCACTGAAAATTTTGAGCTTTTTGGCTAGGTACTACCTTCTAAAGTGATTACTCTCTTTTGATATAGGAATGCTTGCTCTTCATTTGATGCCTCTAGTGATACTCTGGTATATATACATTATTAAAATTATGATACCAGCTTTTTTCTCATAACAGATTGGCGGAGTTTTGTTTGTTTTTCTAATCATAGACTATGGATAGGTTATAATTCATAGCAAGAGGTTTCATATTCTGAGTAGATGCATCAATAGATTTAACTAAAATTCCAATTCTAATATATTACCACTGCATTCAGGAAGTTATTTAATTTCACATCTTTAAAATTGATAATGATACCTACTTTATGGGCTAAAGTGAGAATTGAACAGAATGATGAATGCAGAAAACTTAACATAGAACTAGCGTTTTCAAAAACAAAACATGAAAGCAGTCAAAGTAAATTAATGGTAAGTATAAATCTCAGGGAGAGTATCACATAAAATTAAGTTAGGTGGACTTACATCCTTGAATAATATGCTTTATGAAACAGATAATAATCCATTCACTTAGCCATTACAAATATTAGAAATATGTCTACACAGGAACACACCTTTTCATTCCTGTTAATTAAATTGTAATTTTAACTCTTACGAGCCTTAAAAGAGAAATAAAGCTTTAAATGACTGAGTGTCTGTTTTCCTGTGTCTTTCAGTGATGTATCCTGCATATGCAAAGTGGGTGCAGTCACACAGGGACCTGCCCATCAGGCTCAATCAGTGGTGCAGTGTGGTGGTAAGTCCATACTCCTTATGATTCTCTTATCATTATTTTTATTCGCTTTATTATTTTTTTTAAAAAACATTCTTTGTTTCCCCTTATTTTTATATTCAAAGGATTGGGAGTATTTATAATGACCAAATTGCCCTCTTGTCTCCTCCAGCGCTGGGAGTTCAAGCACCCTCAACCTTTCCTCCGGACTCGGGAATTCCTTTGGCAAGAAGGGCATAGTACTTTTGCTACCTTTGAGGAAACAACAGAAGAGGTATTAAAAGTTGCCTTTCATATTATTTATCTCCCTTTTCTTTGTACAGGCTCTGCTCTTTGATTTTGTTACTTAAAATTTATGTAACACCTGTTAAAAGTAAAACAAAAAAATAGGCTGTTAGAGTGGCACAAATAGCAGAGTGCCTGCCTAGCAAGTGCAAGGCCCTGAGTTCAAACCTCAATACCACCAACAAAAGTAAGATAAAATTAATTCAAATGTACATAGGTTTATGAAACTAATTATTGACATTGTATTGATAGGTGAAATATGCATTTTTAAATTTTCAGTTGAAAATATTTTTGGACTTCAGTGCATAAAAAAATTAGTCACATGGTTGAAATTGACAGTTTTTCAGAAAAATTTCATTTGGATTGCTATCACTTTCTCAAAGCAGCTTTCTCTTATATTCCAAATTTATACACATTTTTTCCCCCTTGGTTGAACTGGGGTTTGAACTCTGCTTCACACTTAAACAAAACAGGTGGACTATGCTGGAGCCATCCCTCCAGTCCATTTTGTTTATTTTGGAGCTGGCATCTCAAAAACTATCTGCCTGGACTGGCCTCAAACTGAAATCCTCCTGAGATGAGCCTCCCAAGTAGCTAGTATTATAAGTGTGAGCCCAGCTAAATTTATATACATTTTTTAAAAAGCTGTTCAGCCTCACACTGCTTTGTTGGGTATCTTCCTTAATCTCACATTGGCTGTTTTAACCTTTTTATTAAGAAGTTTATTGTTTTGAAGGGCTTATCCCAACCTAATTAGTTTTAAATAGTTTAAATATATATATCTGTATACACACACACACACACACACACACACACACACAATGAAAATATACCCTAAGTTTTCAAATTTAAGCATTTTAAAATTTGCAAACACTTATGTTTAAATTGTTACAGGTGATGCAGATGCTTGAGTTGTATGCTCGAGTATATGAAGAGCTCCTGGCAATTCCTGTTGTGAGAGGAAGAAAGACTGAAAAGGAGAAATTTGCAGGAGGAGAATATACAACAACAATAGAAGCATTTATATCTGCAAGTGGAAGAGCTATTCAGGTATCAAACTGCTCTGCTTAGCATCCATAGGTGACTATAAGCACAGTCCATGGGCAGATTCAACAACAACTTCTGTCATTAGAGGCTCCTATTCTTTGTTGTTTTTGAAGCAGGGTCTTGCTATATAGCCCAGACTGGCCTTGAAGTTGCAATCCTCCTACCTCAGCCTCCCAAGTCCTGGGATTACAGGTACAAATCACCATATTCAACCACATTAGAACTTCTTGCTCCCATATAACTATAACCTAGTACCCACTGATCAACCTTTCTCCATCTCTCACTTTCCACCATTCTGGTAACCACCACTGTATTCTGACCTTTCATCAGATCAACTTTTGAAGAATCCACAGATAAGTGAGATCATGCGGTACTTGTCTTTTTGTGCCTGGTTTATTTCATTAACATGAAAACAAATTCTAGTGTGCCAATGTATAGGAGGGTAAGTGTAGATGACAAGAATAATGTACTATACATTTCAAAAAACTAAAAGAACAAATTTGATAATTTTTACATAAGAAAATGATGAGTGCTTAAGGAAACAGGTTTAACCTGATTTAAATGTTACACACTAACTGTATATTGAAATGTTACATTGTATCATTAATATGTTCAATTTTTAAGTTTTTATTTACCAGTTGAAAAGTGAAGCTGGGCATGGTTGAACATTTCTGTAACCCCAGGTACTCTGAAGGTGAAGGTAGGATGGCAGTCCAAGGCCAGCACAAGCAAAAAACTTGAGAAATAAACTAAAGGCAAAAAGGGCGTGGCTATGGAGTTCAGTACCTGGTACTGGGAAAAAGAATAAATACATATGTCCAAGGTCAACTAGGTCATGACTTATATTCTGAATTATAAAAGTTTAGTCTCCTTTTTTTAAACTTCATACTTAACTCCTGTTGAAAGGGGCTGCCCAGAACAAAACACTTGTATTTTGTTACTAATCCTGGTCTCTTGTTACATGAGTTATATTTTAAAACCTTATTTAATGTTAAAAATTGGAAATAAAATAGATGTAGTGCCATCTTAAAACATAGTAATCATTTTCAAAGGCATAAAAGGTAATTAAAATTAAAGCTTATGTTTTTCTTTTTAGGGAGCGACATCACATTATTTAGGCCAGAATTTTTCCAAAATGTGTGAAATTACTTTTGAAGATCCAAAGATACCAGGAGAGAAGCAACTTGCTTATCAGTGTTCCTGGGGCCTGACAACGCGAACCATTGGTGTTATGATCATGGTTCATGGGGACAACATGGGCTTAATATTACCACCCCGTGTGGCTTCTGTGCAGGTAGGGAAGATACTTCTGCTCATTGTTTCTTTTATAAAATATAAGCCATGTTTACTAAAGGAAATTTGAAAGGTTGACTTTCTGAATACAATTCAGCTAGATTTCTCTGATAATAGAAACAACAGAGTCTATAGCCCAGGCCACTGCATTGTATGAGTATATATAGCATTTGCATTATTTATTATTTATACTTCCTTAATTTTTGAAGCTAACATGAATAGAACTTTAGAAATCATTTTTTTAAATGAATAGGTTAAATGAAATATAGTTGGTCCATTGAAAGTGCATTTATATAGATAAGTGATACATAACTAATTAGTGTATGTACCATGTAGAATAGAAATCACAAATTGATTTAAGATCTATAGTCATGGGTAGGTTTTAATTCCTGGATAGCATGTAGTTATAGCACTTCATTGCTTCTATATGTTCTTTCTTTTTGCTGGATTATAGGTGGTGATTATTCCTTGTGGTATTACCAATGCACTTTCTGAAGAAGACAAAGAAGCACTGATGGCAAAATGTAATGATTACCGAAAGCGGTTACTCAGTGCTAACATTCGAGTCAGAGCCGATTTGCGAGATAACTATTCTCCAGGTTGGAAATTCAATCATTGGGAGCTCAAGGTACATCCCTCAGGCGTATCTCTTATCCTGACTCTGCAGCTTAGATTTAGATTTTCTCTACATTTACTTTTATAAAACTTAAGGCCTTTTTATTACTTTCCCTTATTTTGATAGCTGTGAGTTCTTTTCTTCACTTCAACTACTATTTTAAGTAGTAGTGATATCTAAAGTTGAAATATTGCCAAACTTAAAATAGTTTTGGGGGGGGTCTAAGGATGTAACTCCATAGTAGAATGCTTGCCTAGCAAATGCAAGGCCAGGGGTTTGATCTACAGTGCTGCACCTCCCCTCCCACCCCACTAAAAACTTTTTTCATGGAAGTCTTTTATTTTGTTAGAATAAAGATGATTTTTGAAGGTTTTGTTTATAATAAATGAACTTCATGTGGTTGGTATATTAAAATGTTTATGCCAGCAATTCATGTAATAAATTATTTGAACAGTAATATAGAACATTAGAATAATGATGCATGTACATTACGTAGCTATCATTGTAACAGTAGTAAAGCATCAGAGGGTAATTTCATTCTTGAATTATTATACGTTTTATATCAGTTTGATTTTTATTTTATATATACAAAGCCCATCTAATTCTAACTTCATTTATCACACAGTGTTATTAGATGATCTATGTTCTTCCATATTCTAGGATTTAACATTTTTTTCTTTAATTAAGACAGAAAATTTTTTTTTTTTTTTTTTGAGTTAGAGTTTCACTGTGAAGCCCAGACTAACCTCAGACTCTCGTCAGCCTCTTGAGTGCTGGGATTACAGATGTGTTGTGACACTACACCTGGCTCAGAGAATCTTAATTGGATCTAGAAATTAGGGCTTAAGAATGTATAAACTCACATTAAATATAGGAAGTGGGATAGCAAAATGTAGTGAGTTTGTAGTGCTAAGCTTGGCAATATTGGGATTATTCAGTATTAATACATGGAGCAATCCCATAGTTGCCGGTATTTATCATCTTTTTTTTTTTTAAATGGCCCTGCGGTAAAGTTTCTGTTCTGAATAACAAATATACTTGTATTGCTTCCCTGTTGTGTACTATACTTTCTCCTTTACATGCTCTCATACCTTCAGTGAAGACTTTAACATGAGTGTTTTCTCTGTAATTTTTCCTTTAATTGCAGTTTTTTTGCCTACTAGGAATAACTGTTAGGTGATATACAGCATCTTCTCTAAACCAGTTTTTGCCTGCCTAGATACCAAATGTTAAAGGAGAAATGTAGTGTTGCTACTGGTTTAAAAAGAAAGAAAAAAATGTCTCCATGTTCATTTCTGAGGCTCTCTTCCTCCCCTTTCTCTCTTACTCACCCTTTCTTATAAGACCAATGTGTCTTTGACTCTGTCACTCTTTTTTGTTGGTGGGACTGGGGTTTGAACACAGTGTGTACTTGCAAAGCAGGTGCTCTGTTACTTGAACCATAATCCCAGTTCATTTTGCTCTGGTTATTTTTTGGAGATGAGGGGTCTTGTGAAATATTTGCCTGGGCTGACCTTGAACCGTGATCCTCCCAAGTAGCAAGGAGCCACTGGTACCCAGCTCTGTCACTCTTCTTTTTAGTCACCTAGCAAGCCTATACTATGTGGGGGGGAGATGTTGTTAGTGTGAGATAGGTCTCCTACAGCTTCCTTGTCTTCATTCCTCAGAATATAAAGCCCCTAAGTTTTTTACTTGATGCCTAAAATTAAAGATCATGAGAAAGAGAGTTTGATCAGATAATGAAAAGTACTGTTACAAATTGAGTTTCAATCACACTTCAAAAATTCAGAATTTGGAGTATTTCAGATTTTTGGATTAGAAATGTTTAAACAGTATATTCTATGTAATTATTTCAGAATCTGAAAAACTGAAATCTGAAACACTTTTGGTCTCAAGCATTGTAGATAAAAGGATACTTATCCTGTAGCTTTTTGTTATTGTTGTTTTGTGGTGCTAGGGATCAAACCCAGGGCCTCATGCATGCTAAGCAAGCATTCTGTCACTGAGTTACAGCTCCTCCTCCCCTCCCCCCATAATACTTAATACAATTTTGGTTTCATTTAGTTCAGGAATTCTTGGTAACAGAAGACATTTGGGGAACCTTGACTCATTTCATTTGGAGTGATTAACTTGTAAAGTATGTGTGTGAGCAATTTATATGTATTTTGAGACTCATTCAGATGAATACAAGAAGTATAAGATGTTTTTGATTTCCAGACTAAAACCCAGCTTATAATCTTCTTCAGTACCCCTAGAAAGAGGGAAATAATATGAATGAATTAATCATTTCTTTTTAAAACTAGGTTGAGTGATTAAAATAGTTTTGTGTTTCTGTGGAAAAGAAGAACAAAACTTAATTCTTTTTTAGAAGTATATTTGTAACTACTTAGAAAAAAACTACCAACAAAATATTCACCTTATTATTTGACTTCAGATCACCTTTCCAACTTTTACTTTTCATTTTCCCCTTTCACATATCTTCTTTCTTCTTCACGGACAGTCTCTGTTGTCCTACCTCTATGTTGTTGCGTCTTCTGTTTTTTGACCTGGATTGTAAAATGTTTTATCATGTAACAATCACAAACGTACACTAAAACAAACAGAGTGCAAAGAATTCATTTTTCCTTCTTGAACCATTTGAAAATAAGATGTTAGCCCAAGGTCTTCTTATCTTACAAGATGATGGTTATCGTGTCTCTTAGCCTGTTCTCAGTTTCTCTTAGGTTATTGTTATCTTGACACATTCTCAGTAGCCTTTCTATTAATTATACATTTTTATAGATCTATGATTCTGATATTATTCAATGGGCTATGATCTGTTACTACTATTGTTGTTGGTTTTGATGTACAAAGTAAGTCTGATCTGAATAGGATTCCTTAAAGCTAGATTTTGTGTCCTTTTGTGATTGCCCATCATTCTTCGAGCAAATCCTTGCTTTTTGGCACAAGGTATTATGGGCTTGTCTTGTACTCCTACCCTATCCCTGGAATTAGCTGTATCTCTAAGATCTGGCATTTTTTAGTGGAGAATGCTATTTACTTCTGACTGTGCTCTTTGCTTTTAACTTATCACTTCTTCAGTTTGTAAAATATAAGTCTTTTCTGAGGGTAAGTTAGGACTTCTAGGGTAACATTTAAAAATCTTCCTATGACTTTGATTTGGGGTATTACTCAGCAGCTGAATTGTATATAGAAGCACCTGACATAAAGTGAAAATCCTCAGTTTTAAAGGAGCATTCACTAAAAAAATAATTTAAGACCTGTTGTTTTTCAGGTAAGGTCTGAACCCTAAAAATAAAAGTTCTCCTTAAACCTTAAGGTTTTAGACCCCCTGGTGAAACAAATTCATAAGGATTGAATATTCACAAGTCTCAAACTTGCATGTAGTCAGTCCTTAAGTTCTTTTGTGAAATCCTTAGGGTATTGTAGTTCTTGGAGTGCAGTAGCAGGACTAGCAGTCTCAGCATCACATAGGAGCTTATTAGAAATATAAATTCTCAGGCCCATCCTTAATACTGTAACAAGAAACTAGTAGTTAAACCCTCCAGGTGATTCTAATGCATGCTACAGCTCTGTCCAGAGCCAAGTATTCCCAGCCAAAGTGCACCGTTAAGCCATGAATGAGTTAAGAATATGCAAATCCTCTCAATGGCTTGGGGTATCTTTGGCCTCAAGAAGCCTCTGTTTACCTCCATGTACCATGTGCTATTTATGAGAAAAGTTGGAAATGCCTATCTCAGTAACTACCTTTTCTCCATTAAGAGATTTCTCAGCTGGGTGGGGGTGTGGCTCAAGTGGTAGAACACCTGCCTGGCAAGCAGGAGGAAGAGGTCTTGAGTTCAAACCTCAGTATCTCCCCCCACCCCTCCTGTGTTCAATCCCCAATACTGCCCAAAACAAACAACAAAAAACCTGAAGAACTTTCTTAGCTCAAAACCACTCAGACAGCAGATATTTTCCTTTGTTATTGGAATGGGTTTCTGTAATACCTCAGGAATATTACCTGCTTTTTTCTTGTTTGGTTATATTTTTGCTTTTTGGATTGTTTATGATTTGCAGCAGATAAGTCCTTGAAATTAGACTGTGTATTCATTGGAGATATGGATGTGCCATTCTGCCTTTTTTTGTCTTATAGGGAGTTCCGATTAGACTTGAAGTTGGGCCTCGTGATATGAAAAGCTGTCAGTTTGTAGCTGTCCGACGAGATACTGGAGAAAAGTTGACAATTGCTGAAAATGAGGCTGAAGCTACACTTCAAGCTACTTTGGAAGATATCCAAGTTAACCTTTTTACAAGGTAGTTTCTGAGCATTGCTTATGTCTCTTCAAATCCTAACCAACCTCTGAGCTCAAATCCAAGGTATTTTGGGGTTGCTCCAACTGAAAGTAATCTTTCCTTCTCACCTCCCAGGCCACTACTTAATTTTGCTGCTCTCTCTTTTTGACTTGCATTGTGGTTATTTTTCTAAATTCCTCCTGTTCCCTATTATGTTTGTCTGTTTTCTGGACTGATTTGGATTAACTTTAGATCCAGGCTTTTCTAAAGGGATTAAGGCATTAATTCTCACGTGCAGGTTGGTAGCACCTGGGAAGCTTTAATAAGTACCAGTGCCTTAATAAGTACCAGTACTCAGTTCCCTCAGATACTAACTTAATTGGTCTAGGATGGGTCTGGCAACTATAGTTAAAAAGCTCCCCAGTTACACTGTGGCCAAGACTAGGAGCCTCTTGATTGGGTTTAAGAGTAGGGAATGGCTAGGCCCTGGCCTGAGTTACATCCCTAGCTCCTATAATGTTGGTTTTTTTTTTTAATAGTTTTTTTGGTTGTTGTTGTTGTTGAGGAAGTTCTGTGTGAGTGAAGTAGACTAAGCAGTTACAACCAAGAGAGGACAAAGTTGAGCTTTTCTTTCATGGAACAGTCTGAAGTCAGTGTTGTGGTCAGAGGTGGTGTCCTGCTTCCCCTGGTTATTCAGAAGCCTTGAATTATTTCCATTTTACTGATTCTGCCATCCTCTAGGGCCTACTGTCAATTTACATGCTCAAAACCAGATTACAGTCATGTCCAGGCAGTACTGGTTGGAGAGTGCAGAAGCCATGCGCCCACTGCTTTAAGCTTCAGCCTGCATTTAACTTTCCCCATTTCATTGGCTATAGTTTAGTTGCACAGGCCCATCTCAACAAAAAAGTGACAAAAGGGGAGAAGAGGAAATGGATTTGGTGGACAGCTAGCAGTCACTGGCACAAAGTTCATACTATCTTAGCCATGAGATTCAGAAAAAAACAAGTTTGTCTTTTTTTTCCTTTTTTTCCACTATCCATGAGTAGCTTAACTAGTATAGCTTTGAATGTGGAAGAGAATATTTACTTGGAGCATTGCTAAAACCTGAGGCTCTTAGAAGAATTACATGGTATATGAAAAATATCTTGAAAAATACGTATTTGTGTACTGTTTAAAAATATCTTTATAGAGTATTACTTACTATTACAGAATTACTACGTTTCCTATTTTGTGGAAAAGAAAACTAAGAACAGAGAGGTTTAAAAAGATAACTAGGCTCCCACAAGCAATAAGTGGTATAGCCAAGAATACAGTGGTAATCAACAGATTTAGCAGCAAGAGCAAAGTAATTAATAGCTGCCTAGTATGTGCTTGGCAAATTTCCCACACATTTAGGTTCACAGTAATGCAGTGATAACAGTGATAAGGTGACTGATTTTCTGAAGGTCATTGCTAATGAGAGAGTTAATATGTAAATTGAGTTCTTCTGACTTGCAGGTTTTCTTTTTTTTTTTTTTTTTTGCAGTGCTGGGGATTTTTCATTAAATGTTGCTTATCTCATTAGATAAGCGTGTCATATTTGTAAAGAAAATTATACCTTTTCTAATATTTATGGTAGGGCCTCTGAAGACCTTAAGACGCACATGGTGGTGTCTAATACATTGGAAGACTTTCAGAAGGTTCTGGATTCTGGAAAGGTAAGAGACATCTAAAAAGGTGGATTTCTTTTTTCATTTTTCTCCTGCAGTTCTGGGGATTGAACCCAAAGTCTTGCTTGTGCTAGGTAAGTACTCTACCACTGAACTATATCCCTAGCCCTGAAAACTTTTGAATATAAAGTCACTTTTTTGTTTTGTTTTAGTGGTACTGGGTTTGAACTTGGCATTGAGCTTCCTAGGCAGACCCTCTACCACTTGAGCCACACCTCCAGCCCAGTAAATCACATGACTCATTGAACTTATACATGGTATTCATTATTTTTGTCAAGCCAGTCACTTAAAAGAATTGTATATTCAGCATTGTATACTGTTTCCCTTGGCTTTCCAGCATTCTCTTATTTTTAGCTAACATCTCTGAACTGATTGTGTAAAAGCTTTTTCTCATGCTTGATAGTTCTGAATAAAGAACATTTATTCTTTATGACTCCTAATATCTTCATTATTGAAAATTGTCATTTGGTTATTTCAGTTTGATATAAGTTCCTAAAGTATGCAGTGTTCCAGATTTAGAAATGTAACATGTAGATTCCTAAAATAAACTAAAACGTTTTCCACAGTTCCCTGACCATACATACATACTTACATACTTACTTGGTTGAACTTTCTGAGTAATGTAGGGGAAAGTGTTGCTCAGATTTAAGGCTCCTTTTTGGAATGAGTGGCTACATAGAGTTTTTGACTTTGGTAATTAATAGCTCTTTAAGGTTTCATTAGTTTTATGTATTGTGTATATGCACCTGTTCTTAGTTGAAACTTTAAACTTTCATAAGAAATTTTGATTTGCAAAGTTATTTATTATTGGTATGAATCATTTATGGACTTTAGTATTCTATGTTTGAATATGCAAACAGTCCTGTGTCCCTGGGTTACAGATGAGAAAACCATGGGCCAGAGTCTAAATGGATTAATCCAAGCAACAAGGAACTAGAACTAGGCCTGGTGCTAGAAGTTATCCCAAGTAGATAGACTTATAGGCATGAGCCTCTAGTACCTGGTTCTGGCTCAATTTAATGTACTTGCCTTTGTATCTTTTTTTTTTTTTTAACTCATGCTGAAAATATAAGGCAAAGATTGCTTTTATGTCCATTAGTATGGCTCTTATTGCTCAAGTTGGGAATATGAATCTCTGTGGGTCTCAGTTTCAAGATAGATAATCTCAAAATCCCCTTTAGATTCATGATTCTTTGGTATTTAGCCTTCTACTATTGGCTTATGTCTTTACAATCTTTCACCTTTCTGGGTTCCATAATTTTTACCTTGACGTATAGTTGTAATAGGAAGCTTTTCATACTTGTGTGTTTTTCCTTTCTTTACAATTTGTTGATTATTTTCCTTTTGCTAATTTATATTTTCCTAACTTCTGAGTTTAAAATTTTCCCTTACTGTAGAAATATGGTAGTCACTTTTTTAGCACAGTGTATTAGAGAAATTATGTAAGAGTTAATAAATCAATAGGGTAGCTATCAGTTAATCCATTGATTTAAAAAAAATGAATCTCACAAGGTATTTAATGAGTTATATCTTGTATTTTAATATTAGATAAATTACTGCAGAGATTTCAACTTCTGTTCTAAAGTAGGACATTAGGTAGGTCATTGGTATGTTCAGAGAGCACATAGGACCTAAAGAAAACTTGTGTTTTACTCCCACCTCATGTGGGGTCAGCTTAGTTGTGTCGAGGCTGTTGTAAATAAAAATAAATGTACCAGGAGGGGAAGAATAGGAAAGGATCTTTGGAACTTGAATGTAGGTGAAGGCTTGTTTTTTTTTTTCTACTCTTGTCTATTGGTAAAAGTGAGAATTACTGTTGCCACGTATTTGTAGTCTATTTTGCTGATCACTGATTTTTGAATATTGCTATTTCTCAACATTAACATTTTCTTCTAAAAAAATTTTCCCCTTACTATGGGTTAAATTGAGGGCTGAGCAGCTGTACCACTTGAGCCACGTGTATTTTGAAGTAGAGTCTCACTAATTTTGCCTTTGCTAGGGGCTGGCCTTGAATTGAGGATCCTCCTGCCTTACAAGCACATGTGCCTCCATGCCCAGCTTCTTCTAAAATTAAGACATTACATACTGCAAAAAAATATTTTTAAACAAAGCTATAGAACTGATTAAAATACAATTTAAAACCTTTTAGTGGCTGAGTAAATAGCCTAAACATGAATATTGCCCTTTTTTTATATTTATGAATGCCAAGCATAAATAGCTGGATATTTCAAATCTTATCATCTAAACCTTACTTTGAAACCAGAAAGAATTAAAATATAGTTTTTACAAAATTATCATTTGAGTTCGAATACAACTTCCTTTGAATTTGTTCATATGGTGCAATCATTTTAAATTTAAATTATTTCAAAAGTATAGAACCACCTCGAGGCTTAGTACTTTTTTCCTTAGAGAAAAAGAAAATACAACTTTGCTGTAAAAATTGTTAGTTATTAAAAGTATAGCTATAAAAATTTTATATTAGTAGAAGCCAAAGTTTCAGAGAAACCAGATTTAAATTTACTCCTCAAAGACATTCTTTATGATTAGGTCTTAATAGTTTATCATTACATAGTTAAAGGAGTAATTAAGATTGTCTTTTGTTACAAGTTTTGTCATCTGTTGTCTGTATCATAGGGCTGCGGATGAATCCAAGGGCTTTGATCATGCTAGTGAAGCTCTCATACTGAGCTGCATCCCTAGCCCTGTCATGAATTTTAAACAATATTTTATGAATGTACATTTTTTTCATGCTTTTTGTTTATAAGTGCTAATGATTTACAACTCTCAATACAGGAAGTCACTGTGTTATTTCAGCTGATATCTACGGGTTTATTTTTGCTTCAGTTTTCATTCTACAAAGAATTCAGTGTTAAAACTTCTCCAGATGTTTAACTGTTTCCAATCTCTGCTACTTTTGTTCCATTTTGCCCCAGCCCCCTCAAGGACTTACCTTTTATCACCTTTTTGTCATTTTAGGGCAGCTTATCAGAATAACAGTTCATGAACTTTGTTGTTTTGTGATACTGGGGTCTGAACTCAAGACTTTGTGCTTGCTAGGCAGGCGCTGGCTAAGTAGGTCTCTACCACTTGAGCCACTCTCCCGGTCCATGTAGACTAACACATTTTACTGAATAAAAAGAGACACTTACATAGCTAATCCTTTGCCATCTCCTGCATTAACATTTTCCTGGGAAGTGCTTGTTTTTCTATAATTTCCTTTTGAAACATGTTTAATCAAGTACAAGGAAGAGTTTGCAGAGGAACTTTTTTTTTTTTTTCCTGTTTTTGTGTGTGTGTTTTGAGACATGGGCTCACTTATACAGCCCATGCTAGCCTCAACTCATGATCCTCCTGCCTTACTTCCTGAGTGTTCCTCTGTATACAGAGGAGAGCTTAATTTGAGTGTGGAACATGTGGCTGGGATTAATTGATGAAAAGTTGGAGGGGAAGCTGGAAACATTGCTATTACTTTTAGTGTCTCTTGGGTCTCCCTTTCCAAGAGCTCTAGATTGCCTTCAGCTGCTTTTAAATTGGTATTTCTGGTTTGTTTACAATGCACGTCCCATCATTAATTAGTATTACTCTCCAGGAGGTTTTTTAGGGCTGTTATGTAATTGTTATTTCAGGAAAATCTCATTTTGAAGAAGACATACTATGAAAAAATTAACATTCATAAATGGAGACAAGTCTTATTGCTGGTAGTCAAGCCTTTACATTTTATTAAAAGAAAACTCAGGACTGGAGGTTTTTAAACAGGTAGTAAATTTCGAAATTAGGATGAAACCCTATGTCTCCTGATTCTAAGAAAAATAGGTTGTTTTTTGATACAAAATGATAACTGATTTTCACAAGCTCTTGGACCTTAAAAAGTATTCACTTACCCATAACATACTAGATACATTATGATATAAAATAAAGTTTGCCTGATTGTTAGTTGTTATTAACATCAGTTTAAAAATCAGTCTACCACTGGGAGCTGGTGGTTCAAGCCTGTAATCCTAGCTACTCAGGAGGCAGAGATCAGGAGGATCGTGGTTCAAAGCTAGCCTGGGCAGATCAGTCTCGAGACCCTATCTCAAAAATACCCAATACAAAAAAGGCTAGTGGAGTGGCTCAAGGTGTAGCTCCAGTACCACAAAAAAAAAAAAAAAAAAAAAAAAAAACCAGTCTACCATTTACCATCTCTAATAACCATTCAGGAATGGAGAGCAGTCAGTTGTTCACATTTGAAATGGGAGCATGCAATCTCAGTTTACTATGGGACATATTAGTGTGTTACAAAGTTGCCTTCATCGTGCCTTGTTCTATGAGTTTGGGTTTTTGATAGTGCAAGAACATTCTTTACTGTCTCATATACCTCTAGCAGTTTCTGATATGTTTGCAAAGGTACCATGGCCTGAAACAGGCTGGGACACCTACCCTGTTTGCTTGTAAGTTATATAGAGAACTCAAATAATAGACTAGAGTAGAGCAGGGGCTGTTAATACTGAATACATTTCCTTTTCTTATTAGATTGCTCAGATTCCATTCTGTGGGGAAATTGACTGTGAAGACTGGATCAAAAAGACCACTGCCAGGTAAATACAATCAACCGACATACTTGTGAGGCTTTGCACTAGGAAGGAATGGAAATATGCAACAGGAATGAGGGGAATTCTTATTTGTTCTTATTTTCAGGGATCAGGATCTTGTACCTGGTGCTCCATCCATGGGAGCTAAAAGCCTTTGTATCCCTTTCAAACCACTCTGTGAGCTGCAGCCTGGAGCTAAGTGCATCTGTGGCAAGAACCCTGCCAAGTTCTACACCTTGTTTGGCCGGAGTTACTAAAGGACAAAACAAAATCCTCTCTTCAATCTTCCTCAATTTTTAAGAAATTGGTACTGATATCTTCTCAGATACAGTTTTTTGATTCTTTTTTTAAAATAAAAGTTCTAACAGCTATTAGATGAACAACTATTCTTATGCCTAAATTAAAAGTAGAAAAAAGACTTTTCTGTAAACAACCCCATTAATAAATACTATGTACTAATACTGTTCTATGTGTTCAATTCTTTCTGAAATATCCAAATTACATACACAATTAAATTCTTACAAGAGACGCAGGTCATTGAAAGCTAGGTAAGATCTAAATACACCTCATGATGGTTAGACCTGGTCCCAGAAATTGTCCCGTCTTAACATCTTGTAGCACTTCTTTTCCATAAACTACAAATGGAAAAAAAAATAATAAAGCTTTCCCTTAAGCTTCTTTCCCTCTAGTTACAATTGGGTATTCAAAAAGTCTTAATTTTGGAAGAAACCATCAACCCTTCTCATTTCTATGTCGCCCTTTGCAGTTTTTCTCACCATAGCAGTTCTTAGTGAGATCACTGAGGACACTTCTAACAAAAGCTAATATTTGCTGCTTATTCTTCTTAACCATATCACTGTGCTACATATGATACTAACATTGCTCCTATAACCTGCCCTCCTACCTCTCTTGACTTTTTTCTTAGTGTGAGTCTTCACTGGCTTTTTTTTCTTGACCTGCTTCTTAGACACTGGTATACTAAACTTCCATACTTGGCCTTCTTATACTGCCTCATCAAGCAGCATTAATAATCTAATGATTCCAACATTTGTATTTCTCGGTTCAAGCGCTAGACCTACTCCAACTGCACACTGCATTCTCCTCTGGTTCATTACATACCAACTCAGCATGACCCCGCCCCCGGCAAATCTCATGTCACCCTCTGCCCCCAGACCTCTTCTTCCTGTAGTAGGCCTCTCTAGAAGGTTAACTCTTACAAAATGTTACACTGTAACTCAAACCAGAAATTTGAGTCATTCTAAGTAGCCCTTCCAACATACTGTCATCATATTTGTTTGGCTAGAAAAATAGTTTTCAGTTACTTTTAATGTTTTTTAGGTCTTGCCATTTCAAAGATTTAATGACCTCCAGTCTCCTCTCCAACGTCAATCTGCATTTCCACGGGAGTGTTTATTTTTGTCTTTTTTGTAACATGGTTTATTATGTTTTTCTACCCCTTGAACTCCTGTGTTTTTGCCTCATCATCATTTGCAAGAAGAATGTAAACACTTAGCCTCATCTGGCTTACATTAACCGTTCAGTGTCCTCTTCAATCCAACAAAGTCCTTTGCAACCTAACCTATTTCATGCCTGTCTCTTTGCCTAGAATGTCTTTCACCACTCACTTCTAGTCTGTTTGGTAAATTTCTTATTTCAGAACTCCATTCATTTGGTGGTGATACATAACACCAGTAAAGAGAATCAGCTTCGAGAAGGATTTGAATCCTGAGTAGTTTAAAGGATGAGTAGAATTTCAATATAAACAGAGGAGGAAGGACGTTTCTGGCAGAGAGAGGATGATGTAAAGGCAGGAAAGTACATGCTATATAATGAAAAACAAAGGAACTGTTCCTTTTGTTGATAGGAAATTGTCTACTGGAAAGATTAAATATAGCATGTTATCAGGGCTAGTGTCTTGAGGATGTGGATTCATAGGCCTTTTTTAATGAGGTCAGCTGAAATATCTGAGCTGCATCTTTCTACTCTGATAACATGCTATATTCAACAATTTGTTGCTGATTTTCGGCAGTTTAGAATGCTTTATCTTACTCTTCCATCCTTAGTAATCAATATACATTGGCTGTTTCTTAAACTGAAAAAATGGGAAGAATCTAGTAAGTCTCAGAGTTCCTCTACCTCATAGAGTAAGGTAGTTAAAACAACACCTAATGTTAAACAATAGTTACTGTTTTGACAGTTACATAGTTAAGGAAGGGCCACTTCACCTAAATTATACCTCTTATACATTGGCTTTTTTTTTTTTTTTTTTGGTAATTTTCAAGCGGGTGCGTGAACCTAAATACAGTATAATCTAAAAAAATGAATATTCTTTTACTTGCAAGTGACAGCTATAAACTGGACACAGTCTAGTTTGGAAGCTATAGGGAATTGGTTCCAGGATCCCTCCATGGATATCAAAATCTTCTGGTGCTCAAGTCCTTGTATAAAATGGTAAAGTATTTGCATATAGTCTGCACAAGTCCTCCTACCTAAATCATTTCTAGATCACTTATAATACCTAATACAATAGAAGTGCTATGTAAACATACCATACTATTTAGTGGATAATGACCAGTATAAAAAAAGATGCAACCTTTGTTTTCAATTATTTTCAATCTGCAGTTGGTTGAATCTGCAGGTCTGGAACTCATGAATTTAGAGGTGGACTCTACATGATAGTCACAAAAGTAATTACATGCCTGGTGCTCACCGCAGTAAAAGAAGAACAAGGTGTTTCTGCTACTGGCTGTGATCACAGGGACCAATATATCTATGCTATCTTAACAATTTCTAGCCCCTCCTTGGGTCAGTCCTCTCCTATGTGTTGTCAGATTTTCTTTCTCTACCGGATCTTTACATCAGCTTGGAAATATGCTGCTATTTTTCACAATCCCCAAATAGCCTTCTTAAGGGGAGCGGTGCTGGGGTTTGAACTCAGGGTCTTGTACTTGCTAGGCAGGCACTCTACCACTTGAGCTACTCCACCAGCCTGTTTTGCTTTGGTTATTTTTGAGATAGGGTCTCACTTTATGCCAGGGCTAGCCTAGACCACAATCCTCCTATTTGTGCTTCCCTGTGTAGCAGGATGACAGGAATGTACAGCCCCATCCAGCCATTGGTTGAGATGGTGTCTTGCAAACCTTTTGTTGGCATGGGACTGTAATCCTCCAGATCTCCTCTTCCCAAGTAGCTAGAGTAACAGGCTTGAGCCACTGTACCTGGCTAAAAATATCTTTTCTCAACTCTACATCTCCTTCACAATGAGTAAAGTTGATTGAAATGATTATTTGTATTTGTATCTTTAATTTCTTTTCTGGCCCCCATCTCATGTTTGCCCTCACCACTCCCCTGAAGCCACTCTTATTAAGGTCAGGAAGGAGGAGTTCCTTTCTTGTTACTATTAAGTAGGCCTTTGACTGATTGAATGAGGTCTGCCCACATTCTGAAGGGCATTCTTACTTTATTCAGCCTGTGGGTTTAAATACTCATCTCATCCAGAAACATACTCACAGACCCATCCAGAATGTCTTGGATGTCATCTCTGAAATAGCAAACCAAGGGGGCACATAAAAGTAATCATTAGCCAGTCATAGTGGTTCAAGCCTATAGTCTAGCTACTTGGGAGGCAGTGATTGTGAGGATTGCTGTTTGAGACCAGCCAGGTGGAAAGTTCACGAGACCCCTATCCTCAACCAATGGCTGAATGTGGTTGCATCCACCTGTCATCCCAGCTATGCAGTGATACACAAATAGAATCACAGTCCAGGCCACCCAGGACATAAAGCAAAACCCTGTCTCAAAAATAACCAAAAGTAAAAAAGACTAGCAGAGTGGCTCAAGTGGTAGATGCCTGCCTAGCAAGTAGAGGCCCTTGAGTTAAAAAAAAAAAAAGTAATCATCACAGTCAGACTTTAAATTCAGAAAAGAATCTGTATAGCAATACCAGCCTGTGTTTCTTTAAAAGATTGGTGGTAGGCAGGCTACTTAAAACAATATGGGCCACTACTGTTTTAGATACTCAGCAAGTGGTAAGCCTCTAAGAGCTACAAGTGCCTGACAGATGATAAGATTTTAATAAAAACCAAAACCAAAACTTCCTTCCATCAATCAAATCATTACTTGGCTTTTTTCCTGAAACTACATGGGATTATGTCTTCACCTCCTCTAGTTTAAAAATGTTTGCCTTTGCTGAAAATGAGGAATGTTTTTCTTGTCTTATTTACAAAGACTGGAAGTAGGGTGGCTTTTTATTCCAGGTCAGTAGGCAAAGCTGTAGAAATACCACCCTACCTTTAGCTTTGGCTTTCACTTACTGGATTAGTGACCCTAGAATATTCCCTACTTCACACAGTAGATGGCATTCAAAAACCACTTACGCACCAGATAGATAAGACATGGTTGTGGATGTCAAATGTCTTCACTAGAGCCACTGCTGCATGCATAGAGTGGAAGAAGCTGGAAAGGCCACAGCCACCAATGAGCATCTACATAATTGAAAGGCGCTCTGATTAAACACAAACAAGTGTCTCAAGTCCATATTGGAAGCTAGTGTCTTCCATTTCCATAAATCCTTGTTCACGTGACATCTCTTGCTTAATTGCCCTTTAAACTATTTTATGGCTTTATAGCAGCCGTATAAAAGGTCATTTCCAAATATGACAGGCGCTGAAAGGCTGAAGGGAAGAATTATCTAGGACCTGTAATTACTAAATCTGTAGTGCCTGCTCCCCTACGAGCTCAACCTGCCTGAGGAAAGGAGAGAAACTGCCAGAGCACTGAGCTGCCATGGGGCGCTACTCGGGAAGAAGTTTCCGTCTGATCCTCATGTGTGTGGTCACCATTCTCCTTTTTGTGATGGAGTTAGTGATTGCCCACATAGGCAACTCTCTCTCTTTGGCCTCTGATGCCTTTGCTGTTCTTTCCCACTTTTTGTCCATGATCATAGGACTTTTCGGTGTCAGAGCCAGCAATATAAAACAGCACAAAAAGAACACATATGGCTTTCTTCGAGCAGATGTTGTGGGAGCATTTGGCAATACCGTTTTTGCTGTGGCCCTGATGTTCAGCATCCTGGTTGAAGCCATCAAGAGGTACATCAGTCCCCAGAAGACTGAGGCACCCCTGCTGGTACTTGGTGCTGGACTCGTCGGGCTGTTCTTCAATGTTCTTAACTATGTCATCTTCTTGGACTGCTGTTTCTGTACAGCACCCAAGCCAGAGAGACACACTGATACAGGTAAATAGCTCCTCAGATGGTGGCAGAACATTTGCAGAGTCCTGATAGGTGCTATCTTGGGGGCCACTGATGCTGCTATCTGGAGAGGCCCACTGGGTGGGCCTTTTGTGCCTGTGACCTTATAATAGGCCTTTCTCAGGAGAGTTGCCTTCAATCTGAAGTTCCTTTTGAACAAAGTGGCAGCAGGCCACTTTCGTGTTTGGGAGGTATTCTTTAATTTC